TCCCCAGAAATTACATGGGGAGTGGTAAAAGTAAGGAAAATCTGGGTAATTAGTGATAATTTTTTTTGAATCAGATTTTTTTTCATTAAAAACATAATATATAACACAACAATGATGCACACATACGTATCTACACATCAAAATATAAAGATTGTTTTGGTCTGGGCATCCCAACCCAAAATTCTTAAAAAATTGAATAAAATTGAATACTTGGGGCTGGGATACCCATCCCAAAACCGAATTGAATTTTTTGAATTAAAGAATATATTTATGTATTTATAATATACATGTGATGTCTATAAAAAATACTAAATTCTAAAAAAAATTCAATTTATTCAAAACGTATACTAAGTGATCACTTCATTAGTAGGATCAGCAATCCTACTAAATGGTGAGAACGCCACTAACTAAAAAGGGAGTCCTTGGAGCTCTTGATCTCTTGTCAGTAGAGTTCATAATGAGGCATGGCATCTACTGATTAGAGATCAGAGCAATCCTACCTTACCTTCAGGAGCTACAAAGCTCCTAATCGTTACGAGAGGGAGCCTTGGAGCTCCTGAAGCTCATCAGCAGAGGCTATTTACCATTTGGGCCTCTTCTGATGAAAGATGCGAAACACGTCTACGAACCAGGAGCTTCAAAGCTTCTAATCCTTACTAAAGGGAGCTTTGGAGCTCCTGAGTCTCCATCAACAGAGTCCCAGATGGTAAATGTCCTTTGCTGATGAAAGATGCGAAACACATCTCCGAACCAGGAGCTCCAAAGCTCCTAATCCTTACGAAAGGGAGCTTTGGAGCTCCTGAAACTCCTTTTACTATAAAATAGGACAGTTTTCTTCTGAGGTTCTCATCAAATCTAAGACTTCAGAAGAAAGCTGTCCTATCAATGTATACTTACACTCTCATGGACTACAAGTGTACAATTTTAAGGCAGTGATTATCCGAGGCCTCTCATCAAATGAGGGACCTCGGATAATCTCTACCTTAAGTAGTCAAATAACTTTTCTCACTATTTAGGAACAAAAGAACAAGAGTTGGAGTACTTTAAGGCAAGATTCTTCCGAAATCTCTCATCGAATGAGAGACTTTGGAAGGACCTTGCCAAATCCTTGAACGCCAATATCCTTGGAACTGAGCTAGAACCAGGGAGAAGTAGCATACTATAGAGCATGATGGTAATCTCGGAAATGCTTATATCGCCCCAAGCACAATATTTAAGAAGTCTAACTCATATATACAAGAAGTCAGGCTGAATAGATATTGTGCATATGGTTTGCAGAACTCTCATGATATTTAAAATTCATGTTATCCCAAAAAGGTGACACTTTGGGTGTATCGTCCATCCCAGGGATGCAAAAATCACATCACCTTGGATCTATAATTTTGACAAAATATTTACAATTTCGGAAAATTTAAACACCCAAATATAATTATTATTTATAAAGATCATTATTCCTTATGGCATTCCAAACGGGAACCGCGGTTGGTTACCATGGATTTCCGTCACCGGTCACATTTTAAAGATTTTTTAAGCCTTATAAAAATATGCTTTGTAAATCATTTTTTGTAAATCGGCAAAAATTTGGTAATTTTCTTCAACTAATAAATCTGCGAATAGCATTTATAATACAAGAACAATCTTTTAAAATGCGTTTGATTCATTTTTGTATAATTTCATATAATTTCACGTTAGACAACAAGAGTCATGAAGTCTCATACTAAGGGATATCCAACATATATTTTAATAATCTAATGTTTGTGACAAATATTCAACATAAAATTAAGTTTTCGTTTCGTTACAAGGCATTCATACTTTGGAGATATCATATTTAATGTACAGAAAAGTTAATATTAAACAATACATGCTAAAGAATTAATAAATAAGATAATAAAATAAATTTATACGTAATTACTTTCATTTAATATGCTTTATGCTGTATAATATTGATTAAGAGGCATTAAAAGGTTCCATAGTCTGCTTTTATAGGCAAGATTTTTGATAAAAATTTTAAATTTTGAAAAATGATGAGAAAAGGAAAAAAAGGTAAATGAGAGCAAGAGGAGGGAAAAAAAGAAAAAGAAAAGAAAGGGAAGGGAAAAATAAAAGAAAGAAGGACATATAAAAATTTAGATGCGCATTCTTAATGCCGAGGCGGCTTGCCGCCGAGGCGCGATTTTTTTAGGCCTCTACGGTAATCCGGCAATGTTTTTTTAAATCTTGTACAGCCCTAGGAGGATGTAATAATTTGGTACTAATTTAATTGCATTAAAATACTAAAATTATGAAATTGTAAATTTAATCGAAAGATATGAGTTTAAATAAAGAAACGAGAGATATTTTAATTGATTTAATTATTTTATATCACTGATTGTCAGTAATGTCCTTTGATCTTTGATTCAATGAATACGTTAGTATGAATAATCAATATTCATTGAACAAAAATGAACAAATACAGTGTAATATGCAGATTTTAGTATGCAAATGTTATATCGTGTGATAAATTCTCCGTAATAAAGAAGATATTTACAATTATTTTTATATGAGCTTTAAATCTGTTGAAATAGTTCCAATATCGCATGAAATTGGCAGATTTGAAGTAATTTGATTAGTTTTGAGATGGAAAATTTCTAAAAAATTTCTGAAATCAAGAAAATATTTCCTAAATGTTAGTCACCGTTACGGTTTTTTCTTTGGGGGCTCGCAAGCTCGCCCCCAAAGAAAAAACCGTAACGGTGAGCTCACATTTCGGCATAGTTTAAGTCTAGGTTTTGCATTTTAAAATGTTTGTTACCTTATCTTCTTTCAAAAAGTGGCAAAATTTGTTTGAAATTTGAAAAAGATATTTTTATTTGCATAAATGACATTCAACTAAGCTGTAGCATGATTCTTTTGCATGCTCTAGTTTTTTCTCAGTTCAATCTCCTTCCATACTCTTGCTTGTACCAGTAAGATCGCACCAAAATTCTCAAAAATTAAGATCTCCAAATTTTATGTCCAACTCCAATTATCAAACGCCCTCATTAACGCCACTCATAGCCATCTTTCATGCATGAGAAATTGTTATTAGAAGATTTTTTACGGCTAATTATCTGATTCAATTCAGATCAATACTCAAAGCCCATTATTTATTTATAAATCCTTGTTTGTCGCCTATGCGAATAAAAATTCTTTTTATATTTTAAACAATTTTTTTTCACTTTGGAAGGAGAAAGGTGACTAACATTTTAAAAATGCAAAAACCGACTAAACTATTTCGAAATTTTGTTAAAAATACTTTCAAAATGCTGAATTTAGAAAAAAATTTGGAATTTCTTGATCCTAGAATTTTGATTAATTTTGTTAAATAGCTTAAATCATCAGTGATTTATGAAGTTTTGGATAAATTCTTAATCAATATTCATTCATTCAATGAATTTGAGCAATAACACTGAAAAAGTAAGGTTTACACATGAATTAAATGGAAAATAACCAGCATATCCTATAGAATTTCTATTTTTTTATCATTGATTTGAAATGCACTATATTAGAAATCAATATCTCTAGAAAATGTGCCATAATATTTTATTTTATCTTGAATATTGTTTATTAACATTATACTAGTATCTCTTCTCGATACGAATTAAAAGATTTAACGGACTGGCTATTAAACTATAAGATTGTTCAATCTTACTAGATAAGGCAAGATATATATAAGTTAAGGAAACCTTAATTTGTTATATACGAAAACGATAAAAACAGTTTGACAAAAAAGTGACAACTTTACGTGTCAAAAATAGAAAAGTGACATTTATTCGTAATATTAAAATGAATCATCACAATCTTCTTCATAAGGGTCTTCATAATCTTCTTGATATTCTTCTTCATAATTTACTTCGTATTCTTCTTCTTCATTACTATCTTCTTCTATTTCAACCGGATTCACCTTATTTTCTTCTTCTTCAACTTCCTCGCCTTCTTTTTCCCATTCATCTTCTTCGATTCCTTGGAGCTCTGGCATCTCATTGGCCATAAGTGAACCTGGAAGAAAATCTTGAGAGACTCCATCCACAATCCATTTTGCCGGCATTCCCCTCTTCCAAATTGGAAGTTTCTTCCACATTTCAGATGGGCTATAGTGAATTTGTTTTCCATTCACATAATGAGTTGGTAATGCTAGATGAGGTTTAGCATTATAGTACTCAACCCATTGTTGAATCGTTGCCCATGACAACTCTCTGCTCTCTATGTTAGGCCACAAGCGCTCGATTTTCCCATTTTGGTATGGGCATTGGGGGACAATATATACATTATTGATCCCCCGAACCCTCATAGCCTTTAGGAACTCGCCTTTATTCTCGCCGCCATTATCGGACCAAATTGTATGTGGTGGTCCATAACGGGCTATTGCTCTCTTAATTACTTTCACTGTTTGGCTAGCATGTTTTGACGAAAGATGCTGCCATTCTATGATGAGCCTTGTGCAGTCATCAATCACAGCATAAAGAATCTGACTTCTCTTTTTGCCAAGAAAGTGGATATCAACGTGCCATATTTGGTTAGGAAAGGCAGCTAAGTATCTTGTCTTTCCTTTTGGCCGATAGGGTCCCCTTGGACGTGCCAAGCCTAGCTCTCTAAAAGCTCTTTCTACCATATGTCTTGAGGGGGATGTGGAAGAGGGTTTGTAAGATATTTAATGTTCCTCAGCTCAGATGGAAATGATAATGGAGACTCTTCAATCATAAGTCCGGAAGGAATTGTGGAAGAAATTTGATTCAGGGGCTTAAAACGTTCAATAGCGGAGAACCATGCTTGGATAGGCGTTGGCTGTGGAACAATACCCGTCTTCATGTCCAAAAATGCCTCAAAATGAGATTTGGCATATTCGATATCTTTATTTATTTGGTTATAGGCGGAGATTATTCCAAGATGGCCATGCTGCTCAATTAGGTTTCTAATAGTTACCTTAAGATCTTTTGGTACATTAACTTTGGGTCTCCCGCGCTTAAGGGGAATAGACACAGATGGGTGAGGCTGAGGCTGAGTATTGGCAGAGAGCTGTTGCTGTGGGGGAGTGTTGGCAGAGAGTTGTTGCTGTGCCGAGGTGTTGGCAGAGAGCTGGCGTTGAAGAGGAGTATTGGCAGAAAGTTGTTGCTGTGGAAGAGAGTTGGCAGAGAGCTGGCGTTGTGGGGGAGTGTTGGCAGAGAGTTGTTGCTGTGCCGAAGTGTTGGCAGATAGCTGGCGCTGAAGATGGGTGTTGGCAGAGAGCTGGCGTTGAAGATGAGTGTTGGCCGAGAGCTGGCGTTGTGTCTGGGTGTTGGCAGAGAGCTGGCGTTGTGGGGGAGTGTTGGCAGAGAGTTGTTGCTGTGCCGAGGTGTTGGCAGAGAGCTGGCGTTGAAGATGAGTGTTAGCAGAGAGCTGGCGTTGAAGATGAGTGTTGGCAGAGAGCTGGCGTTGTGGGGGAGTGTTGGCAGAGAGTTGTTGCTGCGCCGAGGTGTTGGCAGAGAGCTGGCGTTGTGTCTGGGTGTTGGCAGAGAGTTGTTGCTGCGCCGAGGTGTTGGCAGAGAGTTGTTGCTGTGCTGGCGTTGTAGAGGAGTGCTGGCTGATGAGGGTTCTTCCTGTATACGAGAGTCGTTTGAACTTTGTAATATCAAATAATCGGTAAGGAGAGTGTCATCTCTGTGTTTCAAAATGGATGAACACTCGTAGAGTCGATTATTATATTTAATGTAGAAAGTAGTAAACTCTTGAAGTTTGTATGTATGATGTAAGTACTCTTCAATAGTAATTAGTCTATTACATAAGAGAGCTTTGTAAAATGTTATCTTGTTAATTGATGAACGAATAGTGTTGTTGACTAATGGAACATTTGTGAGAACAATGGCTAACGGTGTGCGCCTTTGAATCTGTGCTAGAGCTGTTTCAAGTCAAGCTGAATCAACTAAGGTGTACAAATTCATTTTAAACAAATTTGAAATGAAATAATTTGTGAGAATTTGAGAATAATTTAATTATTTCAGAAGTCTATATTGAAAAAATATTCTTAACAAAATTAATTTAAATGGTTCAGAAAATAAAAAATTAAAATTAATGGAAAAAAAACATGATTAGGAATAATTAACAATAATAAATATCATGGTTTTGGATTATTTAAACAGCTATAAAAGAACGAATTTTACAAATTACGATAAAAAAAATTATTGAAAAATAATGAAGAGAATAAGGATTTGAATCGAAAATTAAAAGGATGATTATGTGTCAAATTAAATTAAAATAAAAATTTTAGAAGATTTAGACAAGAAATAGTGCAAAGAATTAGAATTAACATAAAAATCGAAAATTTAATAAAGGAGAGATAAAATTATTGTAGTATTCAATTGAAAAATTTTATAAAATAAGGAATATTGGTAAACAAATAAGTTTCATCTAAAAAAGGAAAATAAAAATATAAAAATTGAAATAAAAACAGAAATATAAAATATTTTTAAAATGCAAAAAAGTTTCATACTAATCGTTTTTGTATAATATTTTGTTGCATGCTAAGATCAGTCATAATGTAAACCTCTCAATTTTATTGTCGTGGGAAGTATCTCAATTCCTTCAAAAAAATTGAAAAACTATTTAATTTTAAAAATATAATACTTTTAATTAGTTAATTAATTGGAGATATTTTTAAAAAATCACTTTTGATAATACTTTTGAGAACTTTAATTAAAAAATATATTCAAAAATATCCAGGATATCAAGAGGGAATTGTTCCTTATGAGGTATATAGTTATGATGTATACCTCATAAGGAACAATTCCCTCCTTAAAATCGTAGACATTTTTATACTTATTAATCAACCATTCAAAATCATATTCCTCTGAAAAGTTATTTTATTAAAAATTTAGAATTTTAATAAATATAGAGTTTGAATTTCATACAATACCTATATATTTTCAAAAATGGAATTTGAAAACCATTCTCAAAAGTTCTCAGAAAACCTTTTTTTCATTAATTTTAAGAAATCTGAGTATTAAATTAAGTAATAAATTTGTTTGACACTACTTTAATTTTTAAATTCAAAAAATTATATGTGCTTCTTAAAATGACTCAAAAAATTTTATTATAAAATAATATATAATATTAAAAATCCCACAACATTTTTTACTTTACATAATCGTACTTCCTCGACGATTAATTTCCACTCAATTTCTATCATTGACCGAACTTAGCATGCAACAATTTATCATTGAAAGATTATTGAAAGATATTTTGAAAGAAATCGAAAGAGTTAAGAAATATTGAGAAGAAGGACAATTGAATGAATTTTTTGGCCGATTGTGCTATGCAAAGTTGATGATAATTGCAGGAAATTTTGAGATTTTCGAGGTTTTGGAGGGTGTGAGTACTATTATATGTAATAGTATCTCACACCCTCCAATTCATCCAATGGCGTCGAGAAAATTTTGGTGAAATGTCGTCGCATTTCACCAAAATTTCTCGGCGCCATATAGAGAACTAGAGTCTGTGAGGTACTGATTCTATCTATGTACCTCGCAGACCCTAGTTCTCAGCCAAAATGGCTAAAAATTGCTCGCAATTGTTTGCCATGTAAACTGTCACTTTTTGAGGCGATTTGACATTCTGTCAAATCTCCTTTTTTCGTATATAAGAAATTTAGTTAATATCTTTGATTTATACTAATTATAAATGAGTGACTTCTGGATTGTTCTATTTTTACATCCATCATTTAACACAATCTTTTTTGAACAATTTTATATAAAAGAGATCTATTATAAATGATGAAAAATGTCATTTAATTGATAAATTTGTATATCCTTGTCATGATATTGTTTTTCATATATAAAGCAGTTAACTATATGTAATTGATCTATTCCAATCTAGTTTTGATTCACAATCAAGAGTTAATATCTACTATTTACTATATTATCCATAATTTTAAATTAATGTTGAATAGTTACCAAAAATATACATATAATATATATAAAATATGGAAAATTAATAGTTTGTCTCATAAAAATGCTAGAATTACACTTTTTATTATCATATTAGATTTTCGACTTAAAACTATTGAAATACATTATATTACATTTCAAATCTATAACTACATACAAACACTCAGGTTGGAAAAACATAGACTCTTTTGATCTTTTATAATTATATAATTTTTTATTTTCTTATATTATCTTATTTACTTCACATAATATATAACTCCATAGTATATGTAATTAAATTTTAACCTTGATTTTATTACAAATTCTGTTATCATGAATATGCGCAATCAAAACATATTAATATAGAGTTTTGAACTAATTCAATATTGTGTAATGGATCAAAACAACAAATTATATAAAATATTACAGATTTACATTGTAAATCAATATAATCAAATTATATAATCTTATATAAAAAACAAAGATCCTTCATCTGCTTAGATCTAATAACTTCAAGGTATACCCTGATTAATTGCATACATAGAATTTAACAAAAACAAATATTTCATATTCCTGGAGGTCTATCGTCATGATCGGAACGATTTTCGGGGAAAAACATCAAAAGACGATTATTTTTCGGGAAAAACGTTTCTTCCCAATATTTGTCACAAACATTAGATTATTAAAATATATGTTGGATATCCCTTAGTATGAGACTTCATGACTCTTGTTGTCTAACGTGAGCTTTGGATTGCAAGCTCTGTGGTTAACGAACATAAATTAATTGTAAAGTTTTCAAAAATTTTCATCGTTTCTATCAGCATCTATTTTTCCTTTAAAATAATATATTTGTATGAATACAATATTTAGTAATTTTTTTATTTCCCATAATTTCATTCAAAATTTCAGAAAAAATTAATTTCTATTCAATATTATTTCAGCTTCAAAACACTTCATTCTTATAGATGTTGATTCACTAAAGTGTGATTCTATTTATATGAGGTAGGGGCATGAGGCTCGGCAAGTCTTATTGCTTTTTACCTCAATTTAGGTATTAAATAATTATAATGATTCATAGTGGCCGCTGCTGACTGGCCATCAGCAGTCCCTGGCCAAGATTAATATAATTATTTAATACTTATCCAGTTTTACATCAATAACAACAAAGCTAATCAATCATCATTCAGAAATGCGGGAAATTACTACTAATATTAAAGATTGATAGACATTAGGCTGGCCACCTTCTGTCTAATATCTTTACGAATAAAAATAATACTTTTTAAAACAAATTATTTAATAAATTTTATTAAAAAACAAAATCAAATATCAAATTGATCATCATTCAACTTGATGAAGAAGCGGCATGCTACATATTCTTCTTTGCATGATTCGTTCATTGAATTTCTTGTCTTTCGCAATTCAGATATTACACGTTCTACATCTGCTTCACTGCACGAAAGTGACATCATCCTTTTTCCAATTGGTCTTATTGCTTTTAGTTGCTTTATGCCATTCATGTACCAAAACTTGCCATCATTTTGAGCAAGATGATGACCATTTATAAGATGGGAATCATCTTGCTCTATGAAGAAATCGTAAGCATCAATCAATTCCTTGGCTCTATCGTCTTTATTGATCGTTGGATCAACTGTTGATTCGGCAATTGCTCTTTGTCTGAGGATTGTTATCATGAATGTGTATAGATCTTTTATCTCTTCATCTACAACATCCCAGACCAAGGAATTCCTCGAACCATCGGCATTTGTTTCGGCTGCATGATCGTCGTTAAGCATTTGTTCCTCTTCTGCTTGCTGGATCTCTTCATCATGCTCGGCTACCTCGTCAACACGTTCTGTTCGTTCTTCTTCAAGGATTTCGCCGAGTTTCTCAAATGTGATCTCGCGATTGATGATCCTCAGGGAAGGAATCGTTGGGACTTGCACATCTTTCAACTGCATTATAGGTGGATAGCTTGTCTTTCCTCCAAAACCCTTCTTGTCTCTGATGATCTTCCTTGCTAACGGTGTAAAGCCGAAAGCAAACCGAAGCAAATCAATTCTACCATATTCTTTCATATCATTTTTGAATATTGTAGTGATTGATCGGAGAATCTCTTCACCATCTGGCGTTAATCTTCCTGCCATTTCATCCAACATCCCTTGGCACTGTTGTATCATCAGGAATGCATAAGCACCCATGGACTTGTTGGATTCCAGCCATAATTGAAGTTGCTTTAATGGCTTGAATATCATTAAAGCATCTTTAAAGAGTGGAGGAATTCCATCACGTGTCCATTGTAACTGTTCACGTGTAGCTCTGGAAAGGGATAGTGGAAGATCTCCACTTCTTAAAGCAGTATTAATTGTTTCCAGATTATCAAAGATGAAAAACAGAGTATCATATATGTAGAGCCAGCGAGTTTCCGGGATTGATGGAACCCTGATCTTGTATCTCGCTCTCATATCGTGATTCTTAAAGATAATGATAATCTGGTGAACTCTATTCATCAGTTCATTCAACAATGGACATTGCTTACGTGCGTGGACAATAGCATTGTTCAAGACGTGGTTAAGGCAACGAATGTACACGGTTTGTAAGCCAGGGAAAAGGGCTCCTTCTGGCCTCCAGTGGCAGAGTCCTTTAACCTGGGCTGGCAAACCATCTCCGACTACTCCAGCTACGTGGTTTTTATTAACCTTAAGAGAATCAAACCAGTATGGTAGTCCTCGTATGTCCAATTAGTCGAAATTGTTGTGTCGAAGAATTGGTGGCGATCTGTTTTGCCTGGATTGCACACACAAGAGAATAGACCATGACGGCTGCCGTGTGTTCCGCAGTCCAGGGAAATTGAGAAGATGCGGAATTCCTCGCAGAACTTTAGGCCCCGAGAGGAGTCTGTTTTGCCTAAAGTAATCAATGCCTCTCTGACACCGCGCCGTGTGAACTCAATGTCTGGGATTGTAAAGTTGATGCCCTGTTCGCGATTGACTTTATTTTTAAGCCATTTGGCGAAGCTCTCTAGGAAGCTTTTAAATGCTGGCTTCATTGTGGCATAAAGGCTTATATCTAGGCTCGCAATAAGCCTGGCAATGATCTCTTCTAACGAAGGATCATTACCAGAGCCAACTGCTTGCTGAGTATTCTCAACTTGGTGCTCAGCAGGAACGTAGTTGGGCATTGTGAGTAAAAATTTGCACTTATGATCTTTAAAATCATTTTTCCTGCTTTTTTTAATGCATCGCACGAACTGCCCTTGAACTAATGTTTCACTACATTCGGCACAGTATGTAAAGAGCCTTCCTTTGTCTGATTGATTAGGCTCGTTCTCATAATAGCCGATCGTAGTGAAACATTTTTTCCACACTTTGTTTCCAATGTTTCAGGAGTTGGTGGATATTTCGTCTTCTTAAATGGAATCCACTCATCATATACATGAGGATCCCATGCAGTCATAATAAAAATAAAGTTTTTTGAATATATTCAATTTTTAAATGATATTTTCACTGGTTAAATATAAAATAAAGAATAAGATGTAAATTATTAAAATATTTAATTTTAAATTTTGAATTGTTATTAATAATGAAAAATAAAGCTTATTTCAATGAAAATTGTTCTGCAAATTTATTTCACTTTTGACCTCACTTTTTCCGTAATTCAATTTTTTACTTTTAATATTTTAGATCTTCATAATATCATTTGAAAAATTAACCATATAAAAAAATCAAGTTATCAATTCACTTTTTCCGTAATTCAAAAATCAAAAATATAAATAATATATCTTTTTATCAAATATTATTATTATATACTATGAAAAATGAGGTCCGGAAATTTTGCGGATTCCCGTAACTCAATTTTACGGAAAAAGTGCAGTAAACTATTCAAAATACGGAAAAATTGGTGTAAACTAATGATTTTACGGTAAAATCACGGAAAGTCCCGGAAGAATATATGTGCCTATATGAAATTATACAAAAATGAATCAAACGCATTTTAAAAGATTGTTCTTGTATTATAAATGCTATTCGCAGATTTATTAGTTGAAGAAAATTACCAAATTTTTGCCGATTTACAAAAAATGATTTACAAAGCATATTTTTATAAGGCTTAAAAAATCTTTAAAATGTGACCGGTGACGGAAATCCATGGTAACCAACCGCGGTTCCCGTTTGGAATGCCATACATCCTCCGATTCATTTCAAGCCACCCCAAACATTTTCAACTCTTTTACAATTTACATCATATTTTTTACAATTATCGAATTTTTATCAGATTTAGTATATCGACGATAAATTTTATCGAAATATAAAAGCGTGTTACTTACTAATCAGAGTTTTTCGCGATTCATATTTCAATTTACAAATCCAAGCATTGCTTTGCGTTTTCAAACATCAATTACTGCACTAAAATCATCTGCTTATACAAATCATAAAAAAATTTAAATACGATTGAATATTATTTTTATTTCGCGATTTATTTACAAATTTGCAGCTCACTCATATGAAATTTTTCGAAGTAGTAGGGCTGTACAAGATTTAAAAAAACATTGCCGGGTTACCGTAGAGGCCTAAAAAAATCGCGCCTCGGCGGCAAGCCGCCTCGGCATTAAGAAAAACTAAAAGACATCTTATTCAAGTAGAAATGCCTCAAAATTTTTTACAATCATAACAATGAACCGCAAAATTGAATTTTTGAAAGAGTAGTCAAAAATATTTTATTTCATACAATTTTCAAAATTTTCCATGCACAAGAATTGTGTCATATGCATAATATTGATCATGCAAATAATGTAAATACAGAAAAATTTGTGATGTAAAAAATTGAGAATTACAATGGATTGCAATTGTAAATTCAAATTCATTTACGAAAAATTTAGCTTATCTGAATAATAATATGACATCATATTGAGAAGCAATTGAATATTTTCTTCGGATTCATTCAAATAATTTATGAAATTATGCCACAAAAAATTTACCACCAATTTTACCAGTTTCAAAATGAAGATAAAATTTTGGAAAAAGGGATTTTTACGAAAAGCATATAAATGTAAATACTATTGCACATATTTTGCTTTTTCATTTAGAAATAAAAATATTGTAAATTGGTTTCACTGAATATAACAGTGCTAATATCACATGCTTATGCATCCATATTTTTATCAATTCATTTCAGAAATAACATAATACTTTTTTTATATATTAAAATAAATAAATAAATACAATTTTAATATGAATTAACAAATTCATCAGGAGTCATGGCTAAGCAAATTTTTTGCGATGTATCAATTAATAATGTTGGACTCATTAATACTTGTGTAGGTGTTTTCAATGCTTGAACTTGCATCTCTCCTGGTGGAAGCAATTCATTATCAAATGCATTATTATTTACGAGAGTCATTGCCATTGAAATTCTTCTCTAATCATCGTTTCATTCATCTCCATATAGCTCTGGAATTGTCTTATATTAGGGCTGACCAGACAAAATAATTACACAAGCAGCGATTTAATGTAGACATTCTTGTGATATCTTCAAGTGTAACACTCAAATGAACATTTGGAAGCAATAACTTAATTGCAATTTGCCATATTATTAAAAGACAAGTCAAATAATATCTGTTTTTCATAATGATTTATCTTGAAATTCTAAAAAAAATTATATATTTCCGAAAGAATAAGTTGCATTCTCCATAGAATAATGACGTAAAACATTATAAAAAGTAGTTTCATTAAACATTTCTAACAATTTTTGCATGGCTTCTGTTATTTTTGTGAACAAATCTAGTTTGTTCTCTTGTATAGAGACAATAATCATTCGAAATTCTTATGCAGAACTATTTTTGATGAAATAATCAAAATTTTTTGCGTATTGTCATCTGTTTCCAAATCAAATTAATAAGGCATTATGAATGAAACTATTCCGTTCAAAGAACTTGCAGATGTTAATTGTTTACCAAGACATGAAACAAATAATCTTTTCGCAGGAGGCAAACATGTATCAACGAATAAATCGCAGTCAAAAAAAGAACACAAATATCTGCAAATAAATTCTTCATTTTCGTTGATATTGGGTGTACAATAATGGAATGTTTCATCAATGAACTGCATCAAAAATTTCGTACCATAATCTTTGTTCTTATAGAAATTGGGAAGATGAAAATGAGCAATTATTGCGATTTGTCAAAAAACTATATTCGAATTTGGAATTAGCAATTGATTATAAATAATCTAAGCTGTATAAGCAACTATCAATGATATCGCACCGAATAAGAATTGTAATGATTCTTATCCTCATGTCTGAAGTGTTTCATTATCATTCATTCAAAACAACTGAATTACGAAATGTTTTGTTTTCACTTCCTAAAGATCTTTGTTGAAATCACATATGTTGAATGCATAGTATATTATCTTAGGAAGGCATCTGAAGCTCAGACATCAAAACATGGACACCAAATGGCTCTTCTTCAATGTTTTCATTGAAACATTCAAGAACTTATACGTATTAAGAGAAAGAACATTATGGAACTAATCTTTTTCACAACGGAAGAAGGATTTGAGTTAAAAATGTTCTAAAACATATTCCAATTTGTGTCCAGATTATGCCACTAACTGATGAAAAGAAGAATAAGTTCGTCCTGTTTAGGATTGTCAAGATTGACCAAAGAGGAGCAAATTGTGAAATTGTTCTATGGCATTCCAAACGGGAACCGCGGTTGGTTACCATGGATTTCCGTCACCGGTCACATTTTAAAGATTTTTAAAGCCTTATAAAAATATGCTTTGTAAATCATTTTTTGTAAATCGGCAAAAATTTGGTAATTTTCTTCAACTAATAAATCTGCGAATAGCATTTATAATACAAGAACAATCTTTTAAAATGCGTTTGATTCATTTTTGTATAATTTCATATAGGCACATATATTCTTCCGGGACTTTCCGTGATTTTACCGTAAAATCATTAGTTTACACCAATTTTCCCGTATTTTGAATAGTTTACTGCACTTTTTCCGTAAAATTGAGTTACGGGAATCCGCAAAATTTCCGGACCTCATTTTTCATAGAATATAATAATAATATTTGATAAAAAGATATATTATTTATATTTTTGATTTTTGAATTACGGAAAAAGTGAATTGATAACTTGATTTTTTTATATGGTTAATTTTTCAAATGATATTATGAAGATCTAAAATATTAAAAGTAAAAAATTGAATTACGGAAAAAAGTGAGGTCAAAAGTGAAATAAATTTGCAGAACAATTTTCATTGAAATAAGCTTTATTTTTCATTATTAATAACAATGCAAAAAAATATTTATCACGGGTTCAAAATTTAAAATTAAATATTTTAATAATTTACATCTTATTCTTTATTTTATATTTAACCCGTGAAAATATCATTTAAAAATTGAATATATTCAAAAAGCTTTATTTTTATTATGACTGCATGGGATCCTCATGTATATGATGAGTGGATTCCATTTAAGAAGACGAAATATCCACCAACTCCTGAAACATTGGAAACAAAGTGTGGAAAAAATGTTTCACTACGATCGGCTATTATGAGAATGAGCCTAATCAATCAGACAAAGGAAGGCTCTTTACATACTGTGCCGAATGTAGTGAAACATTAGTTCAAGGGCAGTTCGTGCGATGCATTAAAAAAAGCAGGAAAAATGATTTTAAAGATCATAAGTGCAAATTTTTACTCCCAATGCCCAACTACGTTCCTGCTGAGCACCAAGTTGAGAATACTCAGCAAGCAGTTGGCTCTGGTAATGATCCTTCGTTAGAAGAGATCATTGCCAGGCTTATTGCGAGCCTAGATATAAGCCTTTATGCCACAATGAAGCCAGCATTTAAAAGCTTCCTAGAGAGCTTCGCCAAATGGCTTAAAAATAAAGTCAATCGCGAACAGGGCATCAACTTTACAATCCCAGACATTGAGTTCACACGGCGCGGTGTCAGAGAGGCATTGATTACTTTAGGCAAAACAGACTCCTCTCGGGGCCTAAAGTTCTGCGAGGAATTCCGCATCTTCTCAATTTCCCTGGACTGCGGAACACACGGCAGCCGTCATGGTCTATTCTCTTGTGTGTGCAATCCAGGCAAAACAGATCGCCACCAATTCTTCGACACAACAATTTCGACTAATTGGACATACGAGGACTACCATACGTGGTTTGATTCTCTTAAGGTTAATAAAAACCACGTAGCTGGAGTAGTCGGAGATGGTTTGCCAGCCCAGGTTAAAGGACTCTGCCACTGGAGGCCAGAAGGAGCCCTTTTCCCTGGCTTACAAACCGTGTACATTCGTTGCCTTAACCACGTCTTGAACAATGCTATTGTCCACGCACGTAAGCAATGTCCATTGTTGAATGAACTGATGAATAGAGTTCACCAGATTATCATTATCTTTAAGAATCACGATATGAGAGCGAGATACAAGATCAGGGTTCCATCAATCCCGGAAACTCGCTGGCTCTACATATATGATACTCTGTTTTTCATCTTTGATAATCTGGAAACAATTAATACTGCTTTAAGAAGTGGAGATCTTCCACTATCCCTTTCCAGAGCTACACGTGAACAGTTACAATGGACACGTGATGGAATTCCTCCACTCTTTAAAGATGCTTTAATGATATTCAAGCCATTAAAGCAACTTCAATTATGGCTGGAATCCAACAAGTCCATGGGTGCTTATGCATTCCTGATGATACAACAGTGCCAAGGGATGTTGGATGAAATGGCAGGAAGATTAACGCCAGATGGTGAAGAGATTCTCCGATCAATCACTACAATATTCAAAAATGATATGAAAGAATATGGTAGAATTGATTTGCTTCGGTTTGCTTTCGGCTTTACACCGTTAGCAAGGAAGATCATCAGAGACAAGAAGGGTTTTGGAGGAAAGACAAGCTATCCACCTATAATGCAGTTGAAAGATGTGCAAGTCCCAACGATTCCTTCCCTGAGGATCATCAATCGCGAGATCACATTTGAGAAACTCGGCGAAATCCTTGAAGAAGAACGAACAGAACGTGTTGACGAGGTAGCCGAGCATGATGAAGAGATCCAGCAAGCAGAAGAGGAACAAATGCTTAACGACGATCATGCAGCCGAAACAAATGCCGATGGTTCGAGGAATTCCTTGGTCTGGGATGTTGTAGATGAAGAGATAAAAGATCTATACACATTCATGATAACAATCCTCAGACAAAGAGCAATTGCCGAATCAACAGTTGATCCAACGATCAATAAAGACGATAGAGCCAAGGAATTGAGTGATGCTTACGATTTCTTCATAGAGCAAGATGATTCCCATCTTATAAATGGTCATCATCTTGCTCAAAATGATGGCAAGTTTTGGTACATGAATGGCATAAAGCAACTAAAAGCAATAAGACCAATTGGAAAAAGGATGATGTCACTTTCGTGCAGTGAAGCAGATGTAGAACGTGTAATATCTGAATTGCGAAAGACAAGAAATTCAATGAACGAATCATGCAAAGAAGAATATGTAGCATGCCGCTTCTTCATCAAGTTGAATGATGATCAATTTGATATTTGATTTTGTTTTTTAATAAAATTTATTAAATAATTTGTTTTAAAAAGTATTATTTTTATTCGTAAAGATATTAGACAGAAGGTGGCCAGCCTAATGTCTATCAATCTTTAATATTAGTAGTAATTTCCCGCATTTCTGAATGATGATTGATTAGCTTTGTTGTTATTGATGTAAAACTGGATAAGTATTAAATAATTATATTAATCTTGGCCAGGGGACTGCTGATGGCCAGTCAGCAGCGGCCACTATGAATCATTATAATTATTTAATACCTAAATTGAGGTAAAAAGCAATAAGACTTGCCGAGCCTCATGCCCCTACCTCATATAAATAGAATCACACTTTAGTGAATCAACATCTATAAGAATGAAGTGTTTTGAAGCTGAAATAATATTGAATAGAAATTAATTTTTTCTGAAATTTTGAATGAAATTATGGGAAATAAAAAAATTACTAAATATTGTATTCATACAAATATATTATTTTAAAGGAAAAATAGATGCTGATAGAAACGATGAAAATTTTTGAAAACTTTACAATTAATTTATGTTCGTTCACCACAGAGCTTGCAATCCAAAGCTCACGTTAGACAACAAGAGTCATGAAGTCTCATACTAAGGGATATCCAACATATATTTTAATAATCTAATGTTTGTGACAAATATTCAACATAAAATTAAGTTTTCGTTTCGTTACAAGGCATTCATACTTTGGAGATATCATATTTAATGTACAGAAAAGTTAATATTAAACAATACATGCTAAAGAATTAATAAATAAGATAATAAAATAAATTTATACGTAATTACTTTCATGTAATATGCTTTATGCTGTATAATATTGATTAAGAGGCATTAAAAGGTTCCATAGTCTGCTTTTATAGGCAAGATTTTTGATAAAAATTTTAAATTTTGAAAAATGATGAGAAAAGGAAAAAAAGGTAAATGAGAGCAAGAGGAGGGAAAAAAGAAAAAGAAAAGAAAGGGAAGGGAAAAATAAAAGAAAGAAGGACATATAAAAATTTAGATGCGCATTCTTAATGCCGAGGCGGCTTGCCGCCGAGGCGCGATTTTTTTAGGCCTCTACGGTAACCCGGCAATGTTTTTTTAAATCTTGTACAGCCCTAAATTGTTCAGATCAACTTTTTCGGTTTTCCCCTTCAAAGAGACCAAAACTCTATAAGGAGTAAACATGTGGAATTACGTTGGAGTATCTTGAACACATGTTGATGACTTTGGTAGTAATTATAGCTTATGCAGCCTATCATCATGGAAATTTTTCTTTGGATGCCATCCAAATAAAAATTTGAAAGCAAAAGTGAAAATTGATTATGCAGCATATAAGAAATATTTTAATATTTCTTTTCCATGGAAAGAAGGCAATAACGATAAAGTTTTTCGGTTTTATTTGTCAATTTTTGCCAATAAATTCAATTTAACCGATTACAATTATTGCCGTCAATGATTATGCTGCGTATTCTCTTAAACTCTGAAATAAATGAGAAGCTGTAGACATCCAGTAAAATAAATATCCGAGAACAATTTTGTGACTTGGAAGACTCCAATCTTCGACATTTATCTGGTTACTTAGTTTAGTAAATGTGATTCTTAACATCGCACAATAATCAATGATTATTAACTTGTATTTTGCGACCTTTTCATCTGATTTTTTATCCCATTATATCTTTATTAAGCTGGTGACTTTTTCTTGAAAAAAAAATGTGTTTGAATAAAAGCCAAAAACTAAAACAAATCAGGCATCAACTAGTTCAAATAAGATTTAGATCACGCATTGCTTCTTCTCTTTTGTCAATGTTCTGATTGTGTGCCTCGTATTGATTTGTCAAAATGAGTTGAACATAATAAATGTTCCAAATGCATCATAGAATCGCTCCAAAATCGGTGTACAATTCGTGAGAGAGGCATCCAAAAAAATCCTATCGTCCTGCCTACATCGCCAAAAGTGAGCTTTTTTTTCAGTTTGATCGGACAAAACTTCGAATTTCGACCTGAAACTAGTGTCGAAAATTCGAGAAAAATTATTAAAAGATATCTATCATCTCAGATCATAAAGTTAGATTTAATGCGACATTGCATAAGAAAGATTTCGAACAAAATTCAACACTGGGGGTTAAGGAGTTTGAGACATGAAAATTTAGTTTCTATACTATGGTAATAGACTAATGTATTTGAAATCTGAGAGATTTGTTAGATTCACAAATTATGAGAATCAAAATATGAGTTAATGATGATTTTGATTGGTGAGCAATGAGATTTATGGGGTGGTAATATAATTTATGCGTGAGATAAACTATCTGATGGAAGAGAGTTTCAAATTACAATTTGATTGTTGAGTTTGTTCCTCATCTGAGGTACTTGATAAGATATTGTACCTCAGATGAGGAACAAAGACTTCAGAGACTGCTTATGAGAGTCTTTGAAGACTTACTTCTTCAATCAGATGTTGATTGAAGTCTTTGTTCCTCATCTGAGGTACTTGATAAGATATTGTACCTCAGATGAGGAACAAAGACTCAACAAAATCTCATCAAATATTATTAATCACTCAACTCATTTTTTCTTTTTTATTTAATATTTTTAATTTTTTTTTGAAATTTATCATAATTATTGTTTTACTTAAATCTGACTCAATTTCGATAATCTATATCTATTAAAAGTTATGATTTTATGTATGCTATTTGATTCCATAATAATATCTATAAAACTCATTAAATATTATAATAAATTTTAATAAATAATTAAAAAATGTCTAAAATGTGATTTTATGTAGTATATATTGGGTTGGGGTACATTAACTCAACAAATACCTCAGATGAGGAACAAAGTCAACAATCAGATGTTGATTGTACATCAAGTACTCTAAAGATTGTTCTTCAGAGTCTCTGAAGCCTTTGTCCCTCATCTGAGGTACAATATCTTATCAAGTACCTCAGATGAGGAACAAAGACTTCAATCAACATCTGATTGAAGAAGTAAGTCTTCAAAGACTCTCATAAGCAGTCTCTGAAGTCTTTGTTCCTCATCTGAGGTACAATATCTTATCAAGTACCTCAGATGAGGAACAAACTCAACAATCAGATATTGATTGTTGACTAAAGACTTGAAAGATTGTTTGTAACAATCTTTCAAGTCTTTGTTCCTCATCTGAGGTACAATATCTTATCAAGTACATCAGATGAGGAACAAAGACTTCAATCAACATCTGATTGAAGAAGTAAGTCTTCAAAGACTCTCATAAGCAGTCTCTGAAGTCTTTGTTCCTCATCTGAGGTACAATATCTTATCAAGTACCTCAGATGAGGAACAAACTCAACAATCAGATGTTGATTGTTGACTAAAGACTTGAAAGATTGTTTGTAACAATCTTTCAAGTCTTTGTTCCTCATCTGAGGTACAATACCTCATCAAGTACCTCAGATGAGGAACAAACTCAACAATCAGATGTTGATTGTTGACTAAAGTCTTCGAAGATAGTTTAGGAAAATCTTTGAAGTCTTTGTTCCTCATCTGAGGTACAATACCTCATCAAGTACCTCAGATGAGGAACAAACTCAACAATCAGATGTTGATTGTTGACTAAAATCTTCGAAGATAGTTTAGGAAAATCTTTGAAGTCTTTGTTCCTCATCTGAGGTACAATATCTTATCAAGTACCTCAGATGAGGAACAAACTCAACAATCAGATATTGATTGTTGACTAAAGACTTGAAAGATTGTTTGTAACAATCTTTCAAGTCTTTGTTCCTCATCTGAGGTACAATATCTTATCAAGTACCTCAGATGAGGAACAAAGACTTCAATCAACATCTGATTGAAGAAGTAAGTCTTCAAAGACTCTCATAAGCAGTCTCTGAAGTCTTTGTTCCTCATCTGAGGTACAATATCTTATCAAGTACCTCAGATGAGGAACAAACTCAACAATCAGATGTTGATTGTTGACTAAAGACTTGAAAGATTGTTTGTAACAATCTTTCAAGTCTTTGTTCCTCATCTGAGGTACAATACCTCATCAAGTACCTCAGATGAGGAACAAACTCAACAATCAGATGTTGATTGTTGACTAAAGTCTTCGAAGATAGTTTAGGAAAATCTTTGAAGTCTTTGTTCCTCATCTGAGGTACAATACCTCATCAAGTACCTCAGATGATGAACATTTGAAATAATCATAATCTGTTCAACCTCAAACAAATAAACTTTGCTAATAAAACATAAAACCCTAATAATTAGATACTTCATCATATGTGCCTAATGTTATAATCACAAAATTTTGTGACATTTTTCATATTTCATGCCAAATATATGATAACTTATAATTATCACAGCATGATATTATTATATATCGCATGTATAATTAAATAATGTTATTTATCCATGCTTAAACTATAGTTTGGCCATAATGAATCTTATGCGGTTCTTGAGAAATATCAATGACCGACCAGACTCTTTGTCTCAGATATCGCCAAGATATTCTCAATCATTCTATACATAAGTCACACAATTTTGATGGATTCTCCAAAATTATATCTTCAATCAGAATCTATATCCTGCACAAGCGCATGAGATGCACCTCCAGGATGAGTTAGAATTTTTGATGAATTTTATTCAGTGCTAAACTCATTATTTAAAAAAACTCGATGTAAACTATTCAATTTTTGGGGGATGTAGGCAAGATGATAGCATTTTTTGGATTAGTGTCCAATTCGTGAACATCAAAAATATTTGTGATTGCTGACACGAAAACAATCTAAAAATCGTAACAATAGCAAAGAATTACAGTTTCCAAGTTCATTACTCCTGATGGAGCAGGACTTGTGACAGGTAATTTTCAGTGATGTTATTTGCAATTAACTTCTGTTTAACGAAACCTTCCAATATTGGAATGTCTTGTCTTATATAAGTAATTGATCCTCTTCCTTTTTTAATTCGATTACAACTTGCAAGCTAAAATTCTTGTTGAAGGATGAATAGAATTAAAACATGTATAAGCAACAAGTTTTGGGTCATGGTAAACATTCATATTAAATGAATTTCTACTGTTTGTTAATGTAGTTTCATCAGTTATTGGTTTCATCAACATTTGCAATAATTGTTTGAAAAATTTTAGTTGCAAAGCTGATAAAGCTAAAATATTATTGCATGGGTATAAAGTGTCAAACATAATTCTCGTTATCAAAACGAATATCAATGTTTTTACAAATTAAACAGGAGTTGTGAATGGATTTTGACTTTCTTGTGCGAATTTATAGGAAATTCTGATGATTCCAAGATTCAAATCATCCAACTATCAGCTTCTTTCATCCTTGTTTTCATCTCTGTAACTAAACATGATTATGTCCCATAAAAGCAAAACACAAAAATGCCATTATCGAATTAAAAAAAAATTAAAATAATAGTGATAATATAGAATTTTTATTATTATAAAAAATTATTAGAATAAAAAAATCGCCATTATCTTATTCCAATAACTCGCTAATGCTATTTTGAACAAAATTATTTTGTTTAAACCAGTTTCAAAATTATATAGGAAGGTATCAAAAGTTTACAGAATTTTGAGAGATTTTTTCATCTCAATTAAACTTCTGTTTAACGATACCTTTCAATATTGGGATGTCTTGTCTCATATAAGTAATTGATCCTCTTCCTCAGAAATTATTTTGTTTAAACAGATAAAATTCAAATGTTTACAAAATTTTGAGAAAATTTTTCCTCTCAATTAATTTTTCACTTCTCGATTTCTGGCCATAGTATATATTGAAAAATGGCATAAGTAACGCCAATAATTAAAAGAAAGGCTTATATATAATAATAAATAATGTAATGTTTTTCAATAAAATCAGAATTTAGACAGAAAGTATATGATTCATTGATGAATAAACAAATTATTATGGATTTAATGGTAAAAATACATTAGTCTACTAATATATTATCATTTTGCAAAAGAAACATACCGAATACTTAATTTATTTTGCAAAAGCAATTGTTTTAAAATCCAAATTTTTATATCGTACTTTACTGATGTATACTTTTCCCTTAAGACAATAGGGAAAAAATCAGTAAATTATATGATACCAAACTATTTGATACTAAACTGAAATGATCAAAATAATTATTTTTATATTAATATGGCCATGTTTCTCAGCTTATTTTGATAATTCTGGTGTCGAATATTCAAATGATAGAAAAATCCTTGTTAATACACTTGATACAATACCAAGTAATTATATTATCCCTGCATCATGCGAAACTATCCTTGGTGGAACTCTTCCTATTCATAGTGCTTTTGCAAATTGTGCAAACAATCTCAAAAATATCTCATTTGAAGAAGGAAGCAATATAACAAGCATATATCCATATGTTTTCTCAACATCATCGATTGAATACATAGATTTTACCAATTGTGTCTTTTTAAAAGCAATGAATTACTCATTATTTTATCAATGCCACAATTTGAAGAATGTTACACTTCCTCCAAATGTTTTAACATTGAAAACTGGCTGCTTTTTGGATACACCAAAATTAACATATATAAAATTGCCAGATTCTTGTACGACAATTGAAGGTTGGCATTCAATTTATAACCATGTTTTCTCAGGAGGTTTATCACAAATAGATATTTCAGTTGATTCTCATTTGACTATAATTTCTGGTGATGCATTTATTGGAACTCGTCTTACATATATTTTCATTCCACAATATGTTAACGTTCTTTTTACTTCTGCATTTTCGACAGTTCCTATTAAAAAGTTTGAAATTGATCCACGAAACCAAAACTATCATACCGATGGACTCGTAATTTATTCGGGATCAAACAATTCCACGCTTGAAGTTGTTTCATGCACCTTTACAGGCGAATTTATTGTTCCAGAATTTGTTACAGTCATTGCTGATAATGCATTTAGAAGTGTTCATATTACAAAAATTATAATTCATGAGAAATTGCAGTCAATGGGATCTCATGCTTTTGCAGACACAAATATTGCAAACTTCACATGCAATTCATTGCTTACAAAAGTGTCTTCCCGTTGTTTTACTGATAATAAATTTTTAGATACATTTATTTTCACAAATAAGATCACGAAAATTGATGCATATGCATTCAACAATTGTCCTAAACTTAAAAATATTGAACTCCCAGATTCATTAAAAGAAATCGGTGCTAATGCTTTTTCAGGATGTACTTCGTTAACATATATTAAAATACCTAAAAGTGTTACTTCAATTGGGAGTGGTATCTTCAGAGGATGCAGTCAAGAATTGGTTGTTGATGCAAAAGATAATGATTATTGTACAAGTGAGGATAGAATGTTCTTTATCAATAATAAAATAGAATTAATTGATTTCTTTAATACAGATATCAACCGAGACTTGACAATTCCAACATACTGCTTAACCATCAAACAAAGTACATTTCAAGGTAAACTCCTTCGTAATTTGAACTTTGTTGGTCCTAATGAGATGGTTATTGAAGATTCAGCATTCGAAAGTTCTACAATTAGATCTATTTCTTTTGCGAATGTTAATTTGACATCGTTAGGAATCAAAACATTTTATAATTGCAATTATTTGACATCAGTCACATTTAACGAAGATTGTGTTATCAGCGAGATTCCACAAGATTGTTTCAACTCATGTCCTAACTTAGAGACCATTACATTACCAAACAAAATCACACGTATTGCAGATTATGCATTCTACAGAGCTACTAAAATTTCTAACATCGGAATTGAATCAACAATTTTGATTTCTATTGGATATAAATCATTTTTCGAAAGTGGTATAAAAATAGCACTTCTTCCAACTTCAGTTAATTCGATTGGAGATTCATGTTTCGAATCTTCATCATTACAGATATTTGCAGTTTCAGCCAACCGAATTCCAACAAGATGTTTATACAACTGCATTTATTTAGCAGAATTGACATTGCAAGAAGGTGTTCAACAGCTTGATCAGTACTCACTTGGCAACTGCATCTTTCAAACTGTTATGTTACCACAATCTATTGTAACGATCTCAGAATCATCATTCATCAAATGTGCCTCATTGACAACTATTAAGATTTCAATTAATTCTAATTTGCAAGATGTCCGTGGTGGTGCATTTGTTGGTTGTGAACTTCTTAAAACTATCACTCTTCTTGATGGCGAAGAGAAATTTTTGTTTGAGAATGGTGCATTGATGAGTCATGACCAAACTATCTTATATTGTTTCTTGCCATATAGTGATGTTCGAACATTTGTTGTTCCCATGAAGATGACATCTATCAATCCACGCGGTTTCTACAAGTGCGAAAAGCTTTCAAGTATTTTGTTCAATGGCAATTACATTCAAAAGATCGGCACTGAAGCATTCAAAGGTTGCAAGAACTTGAACTTTGTTTTTGTCAGTTCTCCTAGCATCAAAGAACTTGGTGAACGCTGCTTTGATGATTGTCCATTACTTAAGAGCTGTGGTTCATTCAGCATTCCTACATCATTGTATCCAATATTTAAGAACAGTGGTGTTACTGAAAAAGCATTTCAATTACAATGCACTCCAGAATGTGCGACTGCTATTCAACACGCACCATCTCACACTTGTTTTGGTCCTATTCTTGTTTTCATTGCAATGTATCTATAAATATATGATTCAATTTATTTAATTTAACTTCTCATAAATTGTTCTTGATTTAAGATTGATATATTTCTCCTCAAGTAATTTAAATTAAGATGTATATTTCAAATTTCAAATAATTAGTCGAATTTTTGATCCGAGTATAATTTCATCTGTAAATTTTGAAATTTACTACTTTAATATATATATATAGTTTTATCTTTAGCTGATTTTAAAATTAAGTGAAGTGAAGTTAATATAAAAAAACATTTTTGAATTTTCATTTTTTATTCTTAACAATGACTGAATTTATTAACAAAGTATATGAATCATTGCAATCATTCGATAACAATTATATTAAAATATATATTACCGATCATGCTTATAATACAAATATTTATATTGGATTCGCAATTTCCAATGAATTGAAAAATCAATATCATTTAAATCGATCTACAAAAGAATTCAAATTTTATACAAATATAAAAGACGAAGAAACATATAAAATATTTGAAAAGATATTACAATTACAAGTTATAAAAGATGTTAACCAAAATATAGCCATTGACTTTTTCAACATTGGTGAAGCAATTAAAAGCGAATATTTGATGTCTTTCTTGCTGAATAATTTGAAAAACGATAGTATTACTAAAGAAAATATTTTCATTAGAATTAAATATTACAATCAAGTAGGCTATGATGAGAAGTTGTTCAATTTCATAGTTGAAAACCTTGATTCAATTGATCAAAATGACTTAATAACTTCCATTCTTGATGCAGGATATGAATTTACAACAGATTTGTTGAATCATTTCAAAAGTAAAAATAAAAATTCAAATGAAATAATATTCTCTCTCATCAAGAGAAATATATCATATATGGATATTGTTTTCTATCTTAGTAATGAGTATTCTGAAATCAGAGATGCAATCGATTCGCTCAAAAAATTCTCAACAGGTGAAGGTCAATTTGTGATTGTTTCAATTTTCAAGTCATTATTGGATATAAGTAGGCCGAATAGAACAGAATTAACAAAGTTGCGAAATGAAAATAAATCACAAAGAGATGAAATTAATAGATTAAAGAGGCAGAATACTTTAAAATCAGAAAAAATTACAGAATTAAGATCAGAAAATAACCAGAACAATGATTTCATTCAAAAAATAGGAGAATATTTGCCAAAAATTAAGAAAATAAATAGTATGAATTTGGATGAATCAAAATTTCATGATGTTTATAATACAATTAAAGAAGCTTCAGATCAAAGAGATTTAGCAACAATTCTTTATTATCAAGAAATAACAAAAAAAATTGCTGGACCTAAAATTAAATATGATGTTTTTCTATCATCGGCATCCAGGGGTAATATTCAATTAACCAAAGATTTTGTTGAATGCGGTGCAAATAAATTTGCAGTAACCAGTGAAGGTGAAACTTTGATTCATATATTCACTCGAAATCAAAATCTTGAAGCCGTAAAGTACTTCATGAAATATGATTACGATATAAATAAGAAGGATAAAAATGGAAATACTCCACTTCATTTGGCAGTATTGAATGCAGATTTTAATACATGCGAATATCTCTGCAATTTGTCAGATATCAAAGGATACATCAGAAATAAATATAATGAAACTCCACGAGATATTGCTAAGCGGAAAGGTTATAATAATATTGAAAGTATATTAAGCAAGATTCCTGATAGATGCTTTATAGCTTAGGTAATCGATGCCCATTCCATTTTATAGACCATTATAATATGCATCACACAGTTATAATTGCTTTAATCGGAAAAAAGAAAGATAATATCTTCATATATAAAATTTTATATGCAATCAGTAAAAACATTGGAACTATTTTTGCTTTAGATAATTTTTGTTAAGCTTTCAATTATATTTGCCTTGCTCAAAATAAGTTTTATTGGTTTTATTTTTTAATTTTCATATATTTTGAATTCAAATTTGAGATTTTTCGAAAAAATTAAGATAATGTATATAAAACTATTAAAAATAAAATATTTTATTACTATTATTAGTGAAAATCATAACTATTATATGAGATTTTGTTTCTTCTCATCAGTATATCCCGCAAGAAGTGGTTGCTTCTTTGGTTCCTTAGAAGCAATGATTGGTTCCTTAGGAAGTTTATCTCCTGGGTGCCATTCTTTGCCAACTCCCTTCTTATAAATAATATTGTCATCAATATCATCAAGTTCGACAACCATTCTCTGCGTGTCATCATCATTATCATTCCTGTCGAACAATGACGAGTATTCATCGGGAACAGGACGGAAATTGTAGCCGACAACTGAATAAATCGTAATTTGAAGGAAAGCTGACACTAAATCTCTTATCCAGTACTCACCATTTACAACGACAACAATAGAAACAGTGAGGAAGTAAATGAAGATCGAAATTAAAACAGTATTAAAGACATTTGTGTAAACTTTGAACTTCTTTGATATTGGTGTTGTCGATGGATCAATTCCGCTGTGTTCGATTACTGTCATATGGGCCATAATAACTTTTTTGGCATATCCAACTCTTTTTATTGCGACATAGACGCAGAATGCGATGGCAGCGAACTCTCCAACAAGAATAACAATGGCTAGCCAAATGGAATTCGAGTAGTGAGCTCCGTTCTCTAATCCAAATAATAAAGCAGGAGCAATGTAAGCAACAAGAATATCTGTAAATGAAAAATCTGTATGGATGAAGCACCATCCTGATGCGACCATAATGATTGTACCAAATAGAGAGGCTAAGTAAATTACGTCAATGACATCAAAAGCAATTGACATTACAAGGGATCCGTCGTACTTGCTGACACGCTGAAGGTATAAGTACTCTATAAGAATAAGGACGGCGAACAATACAAAGAGTACGGTGAAAGCGTAGTGAAGAGGAACAAATTTGCACCTACGGATGATATTATAAATAAGCCAGAAGAGGATTGCGCTGCAGGCAACACCAAGGATGATAGGTCCTGTGATTAAAGAAGGTTGTTCACGATAATCTAAATAAGAGTTTGGATTCTTGTAATATACTTCAATATTGACGCGTAATTCTGCATCTCCTGGATAGCAGTCACGCATTACTGGATATAAAATAGCTTTATCTTTTATTGTGCCATTTAGCCAATTTTCCTGTGTCGAATATTTCCAAATGAAGTGGGGATATAAGGTAGGAGCACCACATTGTGGAACATCACGGAGTTCTTTCGAAGTTAAGAAAGCAAATTGATAAGTTCGAGTTGTATTTTCAAGAGCTTTTATTTTTACGGCAAACGTTCCGCCAGATTGAAATCCAAATGTAGGAAGAATGCCAATTGGGCTTATCATAATAAAAGGATATTTTTGTCTAAAGCAGAGTAAAATGCCAAGAATCATTTGTAAAAAAATTTATCGGTTCACATTTCAAAATTAATTTGGAAATTGGAATGCACTAAAGATATTATAATAATCATTGATGAAATAATCTCAGAAAATAACGGTTATGATTTAATTTTGAATAAATTTCATAAATTTATTATATAATATGTTATTTATCATTTTTCATTAAAATATTGAAATTGACATTAATTTGATAGAGCGCATACAATATTTTGAATCGAACCATACGAAGCGAAATCTTAAACAATGTTTCGTTTATTTCTTATACCAAATTTATCACACATAAAACATGCATAAAATTAATGCATCAAATAATTGAATTACCGGACGTTAAACATCCAAAATCATGGATTGCGTATCATTAGCCAAGCGACTAGCAGCAAAGAGGGCAAGCTCAAATGCACCAATTTCCCCAGTTAAACATAGATTAAGTGTTGATGCTCCTCCATTACCAACAAAAAGAGAAAATCGTACTCCTTCAAAGGAAAACATCCCAGATAATCCTATTTTCTTATCCGATACAAAAGGAGTTTTATCAGATTCAAACTCAGATTATTATCATTACGTACCACCGATCGAAAGAATTTTTGAAGATGCTAACCTTCATAGATATTTCAAGAGATTTTTAGCCGAAAGGAAATTGGAAAGTGTTCTAGATTTCCTTGAAAATGCGCGCAACTACAAAAAACAATTCCCTTCAGTTCCGGCACAACAAATCAAAAAACACCGTGCTGTTGTTGAACAGCTTGGCAGAATCCCAGCTTCATTCTTGAAGTCTGCTTCTAAGGGTTCACACAAAATGTCATCAGTTACAGCAGAATCATTCGATGATACAATTTTCTATATCCTTGAAGAATTGAATGAGAAGGAGTATCATTCTTTTTCAAATTCTGTTCTTTTTACAAAATGGGTTTTGAAATACCACAATTGCGGTAAGTAAGCAATATATTGGTATGTTTTTTTCATCAAATTTTTTCAGGTTTAAAATTTATTCATATTAAAAGCTATCTTTATCACCACTATATTATACACTATTATTTTTTATTGAGATGTTTTAAAATGAACACCGAGATATTTTGGAAATAATTTTGTGAAGATGGTTTAAATAAGAAGACAGTTTAATTCAATATCTTAATGGTACCAAAAGTAAAGGGCATGCAATTTGACTTTGAATCGCTCAGTATATATCCATGAAAATAAATATTTACGAAATCTTGTTTCATGTTACAGAAATAATTACACTGTTGTATTAATGTAGATATTTGTCAAATGAAATTAAAAATAAATTCTCCATCCTTTATATGAAATGATTGAATTTTTCGCTTTTTCAGCGCATAAATATGTGATTAGTGAAGAACTTATATCCTACTGATAACCCTTTCATGGGATCTTCTACTCTCGTTAGATACGATGGATTTGATACCAGATGAGACCACTTTTTTAAAAAATAAACTATCAAATAAATTGAGATTTTTAATCTCATTGTTACATCTCGATTTAACATTATCTTTTGTTAAAGAAACCGTTTTTTATCGTTTTTCTCTAAATTTGACAATCTCTAACTGAAAAACTTATTGAATGAAAAATGATTTGTATATTATATCTTATGTAATCAAATCAATTAAAATTTATTGTAATCTTTTGGTTTACATCATTCAAAAATATTTATCTATCGGAGATTGTATGATTATCAATTTATGGGGTTTTAAAAATTATTCGTATTTTATCCTACCTATTATATTTAATAACTCATCGAAAATTTATTGTCAAATTTTGAGTTCTTTCAAATGTCAGCAGCACCCTTTTCGACCTATTTCCCAGGACAAGAAGCAGAGCCCGCATCGTATTCCGAACACAAAAATTTTGTCGTAGGATCAGGAAATATATATGTACGTGCTTCAACTTTTGATGGAATTAGTGATGAAGGTTCAGGAGGCGCAATTTTCAGCGCTACTCGAATTGCAATTGTTCTATCCAAGTTCGTAAATTGTCACTCTGATGTACAAGGAGGTGCAATTGCAGTTTACGCAGTAGATAATAGTCCAGATCGGGCATTCTATTGCACGCAATGCGTCGCAATCGGATGCAACACAAATGATGCATCAAATACTAATCCAGATCATCAAAAAGGAGAGTTTTTCTATTCACACGTTTATGATTCTACTACAACAAACCATGCTTCCGAATTAAGTGTTACAAAATGCGCTGAAGAGGTATCTGATAGTTGCCAGAGACCACTATTCTTTATTGAAGGTAAAGTAACAGCCAAAACTATTAACGTTTCTGATTGTAAAAACGGATGGTGTTCTTGCATGGAAGTACGAACAGCTACCTTAGAAGATTGCAAATACATGCTTATTTCGAACTGCGAATCAAAACAAGTTATTATTGAATTTAATCAAGCAAGTGGAACATTTTCTTACGTAACAATTACTAAATGTGGGACAACAATGGTAGATACTCCCTTTAGGTACTTTACTTTGACAAGTTCACAAATTTTATTTGATTATATTTCTGTATATGACTGTACATCAAGACAGAACGATATCTTCCATAGTATCAATGGCGGACAATTGAGTCTGAACAATGTTTATCTCCAACCTGGTTTCGAAACCAGTAATATAACCGTACAAAATACTCTTGAATCCCAAACAGAATTTCTCACAGAATTCTTTGATGAAAGTGAACGTGAAAATGTTCTAATTGCTGAAACTTCTTCAAGCACTACAACCTCATCAGAAAGTCCATCTACTTCTACTTCTTCATCTGAAAGTCCATCTACTTCTACTACATCATCATCAGAAGAAAAAGAACAATCACAGCCACAACCACAACCAGAAGATCCAACACCAAAGCCAACAGAAGAAACACCAAAACCAACAGAAGTCACAAAAAGTGGTGGTGGTGGAGATAGCAGCAAAGACGGGCAAATATTAGGAATGGCGAAAAAGAATTTCATCATTATGATAGTTTGCGTTGTCGTTGTTGTATTAATAATAATAGTTGTAATAGTTGTATTAATCATCCGTAAAGGAAAGGATGTTGATAGCGATAAATCAGATTCAGATTTTAACGAAGCTGATATTGCTGCAATTTCATCTCCAGAAACAAACTTCCCAACTGAAACTGTTGTGGATGATAACAATATGTTCACAACAAATCAGAATATGGAAGATGACCCATTCAAAGCCGATTTCAATAAGGTAGACTCAGAAAGTGACACTGACTTAAATACTGATGATTTGTAAGTTATCATTTTAATTTATTAGTAAAAAACATATATTTTATCATTTAATATGAACTATTTTTCGATTTTTCCTTAAAGAAGATTCTTTTACAACTAATGAACTTATTTTAACTCATATTTAAAAATAATATTTATTCATATTTCATTGATATCTAGTTGTGTGTGATCTCAAGGCAAAAATTACGAGATTTGATCTAGGGATGCGTTAAACACGCCATTTGACCGGGCGTACATTTTTTTTGTTCGCCCAAAAATTTCGCCATTTGAGAAATTCAAAAATTAAAAATAAAATTTTAATCTTGATTTTTTTATTTTCGTGATTTTTTTGAAACTTACATAAGCGATGAAATACTTTTTTTTAAGTAATCGTTTATTATATATAAATATATCTTAATAAATTTAATTCCTTAAGGTAGAGCGTGTTCAAATTTAAAATCTCATACAATATTTTCTTAATGGCGTATTTTTCTGAGGTCGCCCAAATAAAGGCGAATTCAAAATTGAGAACTCCAAGGCGTATGGCGAGTATTCAAAAAGTACGCCACTTACAAAATATTGAATGTGGATTATCATTTTTTTGGCGTGTTCAATTTCAAATTTTGATATTTATGTTTATTTTATTCAGTATAATGCTAAGAATTAAAATATAAAATTCATAGAATTTTTTCTTTGAAAATATTTTACATTTTTATTAGACCACTCCTAGACTAGTCATCAGGTTATCCTCAGATCATCCTCAGACTACTCCTTATCAGATTACTCATCATCCTCAGACTACTCCTTAGACCCCTCCTCATCAGACTACTCCTCAGATCTTCCTCATAAGACTCCTCCTCAGATCTTCCTCCTGAGACTACTCTTCAGACTACTCCTTAGAGTCCTCCTCATCAGACTAGTCCTCAGACTACTCCTGAAACTACTCCTCAGATTATCCGCAGACTCCTCCTCAGATTATCCTCAAACTACTCCTCAGTCTAATCCTCAGACTCCTCCTCAGATTATGTTCAGATTATCCTCAAACTCCTCAGATTATCCTCAGACTACTCCTCAAACTCCTCAGTCTAATCCTCAGACTCCTCCTCAGATTATCCTCAGACTCCTCCTCAGATTATCCTCAGACTCCTCCTCAGATTATCCTCAGACTCCTCCTCAGATTATCCTCAAACTCCTCCTCAGATTATCCTCAAACTCCTCAGACTACTCCTCGGTCTAATCCTCAGACTCCTCCTCAGATTATCCTCAGACTCCTCCTCAGATTATCCTCAAACTCCTCAGATTATCCTCAGACTCCTCCTCAGATTATCCTCAAACTCCTCAGACTACTCCTCAAACTACTCCTCAAACTCCTCCTCAGATTATCCTCAAACTCCTCAGACTACTCCTCGGTCTAATCCTCAGACTCCTCCTCAGATTATCCTCAGACTCCTCCTCAGATTATCCTCAAACTCCTCCTCAGATTATCCTCAAACTCCTCAGATTATCCTCAGACTCCTCCTCAGATTATCCTCAAACTCCTCAGACTACTCCTCAGACTACTCCTCAAACTCCTCCTCAGATTATCCTCAAACTCTTCAGACTACTCATCGGTCTAATCCTCAGACTCCTCCTCAGATTATCCTCAAACTCCTCAGATTATCCTCAGACTCCTCAGATTATCCTCAAACTCCTCAGACTACTCCTCAAACTACTCCTCAAACTCCTCCTCAGATTATCCTCAAACTCTTCAGACTACTCCTCGGTCTAATCCTCAGACTCCTCCTCAGATTATCCTCAGACTCCTCCTCAGATTATCCTCAGACTCCTCCTCAGATTATCCTCAAACTCCTCAGATTATCCTCAGACAACTCCTGAAACTACTCCTCAGACAACTCCTCAGATTATCCTCAAACTCCTCAGATTATCCTCAGACTCCTCCTCAGATTATCCTCAAACTCCTCCTCAGATTATCCTCAAACTCCTCAGATTATCCTCAGACTCCTCCTCAGATTATCCTCAAACTCCTCAGACTACTCCTCAAACTACTCCTCAAACTCCTCCTCAGATTATCCTCAGACTCCTCCTCAGATTATCCTCAGACTCCTCCTCAGATTATCCTCAGACTCCTCCTCAGATTATCCTCAGACTCCTCCTCAGATTATCCTCAGACTCCTCCTCAGATTATCCTCAAACTCCTCAGACTACTCCTCAAACTACTCCTCAAACTCCTCCTCAGATTATCCTCAAACTCCTCAGACTACTCCTCGGTCTAATCCTCAGACTCCTCCTCAGATTATCCTCAAACTCCTCAGATTATCCTCAGACTCCTCCTCAGATTATCCTCAGACTCCTCCTCAGATTATCCTCAGACTCCTCCTCAGATTATCCTCAAACTCCTCAGACTACTCCTCAAACTCCTCAAATTATCCTCAGACAACTCCTCAGATTATCCTCAAACTCCTCCTCAGATTATCCTCAAACTCCTCAGATTATCCTCAAACTCCTCAGATTATCCTCAAACTCCTCAGACTACTCCTCAAACTCCTCAGATTATCATCAAACTCCTCAAACTACTCCTCGGTCTAATCCTCAGACTCCTCCTCAGATTATCCTCAGATTATCACTTTACATATATATATCGATAACTAAATAATTACTTATTATACTTTCTTTATTTTTTTTTAATTTTAAAATAATATTAATATATCTTTCTACGTTTAATGATGAAAAGAGAAAGAGGAGTAAAAAGAGGAAAGAGAAAAGAAAGAGAGAGAGAGAGAGAGAAAAAAAAAAGAGAAAGAAAGAAAAAACAAAGGACGGCGATAATTTTGTATTGTTTTGTTATTCGGCCGAATGGCGTATTATTCTATTTTTAAACGGTCATGGCGTAAAACCGTCGCATCCCTAATTTGATCTAATGGTTGCAGTTAAATATTGCCATTATAACTATTTTAGTTAGAGATATAAGAAATTTAAAATATCATGTATTATTAATAGATGTTAACACGTTGAACATTATTTTTATAAGTAATAATATCAAAATGTCGTTGTGAATCGTATTGTTTCTCACTTTTGGTGTTCGATTTTTTTGTAATTTTCTGAGATTTTGGAAACTGGAAATCATTCACGATTAAGTTACTAAATTTGTAGATGAATCAATAACAGAATTATCAATTTTTCCAACCTTGAAAAATGAGTCGATACAAAAATTGAAAGATGAAATTGAAATGACAATTCATCTGAAATCTTCTGTATCGGCAAAAAATTGAAAAATAATTTTATATATTCTTCGAGTAGTATAATATCCTGAAAACCACTCAAAACTGTGTCATTTCAATTCTATAACGTACAAATTTGTTATGATCGGACCTGGAACAGAAATTGATTCAACACATGCCAAATATCCTGTTGTTAAAGAAGCGTTTTCCAGGGTTCAGGTTGAAGCATCAGAAGATAATCCAAATGCTCCCATTTTTTGGTGGGATGGAGATATTTATCCCAAAGATTTCAAGAATGTAGGGCCAAATCAGAGAATAAATAAGATTCCTGGAATGGACTATATCTGTTACAAATCAACTTTCATTCATTCTATGAATCAAATGCGTAGATTATTTACAAATTTCTATAAATTCTTTCCATTAAGCTTCCTTTTGCCACACCAATTTACAGATTTCCAAAGAGAGCACGAAAAGTTACAGCATCTTCTCAGAAAGCCTGTAACTTGGATTGTTAAACCTAGAAGTGGTTGCTGCGGCCACGGAATCAAATTAATTCAGCATGTTTATGAAATCGGAAGAAAAGCTGAATCTGTTGTCATTCAGAGATATGTAGCTCCTTACTTACTTGACGGTTATAAGTTTGATTTTAGATTTTACGTGCTTATATCAAACTTATCGCCATACACAGTATATATTTATAAGGAAGGACTCGCCAGATTCTGTACAGAGAAATACGTACCGCCAAGCCCTGATAATTTAAATGATAAGTTTTGCCATTTGACAAATACTTCGATCAACGTTGAAAACGAGAATCCATCAACAGATTTTACAAAACTTGCTTCAGAAGTTTTGGCTCAAATCCAAAATTTGATTCCAAAGAAGTCTGAAACCGTTTGGCGTAAGATTTGTAATGCTACAGCCCTTACAATGCTTGCGATGTGGTCGCCAATCGTAAACGCGATCTCAAATTGCGGAACAACATCTCTTGATACAATTGGCACCCATTACAGCTTTTCATCAGCAGGAGGCATCGACAAATACAATAAGTTCTTCCATATCTTAGGAATCGATATTATGCTCAATGAATTCTTAAATCCGATTGTTCTCGAGTTAAACGACAGACCATCAATGATGGTTACTTTCGATATTGAGAAAGAACTCAAAACAAACTTAATTGTCGATACTCTTCATACGATTTCTACTGATGGATCAATGGTTAAAAGCCATTCTCCAAATTGGGAGCAAATTCTCCCAGCGGATCCATCAACACCGTTTGCAGCAGTTGTTGATGAAGTTTGCAGCCAAAGTTGCTCTGTTTTGAGATCTACAAGTCCAATGAGGATTCCGAAGTCATCAACATACGGAGCAGAGTTGACATTTGCGGATACAAAGCAGTAGATCTATTTTTTATAATATTGTTTGATATATATAAAAATTAAAATTTTAATTTTACTCATTTCTATAAATCAAAGGCTTTTTCATCAACTACTAAGTTGTTTATTGCACAATATTTTATTGCATTATCCGTAATAAATGCTAATTTACTGATATTGATCTTAATATTGAACAAAAGCAGTTCGTTCAAAAACCATTCTGATCTCTTTCTTCCTTTATCAGACATTAGATATGTTAATTACTTATGTCACTACAATATTATAAAATCTAGAAGATTCAATATCAGTATTACTAAAAGTTTCGCATTCAATGATTTTCAGCTTCATATTCAATTTTTATTGATTTTTTACATGTTTCCATCAGTTTTTTGTTAAAAATAATCGAAATATAAAAATTTAAGTTTAAAATAATAACAAAACAATTTATTGTGTAGAATAATTGTAGCTTCCTTCTTCTTCCTCCTCATAGAAGCTTCCATCCTCTTCTTCTTCGAAATCTTCTTCATCTTCTTCACCGTAGCCAGTATAGCTGTAAGAGTAAGGAGTTTGTGACTTCGGCTTGCTAGAATCACTTATCAATGATGACTTATTAGAACTGTTACTATTAGGTTTATGAATTTGAACTTGTGGCGGAGTTTTGTTGGAATTATGAGAACTAGATGTAGAAAATGCTGGCATTGGCTGGAATTGTGGTATGTCTTCAGCAGCTTTCTTGGATCCTGTGGTTTGAGGTGAAGATGATAAACCATTTGGAGAAGTATTGTAAGATTTCGGAGATAATGATGGATTCTGTGGTTCTATCTTCATGTTATTGGATTTAACGCTTTGTTTTGCAGATCCAGCGCTTTGTAAAGATTTAATACTTTGGCTACTTGAAGAACCGTTTTGTCCAGCACTTTTGATCGAAGACCCTTGAGAGTTACCTGATTGTGGATTCGATCCTTGCGGCGTAGACTTTGGAGAATAATTTTTTGATTGAATACTCTGATTATATGAATAAAATGAGCTAGAACCGCTTTTATTCGGATTTATAATTTGTGGCTGAAGCACTGCTTGTGGTGGATTCGACTTTGGAGAAGATTGTGGAGAATTCGAAGTAATCGAATATCCTGAGGATCCTGACTTGATAGAAACGTTCTGTACTATTTCATTGCCTGATTTATTACTTACTGAGCCAGAATTTTGGCTTCCAGATATTGAATAACTTCTGGAACTGTTTTTAGAAACAGTAGGCGGGTGAAATGAAGGCATGTTAGAAGGTTGTGGTTTTGGCGATGGTGATTTTTTAGTACTTTCATAAGAATATCCATAACTGTATGAATATTTTTGTTGCGAGCTGTAAGAATATGATTTGTTATCTTCTTCTTGACTATAATCTTCTTCCTCGTCATTTTGGTTCTTCTTGTTATCTTGGGAATCATATTCGTAATCTTCTTCATCTTCTGCAGTAATTGAGCGAGATTTTACTACAGCAGGGTATATATTTTCATTAGATGATCTTGTTGAATTAACTGATGGAGGTAATGGAAGATTTGGAGCTGCAACAGCTGTGGAAGCAAAATTTTGTGATTTTGAATCATCCATTGACAAATGAACATAGTTCACTGCCCTTTCTTGGAACTTAACCGATTGTCTAACTCTTTTAGCAAAAGGTATTGGCAATTTTTCTCTTGAAATTTTGAGTAATTTTCCGAAATAAGCATCAACAGACTTTGGATCTTGAGAAAATAGGCCTGGGAAGTTGGTTTCTTTTCCATTTAGTTCACTTTGAATTGCCATAAGTGTACTCATTGCGTTGTTATTTTTAAGAAATGAAATGCAGAACTCCAAAGCAGTCTGCCATTGTTGTGTATCACGTATTTTAAGTTGTGGCTTCAATAAATCGAATTTATTTGTATTTTGTTGCATTAAAAATTTAGATAATTCGCCATAATATTTTGCCTGATAATGATTTTCAACTCCTTTCACTTTAAGTGCTGTATTAACGCGAATTCGGATGTTTTCATCTGTTGTTTTAGGCGGAAGACGCCTTTTATTCGGCAAATTCATTTCTTTTTTTTACATAACGGACGGTTAAATCTCCCATTCTATTTTATTCATTCCCCCAACATTTAATTCGACAGTCTTTAATTTGTAAATACTTAGATCATGTTTAATATATAAGCTTTCATTCATTACTCCTAGTTTCCCAATGAAGCTTTCAGTTGAATCTTAGTTATTAGATTTTACATTCATATTTCTCATAATTATAGTAATATTAATGGATAAATCCTTAATGGCATCTCAAACAGAAAAATCTGCCCCTACTTTACTTTTGAAAATCATTGAATTAAAACATGACGCAATTATTATCACTATTTTTTATTAAAATTTCGTGTAAAAACATATAAATTTCGTAGGCTATCTTCATGCTTCATCGGAGTAGTAGGAATAAACTACATCACTTGAATAAACATCAACACCTTCGCCAGAATCAAACTTCTGATCGTCTTCGTTTTGAAGACTTGGATCTGGTGATGGAGGTGGAGGTAATTTCTTTTCTTTCCTCTTTTTCTTCTTCTTCTTTGGCTCTTCAGAAGCTGGGACATTTTGAGGAGCTGGAGCTGGTTTTTGTTCTAAAACAACTGGCTGTATTGGGATTGGAGCTGGGTCTGGTGAAAGTGGTGGAGCTGTAACATCAATAAATACTTCTCGAGCAGTAACATTGGACTGAAGCTCTTCGCTCTCAAGTAATGGAGATGAATTAACATTTTTCTCCTCTGTATCGTTTGTTTTTCTGCAGTAGCAATAGTAAATAACAATTAAGACAATAATTAAAAGGACAACTAGCAAAGTTATGCCAACAGCTATCCAAAGAGTATGTTCGTTTACTGGCTTGGAAGTGGGTGATGCACCATTTGTGCACAAACCTAGGGCATTCAAGAGGAAAAGAAACATATAAAAAATTGTGGTAAATAAAATAGATATTTGAATAGATATAAACATCCGAAACCAAAGCTGCTAAAAAAGATTTATAACTAATAATAGATGGATTACCGGCACATTAGTTTTTATAGAGTCGATACTTTCAAAATTCTCAAAACTGAATTGAGACTTTGAAAATTTCTATTTTGGGCCGGTTAAAAATTTGAATAAATTAAATTAACTTGAAAAAATATCGGATGATTTCCCTTAAATTTTGAAAGACCGAAATATAACCGTTGAGAATTTTGTCCAAGTTTATTTGATTAAAACTATTTTTGCATAAAATAATTTTATCAAAAAAATTCTAAATATTCAAAAATATTAATTCGTTAATAGATTAGAAACATTGAATGCATTTCATTTTTTATGAGAACGTTAGATAAAATTTTTTCAGAATCTGTCTCAAAATTGGAGGGGAAAAAAATTACAATAAATGTCATAATCAAGACTTCCATTCATAATAGAAAAATAACCAACTATAATTTTGTCATTTTCTGTATGTTTTTTCAAAAATTTGTAAAATATAGAAATCTTTTAATGATAATCTTATGAATTCATAACAACCTTATGCTTAACTAATCTTTTGATTTTTCAATGGGGAGTTATGTTGAATTTTCTAAAATGTCTTTTGGAATTCACCAAATCCTATGTATTACTGCCAATTCACTAATAAAATAAATGAGTGTATCTCATTTATAGACATTTAATGGCATTGCTTCAACATTGAGTTGATATTGCATCTAATTATAACATACCCAAGTAATCTTATGAATTGATAACCATTTTATGAGTTCATACTGCATAAATATCAGAAAAGATATGATAAGATATCCTAAAGAAAAATCTTGTATAGAATTTAGAATATAAAGACTTTTTTTTTAATAATATTCATCAGTAACGAGTAAAGGTTCATCGGCAGCTGGATCTGGTTTTGGTCTTCTGCGAATGAAGATGATTGCCATTGATCCAGAAACAAGGCCGATGAAGATAATAATGTAAACAGTGAAACTGAAGAATGAAAGGAACTTCGGTTTCATCTTAAGAGGTTCTTCTTCGATAAGTTTATCATCTTCTTGCAAATTTTCTTCTTTCTTTTCATTTTGTTTCTTTTTACGATCTTCTTCCTCTTTATTCTTCTGTTTTCTCTTCTTTTCCTCTTCATTTTTCTTCTTTTCTTCTACCTCTTCTTCATCCTCATCTTCTTCATCTTCATCATCATCTTTATTCTTCTTCTTTCTCATTTGTTCTTTGGTTTTTCTATCCTTTAGTTTGACCCAATCTTCGTCTTCATAATTATCATCATCTTTTGTTCCTTTCTTTTGTAATTTCTTGTTCCTGTCCTTTAATGAGACCCAATCTTTATCATTGGCATTGACATTCCTGTATTCAGCATCTTCTTCGCTTTCATCATCATCGATACTTATTTTACTCAATTTTTCTTTTCTCTTTTTTTCTTCATCGTCGTCATCTTCTGTGTTTCCACCTGTGATCTTCTTGTAGACTGTTGGAAGTTGATCTCTTGGATGCTGTTGTTTCTTCTTTTTGTCTTTTTCGTCTTCGTCATCGTCGTCATCTTCTGAATCTTCGTCATCTTTCTTGGAATCTTTTCGTTTGAAGTTGTTTTTCTTGACCAATGGAACTTTGTCTTCATCATCATCATCTTGTTCTTCATCATTTTTCTTTGAAATTTCTTTATCTTTTTTGTGATCTTTTCCTTCTTTGTTTGTTTTATGGGATTTTTCATCTTGCTTATGTTCTTTCTTGTTTTCGTTCTCTTCATCTTTTGTTTCTTTGTTATCTTCTGATTCTTCTTGATCATCTTCTTCTTTCTTTATGTCTTTCTTATCTTTCTTCTCGGATTTATTATTGTGATCATCTTTCTTATGTTCTTCTTTCTTTTCTTTGTAATCATCTGATTCTTCTTGTTCATCTTCATCTTTCTTGGTTTCTTTCTTATCATTTTTCTCTTGTTTATGATGTTTATCTTCTTCTTTATGCTTTTTCTCTTCTGCGTCAGTTAATTTGTAGTCACCTGATTCTTCTTCTTCGTCCTCTTCCTTTTTAGGTTCTTTCTTGTGAGGTTTGTCATGTTTATCATTTTTAGAAGCTTCTTTCTGACGTTTTTCCTTCTCTTCTTCTGATTCTTTGTAATCATCATTTTCTTCTTCTTGATCTTCATCCTTCTTTACATTCTTCTTGTCTTCTTTGACATTCTTATCATCTTTATGTTCTTTCTTGGCATCTTTGTCTTCTTCTTTCTCATCATCTGAATCATTTTCTTCTTTCTTTGGTTCTTCTTTTGGTTTTTCATCGGATTTGTTCTCTTTATCATCTCTAGCTTCTTCTTTCTTCTTCTCTTTGTCTTCTTCTTTTAATTCATCAGATTTTTTATCTTTTTCTTCTTCTTTCAATGGTTTTTCTTCTTTCTTGGTTTCATCATTCTCTGGTTTGTCTTCTTCCTTTGATTTTTCGGACTTTTCCTCAGATTTCTTTTCATTTTCTTCATCATTCTTCTTTTCTTCTCCTTTCTTTTCGTCTTTGTCAGTTTTATCATCTTTTTGTTCTTCCTTCATCTTTTCTGCGTCTTTTTTCTCATCAGATTTTTCATCTTTCTTTTCTGATGATTCTTCTTTAGTTGTAGCATCGGATTTATTATCTGTATTTGATTTCTCTTCTTTCTTATCTTCATTTAATGCGTCATTCTTTTTATCGTCATTTTTATTTAATTTTTCATCGTTTTGAGTTTCGGAATCTTTTTCGTGTGTGTTTTCTTTCTCTTTTTCATTAGTGTTATCTGATTTCTTACTTTCAGCACCTTTATTTTCAGAAACAGATTTCTTTTCTGTTTCAGTGTTTTCTTTTTTAGTATCAAGTTCTTTTTCTTGTTCCTTCGCTCGTTTGTTTTCATTGAGCTTTGCTGGTTGTTTCTCCGAGTCATTATTTATATTATCTGTTGTTTTTTCATTTTTGCTTGGTAATTTATCGTTTTCTTTGTTATCCTTGGTATTTTGGTCTGCACTCAATTTGTCTTCTGGTTTAGTTTCTAACGGAGTTTGATTTTTTGTTGAATTATTTAAATTTAATGATTTATTTGTATTTTCTTTAACCTCATGATCTTGTTCAGTGTTTTTCTGGCTTACCTTTGAATCTGAAATTTCAGATAGTCCTAGAATAAGGAAAAGAAAAATCATTTTTATAATTTAGGCAAATTTGTCAAATTTGTTATAAAAGTAAACTATTGAATGTAAAAAAATATTAGTGAGCTAAATTAGTCTCGTGTATTATTCCATCTATGCATGTATTGCTTCTGGCGAATTCATTTTCCAGGAAACCTTGTTTAGGTGGTTGAAGTTTATTCGAAATTTCGTGTTTTGAACATCTATTAGATCTACGAAGAGGATTATTGTTAATTTAATGGCTGCTATTGAACTTCTAAAGGAAAATTGGTTTAATTTGGAGTAGGTTAATCAATGAATCCCGCAAAGGAATAAAATGATTTTATCGATATTCGCACGTGTCACAAATGTTAATCATATTTACATAAATATTTTTTGGGTATAATGATCAAACAATCCCAATACTGGTGCCAAAATTTTATCAAATATTTTTTTATTTAACCATACGTTCAGGGGTTAAGTAGATCTTTGGATTGTATGGTCATGCTTATGTGTTCCACTCATGTTTTCAATATGAAGATAAATTTTTGTCTTCAAACTTGTAAGAACCTTATTTTTCGGAACTCTTTTACTGATTCAGACATAAATGGTTAAAACAGCGCTATTAAAAATGTGTTTTCAATTTCTTGATGTGATTCAAAATTTGATACGAATCAGCACCTTTTGATCGGAATTGTTCCTATTAAAAGTGACAACATTTCTGAATGACGAGTCTTGATCTAAAGATCGTCGTTCTTGGACCAGCTGGCGTTGGAAAGACATGTGTTATCAACAGATATTGCAATGACACATATCTTGAAAACACTTTGTCTACAATTGGTGCAGGATTTTTCCCTCAAACAGTAAATATCAACGACGTTGAGGTTAATATGATGATTTGGGATACTGCAGGTGAAGAAAGATTCAAATCAATCGCTCCTTCATTACTTAGAGGCGCAAACGGATTAGTTTTAATATATGACGTAACCTCACCCGATTCTTTCACAGACGTTGACATATATCTCAACATGTTCTTAGATACAGTCGATTACGATCAATCAAAACCTCTTCCAGTCATGCTTTTAGGAAATAAAGGTGACATGTCACCAGTTGTATCGGATCAAACAGTTAACGAATGGCTATCAAAGAACAATATTCCATTACATAAAGTTGTATCAGCTAAAACCGGAGATGGCATCAGCGAAGCTTTCACAGAATTTGTTAAAACGTTCTTAACAAGATCATTGGATCAGGAGAAGAGAATGAACTTCATTCAGATTACTCCACCCGATAATACTAAGAAATCCTCAAATTGCTGTTAATTTTTTTGTATAAAGATTTTCCTTTCAAAAGAAAGCAAATATATAAAACTATTCATCGTTTTTTACAAATTTAATTCGATATTTTATATGTTATCCATCAAAATTCAAACAAAATATTGCAAAATTATTTTTGGAAGCTTTTCATTAATTTTTTGTAATATGGCTCTTATTTACATGCTGATATGAATCTTATCTGAGTCATTCTTTCATTAGAAGATGATAATCTAACTCCAAGGATGTTCAATTGAAATAATTATAGTGTGAACATTATCATTATATCTATTTTTGTTAAATATGGATATTGGTATAATAATGCATATATTAATCATAGATCCAAGAAATAAGATTTGAAAAATTGAGATTCAGTTACTATTTGATCTAAAAATAGTTTTGCTATAACTTGTCTGTGCTATGTTTAGATTATCAGCTGAATTTTTGCTGAATGTAAAATTATCAACGAAATTTTGTGCTCAGAAAATGTGATCGGCATCATTCCGTTTGAAAAAAATTATGACTCAAGTTCCGCAAGATATGCTGAAAATATATCCAAACCCAATCATCTTACGGGATTTAGAGGTAGGTGAAACCGATACAGTGGAGTTTTTAGCCACAAATTACTCGAAAAATTCATTAAAATTACGTTTTTCTCTTCCTCCAAAGTCTAATTTTCAATTAAACAATGTTGCACACTTTTCTTTGAGTCCTGGTTTGCAAACATCACGTAAAATCACTTTCAAAGCATCTGATAAATATGAAGAAGCACAGCTCCTTGTTTCTTCGCCAAGTTTTGAAGATTTCACGATTCCCGTCATCTTCTACCCACCATCTCCATCAATCGAGATCAATAAAATGCATTTCGACCTTGGCAATATCAGTTTACGTTTTCCTCAAACTCAATTCTTCAAGATAACAAACTTCGGTACAAAGGATGGCAATTTTACAATTACATGCAATGATAAAGACGTCGAAATATTCCCAACAACGGGTTTTATTCAATCAAATCAAACTCATAAAATACAATTCGAAATTGAGCCTACAAAAGTTGGTCCTGTACAATATACAATCAATGTTGTATGCGAAACTGCATCAATTAAGTCGCAACAAGTTATTGTAAATGCAAATGTCCAAGATCATTCTGTTCAAGTCTTTCTAGGTAAAGAAGAAGTTGGTACAGTCAATTTTGGTCGTGCTTTCTTTGGCCAAAAGATCAAAAGAACATTACAAATTGTAAATAACGCTCCTTTCAAAAGAATGTTCGTAATTCAAATACCATATGATCCAACTGAAAAGAGATTGAAAACAAAGCAAATTTTCACTCCTTCTCCGATCGAAGGCGAAATTGAAGGAAATACAACAAAAGATATCGTTTTTTACTTCAACCCGCCAATAGAAAAGGTTGAAAGCGATGACGAAATATTTTATGAACACGAGACACGTCTAGATATTGTAAAAACTCCAATTTCTATTCCATTAAAATTATCTGGATCTGCAGTTCCTTCAAAATTCAAAATTAGTAGCTTAGACTTCTCATTTGGTGAAAAACTAGTCAATTCGTCAACATCCCAAGAGATGGAAATCGAAAACATATCAACAATTAAAGATATAACTTTTAATATCAAGAAAGTTGCACATTATCACTTCACTCCAATGTCAGGAACCATCAAGACAGGCTGCAAGAAGGTCATTACTGTCTCATTTGATCCGAAATCCCTTGGAGTTATAAATACAACTACAATCATGGAAATTTGCGACGGATTGGTTGCGCGCCATATCACTCTTAGTGGAACATCAGTGTCCACAATCAATATGGGCACGAAAGGACGAGTTCCTGTTTGGGAATCAGATCCAAATGTGAAGTACCTATTAGAATATCCAAGAATGGAATACGGATTCACGATGAAGGACATCAATGATAAAGAAAAGCAGAAGGAAGAGTTCGAAGAATTCATTGACCAAGAATCATCTCGAAGAAGTGAGAAAGAAATGAGGGTAAAACTGAAAGAACAAGCAAGAACAGATGCAAGACATTTATTACAATCAACAATTCCGAACTTTACTGAAGACCAACTTAATAAAGCTGCAGAAAACCGTCTCGAAGCATTAGTTAAAGGATACGATGACCCAATTAACTTCGGAATGAGTTACGCTGATGGTCTGGAACCTCCTGCTCCTCCTGCTGACCAAATACTCTCAGCAAGAGCTCCAAGAAATAAATCAGGAAACATCAAATCACAAAAAGGTGACAAAAAAGGCAAAAACGCTAAAACATTCAAGACGAAACCAACGACAAATGCCGAAATCGCAGAGTGCTCAAAGCCTTTGTCACCTTCCCAACAACTCTCTGTTTTCATGGACAAAGAAAAATTAGAATTCGGGGAAGTTCCTGTAACCGCCAAGAAAATTTTGCCTGTCACTTTTACAAATAATTTGACACAACATGTTTTTGTTCAATTAAAGACAGATGACTATCCTGAGTTCAACTTAACTAAGCCAAATGCTCAAGTTGTTCCTCCAAACACAAATGTCACATTTGAAATTGTTTTATGTGATTCCGAATTGAAAGTTATCAACAGACAACTTAAATATGTTGTTAATAATACTCATGAAGGAATCATCAGTTTAACAGGAAAGACAATACCAATTGAACTTAAACTTTCAAAGAATTTTGTCAATTTTGATTTGACAACAATTTCAGGAAACAATTTCCAAATGATGAAAGATTATGTTACAATTGTTAATCCAACAGAAGCAGTTGTCAATGTTCGATTGTATGGTTTTTCAGAAAACTTTTCATTCCAACCATCAAATGGTCAGATACAACCACATGAATCTCTTTCATGCGAAGTTTTCTTTAAACCAGGCCAGAAACAACAAAACGAGACACAAGGAATTCTTAGTGTAAAAGGTGGTCCGAATTTGAATTTTACTATCACAGTCAATTGTGGAAATCCTGTTATTAGTCTTGACCGAAATAATTTAGATTTCGAATTGGTTAGTTTAGGAATTAATAACATTTTAGATTTCAACATGAAGAACACAGGAAATGATCAAGCATTGTTCTTCATTTCTCCATTGTCATGTGAAGATTTAACAATTAATCCAATGTCAGGCAAGATTCTACCACATGATTTAATTAATTTCATTGTTGGTTTGAAATGCACAAAACCTATTTCTATCAAAGAGAAAGTTGAAATTGTCATTTGTGGACAAAACGCACAATATGTTAATGTTTGTGGTCATGCAGAGAATCCACAAATAGAATTATTGTTTGAGAATTTAGATTTCGGAAAGATATTTGTTGGTAATACAGAAAGTCGTAAATTTACTATCAAAAACACAGGACATATTCCTGCAATTGTTACATTAGATATGACTAATTATGAACAATTCACTATTGAATATGATCTAGAATTAGGAAATGCCGCATTCAATGGAACTCAGAATTCAATTATTAATACAACAGCCATGGGAACATTGTCTAGTTTAGATTTAAGTATGGTATCATCAAACAGTTCTAGTAAAACTAACATTCAAGGCTTAACATATAAAATCACTATTATAGAAGGAAGTGAAGTTAGTTTTGACTTAATTTTCAAACCTAATATTGTTGGAGATTTCACATTTGAAATGCCATTACAAATGGCAGACAACACTTTCATTACATCTTCAGTTCAACCTATGGTTATTGCAGAATCAATCCAATCTCCTTTAGTTTCATCAATGAATGCAATGGACTTTGGATTGACACCAATTTATGATGCTTTGAATCCAAACATCAGACCAAACATGAAACGATTTATTCTTACAAATAAAACTACAAACAAAAGTGTTAGTTTTCGAATTACATCTACTATTTCAGATGAAATCTTTTTGATCGAGCCGAAGGAAGGAACAGTCAATGTCAATGAAGAGATTCCAGTTGTTGTTACATTCAGACCTTCATCAAATGATCCATTTGTTTCTAGTTTGACAGTCTACGCAAAACCAGAACGAGAAGAAGAAATCATTACAACACGAATTTTAGTTTCAGGTAGTGGATATAATCGTCAGTTCAGATGTGAAGTCGACAACATCACATTACCAGTTGTTCCATTGAATATCAAAGCAGAACGAACAGTTCGAATCATCAACACAAGATTCATTGATTCGAAGATCGAAGCAGTTTTACCAATTTCAGAGAAGAATTTCCCATTAACAGTCACATTTCCAGAAGGAAACATGTTACAACACTCATTAGTTAGTACACCTATGACTATCTCATTCGTTAGTGATAAACCTATGAGTTTCAGCACAATGATTGCTATTGTTGATTCACAAGGTTCAAGTTACAATGTCACAGTTTCAGTTTGTACCGATAATTCAGTTTTTACGTTGTATCCAGTTTTGTCATTCAGTTGTTTCAACATTTCTAATATCCTTGGTCGACCAATTACAGCATCAACAAAGAACCAGATCCCAGATGATTTCATTGCACAATTCTCAAACAACCAAGGCTTATACGATGATTTGAAGAAGATGCGTTCATACAAAGCTAATGAGATTTCTATCAATTTCATTATCTCATTTTTGAATGCATTTGTTATGTCTAACAAGATTTCTGTTTTTCCAGAGAATTTTTCTAATTCCAAAGGAGATTTGATTTACAAGATGATTGATAACTTGAGTGGTAAAAAGAATTCTATGAAGAGTGACAACACAACAAGTATTAACAAACTGAAATGTTTGTTGCAAAATCTTATGACAGTTGGATGCCATGTTTCTCGTATCCGAGCAGAATATCTTCTTAACAAAGAAGAATTCATTGAATATTACACACGAAAAATCATCCGACAAAGTTTAGGTATTGATTACATTCAAGCACCTGATATTTCAACATTGAATCAAAAGAGTGTTAATCAATACATCACATCTAAACTATTCCAAGAAAAGATGAACGAAAAGAAGAAGATCATTGAGAAACTTTATAAACCATTGAGTCAAGAATCATGGTTATATTTGATCAACCAAGTTTTGAAAGTTTATTTAGTTTCTAAATTCAATGGTGAAAAGATGAATCAAATTCCAGGATTTATTGATTCCATGAAACAACTGAAACAAATTGGAAAAGACAACATCTATAATGATGTTAATCGTCCACCACGAATTCTCACAGCTTCTAATGTTTTGTCAACAAACGAATGTGCATTGATGAAATGGATTAATTGTTATTATTGTTTGTCTAAGAAGTGCCAAGATGTTACTCCAATCCATTCATTTTTAGAGTTGCGAAATCCACAAATCTTGGCAAGTTGTTTCACATCATTGATCCAGAACTCAGCATACAAACATTCCGAAAACATGGAAGAGAATGCATTTTCATTACAAAAACTTATCCAAAGCTTACGATTGAACTTCACTCCAGATACACCAGCTTTGTTACATGGTAATGAACCAACATTATGTTTATTGTCATTCGAGATATTCCAAACATTGCCACATTATGTTCCTACTAAAACTATTGAATTTGAAGTCGAATTAAATAATACTATCACACAAAATCTTACTATTTCTAATCCGTCTCGGAACGAAATCATTTATAGTATCAGTCTTTCCGGTTCAGACAATTTCACATGTGAAGACAAGAAAGTCACACTATCACCAGGTAAATCGACAAACATTCCTATTTCATATTTCGCACGATCACATCATTCAGACCGAGGCACTATCACATTGTTGCCAAACAGACCAAACACTAACAACAATGCACCTGTTCAAGTATCATCTATTGTTGTTGGGTTAGTTTCAAATGTCGTTGTTAATGAACCAAAACGACAATTCGAAATGAAAGGACAACTTTATTTGCCAACATCATTCACAATTCCAATCCAAAACGAGACCGGGAAAGGAGGCAAATTCAATGTTGTTTATCAATATTCATATACAACAGAGAATGGATATTCGGTTGGTATGCAACCTCTTAAAGAATTTGTTTGTGCAGGTCGATCATTGAACAAAACACTTTCTAGCAAGAACTTGGTTAGTGAAATCTCTATTCATGTTCCTTTTGTCATTGATGAAGGAACTATAGTTTTACCTGATTCGAAAGACGAACAAGTTCCATTCAATGTTGTTTTCATTCCTATCTGCATTGGTAAGTACAAACTTCAAATTTTGATATCGAATTCATTATGTGGTGAGTTTGTTTATGAATTGAATGCAGAGAGTGAAGTGAATTACGATGCAGAATCCACATCTAATGTTAAATGCGAAGAAAACTCTAAATTGTCATTGAACTTGAATGTTGAAGCCGCTAACAAGATGCTTGCTAATGCATTGGCATACAGCCGAATCAAACTATCATCTGCTTATCAATGGCCACTTCCAGAGAACAAATTCAAAGATTTAGTTAATCAAACAACTCGAGAAATTCTTAATTCATTCATGAAGAATCTCGAAACTAAGTTCACATTAACATACAGTTCACAATATTTCAGTGGTCCACATGAATTTGTTTTAGGAAGTAACACCGTTATTCCATTAACATTCTCACCTCCGAAAGCAGGTTCATACACATGCAAAGTTATTTTGTCATCTCTTTTTGATACAAGGACTATTAAAGTTAATGGAACAGCTACACCCCAAACAAAGAACATCTCCATCATGTTCGAAACTACGGCAGGTAAGAACATCACACAAGAAATTCCATTTAATAATCCATCCGACCAATTATGGAATTTCAAAATTACATACACAGGAGATTCCGAATTTGAGATTCCAACAAAATTCTCAATCAAACCACAAAGCACACAGAATTTGCCTATTTTGTTCAAATCTAAGAAGATGGGTCAATACCGAGGCACACTTGTTGTTACTAATCTTACTAAGGAATCAACAGTTAACTACAATCTTCAATCTAATGTTTCAGAACCATTGGCAGAAGAAAAGATCTCTATTAAATGCCAAGCTCGAAAGAAACAACAAGTTAAAATCAATTTACCACAAGGATTCATCCAAAACGGAACGGCGAAAGTTACATCAGATGTTGCAGTTATTTCATTTGATTCATACATCAGTTGCCAAAACAACAATGCGACATCACCTCTAACAATCAATGTTTTTGCACTTCGAAGTGGTGTTGCATGTGGCACATTGACCATCACAGATATCAACTCGGGTTGTTTCATCTGGTACATTGTTGAAGTTGAAGTTTCTCGTCCCGAACCAGAAGAAATCATCCAAGTTTCAACTATCGAACGACAACCTGTCCAAGTGACATTCTCAGTTTTGAATCCTAAGAATATCCATGTTTCATTCGATGTTGTTTTCAGTGATAATGATTTATCCGGTCAAAGCAAAATCATTATTCCACCTAAATCTAGCTTTGTTTATACTATCGATTTCAATCCATTATTCTCAATGAAGCGAACATCATATGTTTGTTTCTACAACAACGATGAAGGTGAATACAACTACTTGATGAACATCAATGTTGATGAAGCATTACCATGTGTTTTAGCACCATTCAAATCTATGATTGGTTCATCTAGTTCATCATTCATTCAAATTGAAAACCCATCCAAAAAATTATCTACATTTCGATTCGAAGTTGACAACGCAGATGTTTTCCATGTTGTTTCTAAACCAACATTCACAATTGATGCACATGATATTAAGAACATCGAAATCAAATACACTCCTAGTAAGATCGGTGTCAAAGAGACAGGAATTATCCGATTCCATTCTAAAGATGCAGGTAACTGGGTTTTCCAAGTCTCAGGATACGGCAAGCCTCCACAAGCATTGTCACCTATGATTGTTGAGAGTGCAATCAACCATTCAGTTTCTAGTTCAGTTGTTTTCACAAATCCATTCTCTTTCCCATGCATGTTCGAAGCAACATTGATCAACGACGATGACAAAGAGAATCACTTCAAATTACTTTCTAAGCGTCGATCATACCAGTTCCAAGAATATGGTGAGAGTCAACATATTTCATTCACATTCACATCTAATAAACTTGGTCAATTCAACGGGACTATCATTGTTACAACTACAGGCAAAGGATCACAGATCTCATGGAATTTCCCACTCATTGGAATTGCTACACAGAACTCAGAGAACTCTACACCAGAGCTTCATGGCAAAGCGAACCAAGTCATTCGTAAGACTATCGATCTTCCTCTTGCAGGTGAAACAAACGAACTGAAAGCGAGTGATTACCAGATTTCTATTGATTACACTAATGGGAATGACTGGATTTCTAAGTACATGACAATTTACTCAGAAGATGTTTATCAATCAAATTACACTATTATGTTGAAAGTTTATATCCAGTTCAGTCCGAAGCGACCTATCGAAACAGTCATCCATTTGAAGATCGAAAACGATAACAAACAGACATGGCGATTCCCAGTCAAGATCCACATTGAACCATCACTTGTTTCTAAGAAAATGACAATCATTTCAACATTGAACAAAGTTGCTAAAGCGAAAGTATATTTAGACGAAATCATTGAAGAAGACACTGAATTCCATGCATATTTCATGCAAGGCTCGGCACAAGAACTTAGTATTTCACAGAGTGATGGTATTTTAGAACCTAATGAATCCGAGATTGCAGAGATGCCATTTGATATTGTTTTCTTACCACGAACATATGGTAAACTTGTTCGCGGCACATTGATTATTGACACCGAAGAATCAGAATACATCTTTGACATCTTTGGCAAGATGCCCGACTACATTCCTCCACAAGTTAGTAATGGAGCAATTGATACTACCATGCCTGAAAGTGCACGAACACGAATTGACTCTACCGAACGAAGGCGAACCAACATGCGTGATCAAATTGGTAGAGCACGAATCACTAAACCTAAGTCCGCACGAAAACCTAAGAGATTATCTGCTTAATTTGTTTTTGTTTTTGTATTTATTTATTTATTTTATATTATTTATTTTGTCTTTTAATTAAAGTCGTTATATTTTCTCCAAAATGATAAAGCTAATAAGATTCAGAAAGCCCAAAAAACTCAATTGTTAGATTTGTTAGTTTTCTTAGATGTACGCCTATGTTCGTATGATGTAACCTTAAATTACATGGTTTATTGTTAAATTTCAATGTCAGAAGTCAATTAAAAAATTTAAGGTTTTTCGATGTAAAAATATTTTGTAAACATTTCAAATTCTCCATCGAGAATGGAGCGACTTTTTCTATGGAAGCCCCACATATTCAAGCGGAGGAAAAATTCCATCAAATGGTCAATATCATGTTGAAGATGATATTTTCACTGGTTTTTCAGACAACACGATCTTTTTTTCTACAAGTTCAAGTACTAATAAATTATTAGTTGAAACATCATCATTTTCACACAACAAACTAATATCTGGTGATAATGATGGTGGAACATGTCTTTATTTTTATAATTCAGGTGAATGTTGTCAAAATAAAATTTGTTCTATAAACAACAGTGTCAATGGAGAAAATGTTGAAGGTCACCACTCTCGTGTTTATGCAACAGATTCTGATAGAGCTAAGAATTTTTTCAATTTTTCTACTATTTCAGAATGTGGAAAAGAAGGAATTGGAGAAGCACCAGTTTATCATCAATATGGAAATATTCAGATTAGTAAAACAAATATTTCTAAATGTTTATGTATTTATTATTCATCATTCGATATATTGTATGGAGCTACATCTTCATTTGTTACATATTCAACATTTTCGAATAATTCACATTATAATAATGGAGTGAATTTTAATAGTGCAAGAGTAGCATCTTTTCTACAGAAAAGTAACATTCTTAGCAATAAAGGAACAGAAACAATCACTTCATATTATACAACAAAACTTACTGTCGAAGATTGTGTAATCAAAGGGAATACAGGTGGTGTTTTATTTAGAAACTATGGTTCATCTATTGAAGTAATTCATTGTAATATTGATTCATATTCAGCATATGGACAAGTTTTGTGATATCAACGACTTTCTAAGATAGTTTAGATTGAAATTTTCGTCTTTTAGTATTTCATTAATTTCTTGATTTTGAAAATCAATTTCTGGACAATATTTTAGAAGTTTAACTGCTTTATGATCAACTCTAATTCTTTCTAGTATGAATTTTGCTATTTTCTCTGGTTTGTGATATATAAATGGATTCTGAAGAATTTGTGCAATGAAATCTATGTCATTTAATGCTTCTGATGATAGTTTATCAACTATGTTTGTGAATTTAACATAATCTTCTAATGCAAACTGTAAAATATTAATAATGTTCATTCCATTTTTGAAAATATAATGTAAAGTATTAATTTTCTCCGAAATACTGATGTTTTTGAAGTATTTGCATACTGATATACCTAATAATGATTGGATTTTGAAGAAAACTACTGCTTTGATGAAATTATAATCGATATTACTTGTATATTCACGATAATTGCCATTTAAATAGTCAATAAAGTATTGTATGATCGATGAGTCTATTTCTGTATAGATTTTATTGATAGAAATGTCTTCGATTACCCTTGAAAAAATATATTGGGAGCATCTCGATGCCATAAATGAATTTACGTAGAAACTTTTGTTGTAATTTATTATTTCTAAATCCTTTTGGCACTTTGATGTAATAATTGAGTAATCTCGAGTAAAACTAAATGTATTTCCGCGATTTATTGTCGTCCATAGATCTATATTGTCTACATCACTGGTGAATTCCTTAATCCTATTAATAAATTCTGAATAACTGCCATCAATTTTAATAATTTTCAAAATATCAATAACATCGGCTTTATTTTTAATATAAATCTGACGAATGATTCTAGTTGCTAATTCTGGAGATATTGCCGTAGATTTATTTAGTATTCTCGTGATACAAGGCAAACTTAATTTGGAAAAAATTGGTTGCTGAGAGTAATCATCAACATTCAATGCAATTGCGGTCTCAAGATCGTCATTTTTGTTTCCTTTTGAGTCTGTATCAACCAAACTTTTTAACTCTGCCATCAATATAATATTTAATTTTAAAAAATGATGTTAACACATTGTTATTTTGCTGACTTATATCAAGATATAAAGATATTTTTTGATGAAATTGTCTAATGATCAAAAATATTAAATTTGCTCAAATCATAGTAATCTTGATCAAAGATTGTAGAACATTTATCAATGAAAAACTAATGTTAATATAAAAAATAATTACTTCAATCAAATATCGATTTCACATTTGCCTTCAAGGCATTCACTCATATTTTCTTGATGTGAAATATCGCATTTTCCTTCCTCTTTATACATCAATATGAGCTAAATATGTAATTTGGATAAAGATTGAAATTTATAGAAATCATGCATATCAATTTGTGTTAAAGTATGAATCAAATGATTTTGACCATTTCCATTCATTCCTCTTTGGAATATTCATGAAAATTAAAATATTTCTAAAATGATAAATTTTGAAAATAAAAAACATAACATTTTAATAACATGATACTAATATAAATTAAATTTCCATCATTGACAACATAACTCTTCCTTTGACATCTTGTTCGTCTAAAGATTTGTTTATATCTAAAACAGGTTTTCCAACAACAGAAAGTTCGAAGGCATCTAATGGTAACACTGGGTCTGTGTTTGATGCAACCCATGCGTATACATGTAAAGCAGGCTGATTTGGAGAAAATTTTCTAATAATTCTTTTCCCATTCATATTAACAGCAATAGTAACACCATCTTTTGGTTCTGGAGGCATTTTCTTCATTATTTCTTCAACTTTATGTTCTTCGGCTAATTTGTTTTGTTCTTCTTGCTTCTTTTTCTCTTCTTCCTCTTGAATTCTTCTTTTTTCTTCCAAATCTTTCTCTTCTTGCTCTTTAACTAGTTGCTCGTACTGCAAATTCTGGAAATTCCTGATTTTCTGTGACTCTCTGAGCTCGTGTGGTGGTTTTGGCTGTTCCCTTTCTTCTGGTTTTGGTAAGTTAATTTCTTCTTGCATAGATGGAGCTGGTAATGCCGGTTTTTCTTGGTATTTAGAAATAATTTCTTCTGGAACATCAAATTCATCTTTTATTTGTGGAGGGATATCATCAAAATTAGGTAAATCTGGTATTTGTTGGGGTAGTTCTGTAGGTTTTGCTGGTTTTTTAGGTGGATCGATTTTCTTTTCAATTGTTTTTGGTTTTTCTGGTTTTTTAGGCGGTTCTACTTTCTTTTCGATTGGATTTTCTTTCTTTTTAGCTGGCTCTGCTTTCCTTTCGACTGTTGTTGATTTATCTGTTGGTTTTGAACGACTAGAAGTTCTTGCAGTTCCTCGAGCTGAAGGTGGCTTCGATATGTTTGCACCAACTCTTCTAGATTGATATTCTGCATCCATTAAATCGGCAAAATTTCGATCATTTCGTCTTTCGGCAGGCTTTGGAGCAGGTCGAACACTCAAACCTGTATTATTTGGTAATTTTCGACTTGATGATTGTGCATTACGCGAATTTGTTGATGTTACTCTTGTTCTTGTTGAAGAATTTTGAGATGTTAGTCGAGGATTATTGTTGTGCTCAGAAACCGGTTTGCGTTGTATTGATTGTGTTGGTTTAGGATGGTTTGCAACTGTAGGTTTAGGTGGTTGACGTAAATTCAATGGCGGGCGATTTGATCGAGATGATGGAATTCTTGGTGGATGATCTTGTTGTTTTGTATGTGTAGGCGGTAGTGGTGTTGGTTTGGGTTGTAAATCTTTAGGCACTCCGCCCATTCTATTCTGTCTCGGAAGAACTCCTCTGGGAGGATGTGCAGCTGGATGTACAATCTCATTTCTTGGATCTAATGGTTGACGAAGATGTGGTGCAACAAGCATGTCATCGATCGAATTTTCTATTGCAATTTTCAAAGCCTCATCTTCATCGTATCTACCATTTCCAAATCCATCTAATACAGCTGGAGTTGCTCCGGGTGGTAAACTCGTTCGCCTTAACGGTCTTAATCCTTGGTCAGGATTATCATCTAACAGACCACAAAGAATATTTTGAAATTCCACATCACTATATGAATTCATTTCTTCTCGTGATATACCAGCACGACGAAAAAAAGAATAAAACTCATCCCTATCCATTGATAAAATAAAATGTTCAAAATTTTATAACGAGCGCAGAAAAAAAATTGAGAGGATAGTTGTAAAAAAAATTCCACTATGAAACCATGAATATATCATTTGCGTACTATCAAGTATAAGATATTCTTATGTGATATTGTTATTAGCCCCCAAAAGCGCTGGTTTATCAAATCAGGAAGTGAAATGTGGAGAAAATACTTTACCAAACAGTAATGGAAGTGTATGACCTCGATTTGAAATTCCAAAAAAAAATCAAAATTCAAAAATTAATAACTATTGTTGGGGCAAACCCAAATTTTAGCTAAAAGTGACAGGGAAAAAAAACGTTTAGTATTAAAAAAAAGACCGATGAGAGCTTCGTTCGAAATATAGAGGGAACTGAGAATGCGCAACCATTCTCAGGGAATATTGGATGCTATTCCCGTTCCCTCTGTATGGAAAATTGAGGTTTTCAAAGGGAGTTAAAATAATATCAAATTTATACTAATTTACTTCAAAATACAAAAGTATTTGACAGCTAAAATTAGTTACTTTAGCAAGCCTATCAATACCCTTTTACGATTATTGCTACTTTTTCGAAATAAAAGTAAAAACAAATTTATACTAATTTACTTCAAAATACAAAAGTATTTGACAGCTAAAATTAGTTACTTTAGCAAGCCTATCAATACCCTTTTACGATTATTGCTACTTTTTCGAAATAAAATAAATTTATTATCAAAAACCTTTTTTTCTTAGTAAAAATAAAAATGTTATTTTATATCAAGTTTTTATTCATAAATTTTTATAATGTTGTATAAATTTGAAGGTGGAAATCTGTAATAATTTTATCTTGAAAAGACTTGGCATTCTCAACAATGAATTGAGGGGTATTGCATCCAAATTCTGTAATTTGCGTGAGAATACTAAGCTTGATTTCCATTGGGATACTTAATTTCGAAAAATACTGGGTCATTCGTTTTTGAACCTTTGCTGCCTTGACAACTTTATCAAGTAGGTCATCTAAACCCAATTGAAGCGTATTTAAGTTTGCTGATGAGTTAACTATTAACGATTTAATTTTATCAGTGAGCATTATACATTTTTCTGTATCCAGTCTGATTGTAGACTTTTTTGGCTTTTTTTCAGATGGCAACGGATTTGGAATTTTGTCTCTGAGCCTTATATCTTGAGAAATTCTGTAATAAAATGAAGGAACGATAAAATCGATTAATTTCATCACAAATCGATCAAATCTCATGAAAATTGTTCCGCCAAAGTAGTAATATTTAATTTTTTTGTTAATCGATTCTGAAATGTTATTTGTGAGAGCTAAATTTTCATCTCTTTCAGCGGCTGTCCATCTTTCTTGGTTTGATATCCATTGATTTTGTATGTATTTTGAAAATTCTGGGAATTTTTCGGCTATTTCCAGAATTTTTTTGAACGTTGGTTCAATCCATTCTTTCTTGCCATTTCTGCCGTATGCAAGATAGTTCATTTTTGTATCTAATATCAATTTGTCTGAACTCTCAAATGCATAATCTTTCAAATTTTTTCTGAACGCCCTCATTACATGAACTGCACACCAATGAAGGATAACTTCTGGAAAAGAGTTGATAATCGCATTTTCGATTTCTTGTGCACAATCTGACATAAAATATTTTGGTTTTACTTTTGCCCAGTTAAAAAATGCCTTGAGACAGAATGCAATATTTTCTGAAGTGTTTGGATAAACGACAAATTGAAAAATTGGGAATGCATGTGTATTTGGAAATTTGGCTGATATCATGTAAAACAACATTTTAAATTCAAGTAATGAATGGGTTGCATCAATAAAATGCTCTTTCACAATTTTGATTATGTCCAGAAATTTGAAAGAAGCATAATAAAAGATTAATTTCTTTGGTTTGTTGTAATTATCGACATCGAAATAAATTAAATCTTTTGGTGACTCTTGTTCTTTGATACCCTTAAATAATTGAGTTGACTTGAATTGATTATCATCGTACTTTTGAATACCTTTGATCTTTTTATTTCCTTTTTCCTGAATTGTTTTCATTTGATCTGAAGATGCATTCAAAAAAGATGGCCTGTTAAGTGGATCATCCAGATCAAGTTTTTTGTCGCATTCAATTTGAGCCATTTTCGGATCACCCCCTGTTTTATAAAATTAATAAGTACCCGACGATAGCATTGTGATAATGTGTGGTATTTCTTTGTCTCATCTTTGATTTGATTGTGATTATGTGTTCCATTATATTCTGTTAGGATATATTCTTCATCATCCTTTAGAAATGAGATACATGCTTCACATTTATCTGCACTGCACCTGAATTTTAATTTTGTTCCCCCTAAATTTGGATTTTTTTTAATTGATATGGACAACCTGCATGGCATTCGTTATCAATGACAGCTTTCATAGCATCTATATAAGATAGCCTTTCTTTAAGTTCGCATGGTGCATCGATATGCATCAAAAAAATGAAATGAAATTTCAATATCAAAAAAAGCACAAAATTTGAAAAAATTCACAAATCTCGGTTTCTGAAAGAAAATGGCCTCTTAAACTTTGTGCATATATTCATCTATAAGACACATTGTATCCATATATTATTTAGCCAACACAACTTATCTGGTATCGAGAAAATTCAAAAAAAGCACAAAATTTGAAAATTGCTCGGTTCTACATTCAAAATAAATTTCATTAATTTTTACGTACATATTAAGGTACTTATCTTCTACATATATAATCTTCATTAGATATATACATGATAAATAAAATTCATAAAACATTAAAAATCAAAAAATTAGATGAACCTTGGCAATTAAACTTTATTAAATAATAGTTGTTTATAAATTATATTATATTATCATTTAATATTATTTTGATAATGAAGATTTTATTTTGCAATAATATAAACGAAATTTTTTACCTTATGAACTTTTGATGGAAATATGCAAATTTAAAATAATAAAGAAAGCCGCGAGCTAAGCGATCGGCTTAGTTCGAAGATTTTGATTCAAATCTTTGCTGATCTGTAATTCGCGGAAGCCGCGAGCGAATCGAGCGGCTTAGGTCTAAGATTTTGATTCAAATCTTTGCTTATATTCCTTAAATTCTTTATGAAACTCGCAACAGTTCCATAAAAAATTTTAAATTCTAAACTGTCGAAATTACCGATCGGTAATCACACCCTTCATGGGTGTGCCACTTTTTACAGGCATGTCACTTTTAGCTAAAATTACCCCTACTCGATTCAAAAAAGCTATTAAAATTAGAGACTAAATAAATAGCGAATTGATTCATATGGATTTATGTAATTGTGAACATTAAAAGAGTTTATTTATTGATCTAATAAAAAAAGATAAAATATTAATGAGAAAATTGAAAGAATAGAGTGTCCCATTCACTCGTGTTGGTCGCAATGTATCATTCTGGGAGACATTGCCTCTGCATGCCTCCCACAATGGCACAATGTTCCTTGGAGAAAGACCTGGAAGGGGGTCCTTTCTCAAGGTCAGGGCCCCCTTCTAGTCTTTCTGGTCCTGGAAGGAGCGCTTCTGACTGGTCTGTGCGCTGCTTCCAGGAAGATCAGGAGATTGCGCCAATAAGCTCCTATCAACAAATTTTGACTAAAAATATAAAGTATCCTTTTGTGATTTAACGAATAGCTCAATTTTAAAATAGATTTGATTCTAATAATAAATTGAATGAGTTTCGCTTACGTTTAGAATTTAATGATTTATATGATTTTTTCGTTCACAGAAGAGTCATTGATATCCAATATCAAAAAAACAGCAAAGACATACCATAATAAATGATATTGAAGCTAAATATTACATATTTCAACATATCTAAAAAATTATTATAAGATTAGATCTCATACAATGCCGAGCAGTTTCCTAAAGCATAATTACTTATTTATACAGAATCAATTATATAATATTCACATTGCAAATTATATACATTCTCACGAAGCAACATGAAATAGACTGTCCGAATTTGAATTCAAATAGAGATCTACTTCAAAAGGATTTCTTACAATATGTAATCTCGATGTTGATCACTGGAATACAAGGGATGAACGTAATTTACAAATTGTTGCAAAAATAGTAATGCAACAAAAATTTTATTTTTAGCTTGTCACTTGATATATAACAATTGCAAAAACTCAATCAAAAATAGGATTTGAACAACTTTTTAAAATTGTGAGAAAAATTCTATCGGCACATTCTATTCAATTTTAAAGTATTTCTTTCATATTCCAATCGATTATTCAATATTTGCCAATCACAAATTTTAGTTCAAAATTCAAAAAATCCCTAATTTTAATTTCAGATGAAATCTCGCAAAAATAACATTGTTTTAACCATATAAATATATATTTTATATATTGTATAGTGATTTTTTAATATTTTTATGAGTAAAATCGAGAGTGAGGAAATGTGGACTACAAAAAACGATAGAAATGAATAGTTTACATGGGAATTCAATACTTACAAGTATTCAATGTCACTTTTGTGCTCGAGATTTTGACTCTAGTATAATTCATACCTTTCATTTACAGATTTCAATTATTGTAATTTTTTTTGAAAGTTTTCGATTTAAATTCAGATTTTAACATGAAACTAGGGCTGTACAAAATCGAGAAAAACATTGCCGTGCGGTAATATAGGGTCAAAAAAGTCGCGCCTCGGCGGCTCCGCCGCCTCGGCACTATTAAGTGCGCATTATATTTAATATGTCCTTCTTTTTTTCTTTTTTTCTTCTTCTTTTCCTTTCCTTCTTCCTCTCCTTCCTCTTCTTTCCTTCTCCTTCTCTTTTTACAACAACGTCGAAGATCTTCGAATTTGATTGTTGGAAAAGCATCTATTTCAGATAAAGGATGCCTTTCTCACAGTCAACATACGAGGGTCCTGGCTGAAACGTTCTCAAAAAGCCTGAGATGGTAATTCTCTGATCACTCATAGCTGGGCAGGTAGTCATTGCTGACAATACCTGTCTTTATGCATGCACGCTTTCATGTATATGGGTTTACACTATCAATTCGCAAAGTTGTTCCGAATTCTTCCAAAATGGAAGGACCCGAAACAACTTTGCTTGTTAACGATACAGACGCATTACTTTGCATTGATACTGTGCTGAGTTGTGTAGAAAGTTTGATTAGAGTTGTTTTGTTCTGGTATCTCTCATCTTCTGATGAGAGAAATCAAAGCAAAACAACTCTAATGAATTTGTTTTCACTCATTTGTATGTAGGTTTTTAGTTCGATTGGAGCTGCTTCATAATGAGATCTCTCATCAATTGATGAGGGAGATCATAACAAAGCAGCTCTAATGTATATGCTCGTATTAACCGGGTTGTAATGCGTTGTAACGTCAGCTTGTAGTTCGTTTGGGGCCACTTCACATTGAGATGAGAAGAAATGATTAAAGGACTCTGAAAGGCTTTGGCCGTTGATGTTGTAATCGCATTACTTGGAACTAGCTGGATGCTAAGCTGTGTAGAATGTTCGATTAGAGCTGTTTTGATATGATTTTTCTCATCATAAGATTGGAGGAATCATAGCAAAACAACTCTAATGGGTTTACCATCATCTACTTGTATGTAGATGTTTGGGAAATTGTCTTGTTAATCGATTTTCGAGATGACTTTCAAATGCTATCATCAAATGACAAACAAGTCTAAGATTTCTCGACAATACATCAAATCATGATGTTTGTAAGTGCGATGAGATTAGAGTTTTTGAAGGAATGACAAGAGAAGTAGGGAGGCTCGGCATTCGCCGAGCAAATTAAAAATTAACGTATGGATTAAATTTTAAGAGGAATTCAATTTTAATTACGGGTTGTTCAAATATTGATTAATATAAATTTATTAATAAGAATAAATAATTTTTGTTTTTGAATTTATTCAATTTATAGCTTTACATATAGTTTCAAAATTGTACAACTATGATTATTTCAACAAAAAATATCTTACTTTTTCACTTCACTTTCACCCTCACTTTTTCCGTAATTCAAATTTCAACATTATGTATTTTAATTCCTTATAGTATTTTTAACATAATTAATCAAATAATAATTGGAAGTTCTGAACTCACTTTTTCCGTAATTCAAAATCAAAAATATGAATAATATATCTATTTATTATATACTAATGCTATTTTTGTTGCATGCTAAGATCAGTCATAATGTAAACCTCTCAATTTTATTGTCGTGGGAAGTATCTCAATTCCTTCAAAAAAATTGAAAAAGTATTTAATTTTAAAAATATAATACTTTTAATTAGTTAATTAATTGGAGATATTTTTTTAAAAAATCACTTTTGATAATACTTTTGAGAACTTTAATTCAAAAAATATATTCAAAAATATCCAGGATATCAAAAGGGAATTGTTCCTTATGAGGTATATAGTTATATGTATACCTCATAAGAACAATTCCCTCCTTAAAACGAGAAAACTTGTTCGAAATTGTTTATCATTTCGAACAAGTTTTCTCGTTTTTAATAAAAACTAAAGGCTATGAGGCACTGATTATATATTAGTGCCTCACAGCCTTTAGTTTCTAATAGATAGCTGGGAAACTTTCTCCAAATGATAAGTTATTCAGAGAAAAGTTTCCAGCTATCAAGAGGGAATTGTTCCTTATGAGGTATATAGTTATGATGTATACCTCATAAGGAACAATTCCCTCCTTAAAATCGTAGACATTTTTATACTTATTTCAACCATTCAAAAATCATATTCCTCTGAAAAGTTTTTTATTAAAAATTTAGAATTTTAATAAATATAGAGTTTGAATTTCATACAATACCTATATATTTTCAATAATGGAATTTGAAAACCATTCTCAAAAGTTCTCAGAAAACCTTTTTTTCATTAATTTTAAGAAATCTGAGTATTAAATTAAGTGATAAATTCATTTGACACTACTTTAATTTTTAAATTCAAAAAATTATATGTGCTTCTTAAAATGACTCAAAAAAATTTTATTATAAAATAATATATAATATTAAAAATCCCACAACATTTTTTTACTTTACATAATCATACTTCCTCGACGATTAATTTCCACTCAATTTCTATCGTTGACCGAACTTAGCATGCAACATTTTCAACTAGAAGTGAGGTACGGTAATCTTACGGATTCCCGTAACTCAATTTTACGGGAAAAGTGCAGTAAACTACTCAATTTACGGAAAAAGTGTCGTAAACTATTGATGTGGCGGTAAAATCACGGTAATTCACGGAAAGCTATATGCGAAAATTTGAAATTATACAAAATCGAGCGAAACACTTTTAAATAGGTTGTTCTCGTATTTAAAATACTATTCCCAGATTTATTGTCGTCAGAATATTTCCAAATTTTTGCCGATTTACAAAAAATGATTTACAAAGCATATTTTTTAATCTAAAAAATTCCTTAAAAAAGGAACCGGTGTGCGGAAACCTTGGTAAATTACCGCGGTTCCCGTTGGGACTGCCATACATGAAACATGATATTATTTTAAAAAACTAAATCTATGATAGTAATTTATAATAACAATACTATATATTTCAATGATAGGAGCTGAAATTCTTCAAAAATTCAAAGTCCAATTAAATATAAACAAGGGCATGACTCTAAATATAAGCTTATCGGTTAATAAATATCAGTGGTTTAATCAATTAAAAGCGCTTTATTATTATAATCAAACAAAAATAAATAGATTTAGTTTTCATTTGTAGTTTCAGGTTCAATTTCTGGAGGAACAAGAGGGTCTTCAATGCCAGCTAGCTCTAACATTTCAGACGGTGCAGAATCGGAATCTTCTGAAATTTTTGCTATTTCAGGCTCGTAATTCTCTTTTTTGAAGTAGAAGGATAACGTAACTAAGCATGCACATACTATTATTACTATAAATAATGTTGAAATCGAGTAAATGTAAACGCGATAATCACCTTTGTTTTCATGATCATCTTTCTCCTCATTTTCGTGTTCAGGTATGTTCATTCCAGTTTTAGTTTCGTTACTGGTAATTGTAATATTTTCAACAGATTTCGCAACACTTTCATGGAGTTTTCCTGTATAAGGGCTTATTACGTTACTCATTTGGTTAACATACAAGTATAAGTATTGGGATTTCGCTTTTGAACCCGTATGCCAATGAATATTATCAACTTCAATTACTGAATCTTGGAATCCTTCTTCAGTAAATTTCAAATCATTGATAGATATGTAATCATCGTGCTTTAATAAGTAAGTAAATGATACAGAAAATTCGCTTATCCCTGAGAAATAGTAGCAATAATCTTGATTTGGTGTTATAGAGTGATTATATAGGCCTTCATGATAGGAGTTACCAAATGATATCGTTTCTGATATAGAATTTATATAAATCGAATGAGTTTTGCATATTGTATTAATATTATGAATATTGTAAGCGAGTTTCTTCTTTTCGGATGTAGGGTTCGCAATTTGTAACTTATTTTTCTCTAAAAAATAGAACACTTTATATGTTTTAGGCAATTTACTTGATTTGCCAATGGAAAATTCGAATTCATCTGGATTTAACGGAACAAAAATTTGATTAGAAGCAACATCCATTGATAAACTACTTAATGAGTCAATATTTATTGACTGGCTCATTACATGAGTTGCTAATAGGGTAAACATGCCAAGCATGCTTATACCCGAAATGAAGGATAATTATAGTTGAATCATTATATATGAGGATAGTAGGCATATATATTGTGTTTGTGTTGGACTTGCAGCAGAAATATAACGAGCGTTTTAAATTTATATGGAGTTGTGTGTTGCCTCAATGGAAGTAGATACTGTATCATGTATGCGTTCGATAGAACAATAGTAATTAGTTGAATCATATATATTCGATGTTCAATATTTTTTTGTTCTTTCGAAAGGGAGGAAAAATCGAGTGAAATTTAATTAAGGATACCCTTACGTGTCAGATTTTTTGCGCATACGAAGAAGTCATGCTAGACATGAGCTATAAACCTGAAATTTTAGCAACATATTTAAAACTTTTTAAACTACAATACACTTTAATATTCAAGAACAAAAATATTCTTTTTAGAAATTACATAATTATTTTATGTGAAATCTATATAAAAACATATTTTGCGAGCGTAACTTTTTTCTTTATAAGCACCTTATATGACTGATAAACTGTGAAGGCACATAATTGTTAATTCATAGAGTTGATATGTTTCCAAAATTGAGAGGAAATTTGAAAATTGAATACCCTTTCAATTCAATTTTCAAAAGATATCAGCTCCTTCAATAATTGAAGGACGATTTTGATCATTTGCTCTTAAAACAAGTATGCCATGGAGAAAAAAGTTACGCTCGCAAATCTGAAATATAACTATCATATAAAAAAATTAAATTTCTATTTTTTTACTCTATAGATATTATTGGCCACTTGTGTAATGCATAAAAGTTTATGTCATATGCATACATTTGGAAGTATGGGAGACGAGGGAAATTACTTCTATGAGGCACTAGGATTTTTAAAAATTTCTCTATCGGACTCACCATTCAATTTCTCGAAAATTAAAAAAAATCAATAATAGCTAAAATGTATTATGCATAACAAATTTTAATGTTACACGGTATTTTTTGAACTTCATGACATGAATTTTCTTTATATTATTTTTTTTTTGGATTTTCTATGATTTATGCGATAGGCTGGAACAACATTGTAAGTGCAATGATATCATTTATAGAGAAATCTAAAACTTCAGCATTCAGAACTCGCAACCACAAAAATATTCATTTGCTAAGTAAGTAAAGTTGATTAAGTTCGACACTTAGCTTTTATACGTAAAACCAAGTGTGTATTGTTATTTCTTGTTAAATTATTGAGAAAAAAATAAATTGTAAGAGAAACGATACTGATTATTGAAATAATATTGAGGGTAGCTGCAGATTTCTTCATTAACATGCCGGAAATTTGTTAATCTTGGTTTTCTATCATAAAATCTGTCGAAGAATCTAAAAACGGAGATATGAAAGAGAGATCATGTAAATCTAGAGTATCCTGTCAGAAAAATAGACTAAGCATGTAACCCTTTTTTGGTCATAAACACTTTTTACCACTTAGTCATACAGATGATCATTAAATTTAAAGAGTAGGTGACAAAAGTGCTTACTCTTAAACAACCGTCGGATTTCCGGGTGAAATCGTGACACACTTTCGTCTTTCGTAGGCAGTGGTGGTTGTTACAAAAGGTAACTTCGAATGTAGCGTGAAATCTGCAAAAAAAATTCTGAAATTTGAATGGAGAACACAAAAATTGAATAGTTTACGTCAATAAAAAGGAGAAAAATGAAGCCAATGCGTCTCGAACCTAGGACTTGGAGCAGCAATCACACTGTTTATCAAATTACACTACATGCATCTCTCACCTCAGTGAATGAGATCAACTATATGATAACTTTTCCCCATTATATTCTTGTGGAAAAGTGACAAATAGCAACTTTGACCCTCTCTCTAAATTTAAACGAGCACTTTTTGTCAGAATTTATTCTTTTACAAAGACAGAAGATTTTAGTATTATTTAATATTAGTGCTGTAGCAAAATTCAAAAAACGGTGAAAATTCAGTGAATTTGTGAATTCACATTTTTTTTCGACATTTTTCTTGATATATCCATGCACATTAAGAACACAGCTTTGATACGCTTAAAAAAGCATATTTCATATGAAATTGTTAAAGAAATAAACAATTTATATAAAAATTGCACTTATGGGCAGTTTAGATATATAATTTATATATAACATATATACAAATCCATAGACAAAGTGCAATAACTACAATGTTGTAGAAAATTACAGCAGAAATACTGACTTTTTGAAGGATAATAAGAATTCTTCTAAATGTTGTATTTTTATAATTTGATTGATTTTTTTACTATTTCATTAATCTTTTATGAATAATAATTATTTTTAATATATGTGCTATTAAAATTTCAAATTTTGACTAATATATCTAAGTTATCTGAACGAAACATTTAGAAAATATCATACTTACATTGAAATAGCAAGTAGAGCATATTAATAGCAAGTTTCTTGGCTTTATATCTATCATCTATTGTTGTTTGATCAAACAAAATTCACTCTATTATATGGTGTCAATTAATTAAAACAATTTTTAATAGTTATTTATTTAGTGCGAATAAGTGCAAACTCATAAATGAATAACTTAATAGTAGAAATGAATTATCTGATATAAATCTCACATTTTGTCCATCAGAAATACTTTAATTGCATACGCATAACTATTAGTAATACGTCTGGAGTGTCAATTAATAACAATCCACAACAAGTAAAATTCAGATTTTTATTAAACTTATTTTTTCCTAAAAGTTTTCTCAAATTACTATATATACATATGTGGATAAAATAATAGTAATATTGTAAAAAATTAGATAATTTTTTTTATTTGAGAACCTCTCAAAAGTTCATTCAATTTATCAATTGTTTCAGTTTGATGTATATTCATTTCTGGAGCCTAAAACTTTAGCAATCATGACAATATCATATTCTCTTTCTAACTACGCAATGTAAGGGTATCCTTAAGAAATAAAATAACAAATAAGGTTTTAGACTTAAAAAGCGAGAGACTCTTCAAAGTTGAAGGAGTTGAAGAGGTCTTCTTCTTCGTTAAAAGCGAATGGGAAGGCAGAATCTTCGTAAGATTGAACTACGTTAGAAGCTTGAACGATTTGCTCTGCAAAGTTCATGTTCTGCATAGCGTAGTTCTGTACGTTTTGTTGGATTGGGGATGTAGAGAGCGAAGGAGAAGAAAGGGAGCTACTTTCACTGCAGCTTGATGAGCTGTAGTTGTTTGTCTGGTAGTATGTTGTGTTCTGTGTGTTTTGTTTTGGTGATGCAGTAGAAAGTGGTGAAGAAGTGAGAGTGTTTGCGCGCTCATGTCTGCAGAGGAGTTTAAATCTGTTCTTAGCCATGATTGCTGTGCGTCCTGGGAGGCTCTTTGAGATGAGAGACCAGTGGTTGCCGATCTCTTTTTGAAGACTGATGAGTGTTGCATCTTCTTCTGCTGTCCAAGCATCACGGCAGACATCTGGAGAGAGTACTGATAACCAGCGTTCACCAAAACAAAACACACAGAACACAACATACTACCAGACAAACAACTACAGCTCATCAAGCTGCAGTGAAAGTAGCTCCCTTTCTTCTCCTTCGCTCTCTACATCCCCAATCCAACAAAACGTACAGAACTACGCTATGCAGAACATGAACTTTGCAGAGCAAATCGTTCAAGCTTCTAACGTAGTTCAATCTTACGAAGATTCTGCCTTCCCATTCGCTTTTAACGAAGAAGAAGACCTCTTCAACTCCTTCAACTTTGAAGAGTCTCTCGCTTTTTAAGTCTAAAACCTTATTTGTTATTTTATTTCTTAATTAAATTTCACTCGATTTTTCCTCCCTTTCGAAAGAACAAAAAAATATTGAACATCGAATATGTATGATTCAACTAATTACTATTGTTCTATCGAACGCATACATGATACAGTATCTACTTCCATTGAGGCAACACACAACTCCATATAAATTTAAAACGCTCGTTATATTTTAGTTGAAAGGCCGAAAGAAGCATGATTACATAAGCTAGCAATATGGGAAGTCACACTCCGATCAACCAATTTGTCTTTTTATTTGAAATTCTTCACTTCAGATTTCGAGTTTATCTTGTCTCACAGACTCTCGAAATCAGAATCATTGCCGCTGTACTTTCATATTAATAATATCATACCTACAAATTCATTCCTTTCCATTGAGAATTTCAATTAAAAAAAGAAAAAAGAATATTAAAACAAAGGCCTTTTTATTAATTTGAAAATACAACAAAATAAGTTTAATCAAAATCCTTCTCGAAGTTATCATCATTATCATCATTATCTTCAAGCTTATCCTTGATTGCACCTGTTAATGTAAAGGAATTACCAAGTGTTGAATCAAAGTCATCATCGTTGTTTTCATGGTTTGTCTCTGAAACTCCGCCTGTATTTGATAAATCAAAATCATTTGAAAATGTTCTTCCGAGATTAGTATTATCGTCATGTGATTCTTCTTCCTTAGCATTTGGAACTAACTTGTCTAATAATATTCCGTTGAAAGAACCTTCACTTGGGTTTTCATTTTGTTTAGCAGGTCTTTCATCATCTGCATCAGCAAAATCATCGAAGTCATCTTTCTTCTCTTCTTCGACTGGTTCTTCCTTATGCTCTTCTTCTTGTGGTTTCGGATCATTTGTTGGATCTCCGTCTGTTTTGAGAGAAACTTCTTCGACATGGTCATTAATTGTTAGACCTGTATACTGAGTATCTTTGGGTGGTTCTTCATTAGCTGGCTTTTCTTCTTCAGTATTTTGATTTTCTGGAGTAGATTCTTGATTTTCGTCACCATTTGGCTCAAGTTTTTCTTCAAATTCTTTCTTAAGAGAAAATTGATCCTCATTTTGAGGCTTCTCTTCCTTCTTTTCCTCTTCAGCAGTTTCTTTTTCTTGCTGTTCTTCCTTTTGGGCTTCCTCTTCAGGATGCTTATTCTCATCTTCAACTTTTGAGTCAATTTCTGCAACAAATCCATATTCGCCTTGATCAACAGATTCAACGACAGGTAACTTCTTTCCTTTTCTTCTTGGGTTTGTGCGCTTCAAGTTCTTCTTTGGAGATGGCTTCTTGGGTTCTTGAACTACAGGCTTTTGCTCTTCATTTTCGACCTTTTGATCTTCTTCATCTCTTGCTGTATGAACACGTTTTGTTTTACTAATAGCAGGCTTAGTGATATTAGGTTTGAGAGAGATACGTGCTGAAAGAGGTGCCTTCTTTTCATCTTCATGATATCCTGTGATTTCATTTAACATTTCAATCCTTTTTTGAGAAAACTTAAACAATTCCTGCAATTCTTTCGTTCTTCTTTCACGATAAATTTGTAATCTTGGGCATGGAGGTGGTGGAGATTGATCAATTGTTGATTTCTGAGTCTTCAAACGTTCAGTATGAAGTTGGAATGCTCTTTGATGCTTCATTACCTCAAGGTGCTGGTTAAGAACAGGCTCGGCTCGATACATTCCTTAGAATTGAATGCAAACGTATATTAGGTTTACAAACGATTTTTTTTTCTAACGAAATTTCCCTCTCAAAACATTTCATACAAAGGCGTGATAAAAAGATGGAACCAATTCGTTTGTTGCCATAAAAATAACAATATCTTCATTTTTCCTAAATATTTGGAATTCAAAATCCATATCTATCGGAATCTATAATGATAATATTAAGGAACTGAAGTTATATATGGTAATATCTGCATACGAAGATCAAATGAAACAGTAATCACAAAAGGATACTAATTACTTCATCATTAAGTAATACTCGTATATGCCATATATCCTGTCTATACTTGCTTTTATCGATTTTAAATTAAATTGCTGCCATATACATTAATCAAATAAGGAATATGAAATTATCTATTTTCATTAAGTTTTTCCTTTATGAATTAATCATACATAATGAAAGCTTTATTAGCAACTTATTGATACTTAAATTAATTTGTGTTTTGTTTCTAAATTCATTATATGAACATAAAAGAGACATGCTCTTTTTGGCAAAGTATGTTTTAGATAAATAGAAACTGATATCAAGAACAATCGCAATAAAACTAAATTCTTTCAAAAATTTTTGAATTTTTGACATGGAAAGCGCGGAAAAGATTATTTCAGAGATATCACCATTATTATCAACAGACAATGTTGATATATGGATGATACCTAACTTCGACCAGCAGCTAGTTCATGATGTTTGCGTAGAAGCAACAAATATCCTCAAAAAAGGAACGGCATTAATCGAAATTCCTAATCCATGCTCAATAGTTGGCGATATACATGGCAACTTTTTAGATTTGATGAAGATTTTTAGAGAATTTGGAACTCCAGAATTTTCAAAATATTTATTTTTAGGAGATTTTGTTGATAGAGGACTTTATTCAGTTCCAGTAATGGCAGTAATATGTGCTTACTTTGTCAAATACAATTCAAACATGTATTTAATTCGAGGAAATCACGAATTTGCTCATATTAACAAGATGTACGGATTTCATAACGAAGTAATGAAATTATACAAGAATGAAGACCTTTGGTCTGATTTTCAAGTGATGTTTGCATATTTGCCTTTTGCAGCCATTTTATGCAAGAAAGTCTTTTGTGTTCACGGCGGACTATCGCCAATGCTACACGCTCCTGAAGATATCAATTTAATAGAGTTACCTGTGTTTGACTATGAACAACCTTCATTAATTTCAGATATTATCTGGTCAGATCCATCAGATAAATCAGGATTCACGCCAAATGATAGAGGATCAGGTAATAAATTTGGCCATGACACTATTACTAGCTTTTTATCAAATAATCATCTTCAATTACTTGTTCGAGGTCACCAAGTTACTGCAGAAGGTGTGACACCTTTCGCATCAAATTTAGGAGTTACAGTTTTCTCATCGAGTGGATATTGCACTATGATGCAGAATTGCTGTGGAATTATCACAATGATTAATAAAAAAGAGTTTGTTTTACATTCATTGACACCAAAAGGCGATAAAAAGATAAACATGAAGCTTGTTCCAAGACTTTTGGGACTCAGACGTGCTACAAATCCAAATGTTGCATCAAAATTTGTAAAAAAGGATGTCAAACTTTCCAGTACACCTCTTAAGTGACAATTAAAAATTTCATTTGTTATTAAAAATTGGATCGAACCTCCTTATATAGATAAGAGTCAATACAGATATGTTAATGGATACACAACAAAATATTTCGAAGATACGCATTGGCTCAAAATTTTTCATCAAGATTCGTTTGATAATCTCTTATTTAAGGGCATTGAAGATGCAAAATAACATAGATTTAGTATCCTTTCTCTTATTGACGACAGTTATAAAGTCAATAATTTATATGAGCTGCTCATTGAATATCCTCAAATACCTTTCTATATTCGATTCACGCAGACTACTAATCCTAATATTAATACAGGAAGTGCCGGCTATAAATTTGTTTCAGGCCAAAATGAGTCATATTTTCAAGGACTTTCACGAGCTTAATTCCACCTTCTTTTTCAATTTCAACGAACTCACTAACATGAGATTTTAAATATATAAGCAATAAAATGTAAAGTTCAGTATCTTGAAAAGTGACATTTAAGAATACTCTATGAAACTAATAATTGGACTGACCCTCCTTATATAGATAAGAGTCAATACGGATATGTTAATGGGTACACAACAAAATATTTCGAAAATATTCATTGGCTCAAAATTTTTCACCAAGATTTATTTGATAATCACTTGTTTAAGGGCATTGAAGATGCAAATTATTGTATTTCTGAACATAGATTTAGTATCGTATCTGTTATTAATGACAATTTTAAATTGAATAATTTATATGAGATGCTCATTGAATATCCTCAAATACCTTTCTATATTCGATTCACGCAGACTACTAATCCTAATATTAATACAGGAAGTGCCGGCTATAAATTTATTTCAGGCCAAGATGGGTCATATTTTCAAGGACTTTCTCGATCTGCTGATGTGAGTGAAACATATTTAGATGGAAGTCCTGGGAGTAATAGTCCTGATTGGTGGTTTGCTATAGGAACATATAAACATTATGAAGAAGATTACATGCCAGGCCCACAAACTCCTAATGATTTGAACCGAGTGAAATGGGTTGATCTTTGGATTTGTGTTGAAAATTCAGCTGTTTTGATCAAATTGGAACCTTTATTAAAATGTCGAACTGTTCGATGCCGACATTTCGATCTCATTATTAATTTATTATTTTGTTTTACTATCATGTAAATACATGATGAATATTATAATTTAATACTGACGATTTTTCTAGATTATTTTCACCATAATTTACACAGTATCAACCTCAAACACGATGTTTGTCATAAATATACATAAATATCAAATAGACCCGATTTCTCTATTAAATAAACATGTTTTTGTCTTTTTTTTTAGATAAATTAACTTAAGCAAATGCTTTCAAGTTGAATCAGAATCTCGCATTGAAATATTTCTCTTGTTTATCACTTATTGATTTGAATTGACTGAATTTCTTAGAAATTATCACAACATTATTGAATTTTTTTTTCATTAATTTCATTTTCATTATGCGTCATCATGGTTAAATTTCAATGACACTTCATGTCAGTTGTCAAAAATTTGAAATAAAGTCAGATGGGCGTAAGTGCACCCTTAACTTTCACTAACCTGAAAAGTGGCATTTTTCAACTCCTCATGAATTGGACCGAAGTCAATATCCGTCTCCAATGCTTCTCCATTTCATCATCTCCATGAAATAGTTTGTATTCTACATTTACTCCTAATTGGTGGTTTGCTATAGGAGTATATAAATTTCAACCTCGTGTTGAAGATGCAGATGTTTTGATCAATTTCAAACCTTTATTAAAATTTCACACCATTCGATGCCGACATTTCGATCTCGTCATTAATTTATTATTTTTTTTTACTTTCATGTAAATACATGATTAATATCATTGTTTATTGCAGACAGATTATCTATATTTTTTTTACACAAAATCACCCTCAAACACAAAATTTGTCATAATTATATAAATGGGAAAATATTATAGGATATGCTGGGTGTACAGAATAAAGATTGAAAACCTGTCGTCAAGTTTCGGATGTAAGAAAATAATATTCGAATGATGAATCATTCAAAAAAGATTGATATTCTGTAATATCATAAATTTTTTTTAACTGTGCATCCTTTTGGAATCATAATTTTGATATCAACCAATAGAGAGAAACGACCTTCTGAAATCGAATTTAATAGGATTACTGTTTTAATGTAGAGAGATAAGAAGTATTTATGCAATAAAGTGAAGTGAAAGCATTAAAATTTTACATTACTCTTATTTTGAAATCTGCCATAAAAGCAAATCTAATCTGAGTACAAAAAATTGGGATGAATATCCCAACATTAACAAAAGTCAGTTTAAGATTGTTAATGGATACACAATAAAATATTTCGATGATATTCATTGGCTCAGAATTTTTCACCAAGATTTGTTTGATAATCTCTTATTTAATAGTATCGAAGATGCTAAATATTATAATTCTGTCCACAGATTCAGTATTCTCTCTCTTATTGATGATAGTTATAAAGTTAATAATTTGTATGAGATGCTGATTGAATATCCTCAAATCCCCTTCTATACTCGATTCACACAAGTTACCAATCCTAATACTAATACCACTAATACCGGTTTCAAACACATTTCAGGTCAAAATGTTTCAAATTTTCAAGGACTTGCTCGATCAGCTGATGTTACTGAGACGTATTTAGATGGCACTCCTTTTGTTTACACGCCTGACTGGTGGTTTGCTATAGGAACATATAAACTTTATCAAACGCATTATATGCCTGGTCCATATAACTATAATGGATCATCAAATCGTGTTAAATGGGTTGATCTTTGGATTCGGATTGAAAATATTTCATTATTGATCAACATGAAATCATTGATCAAATGCAACACAGTTCGATGCAAAGTAGTCGGCTTTAGCTATCATATATTATATTGTTTTATTCTTATCTAAAAATTTAATAAATCGCATTCCTTAAAATGGAAAATATTGAAATAAATTCAATATATGACATGGTTATTTACAATAATTCTTTAGGGCATGCAATTTTGAAAACTGTCGGCTTTTTTGGGGGTTGGCGTCACGATGTAAACTCCTCAATATTGAATGGTTTACATCGTGACGCCACTGTATTTTAGAAATTTGAAAGGGCTTTGGCGTCACTATATGAAATAATGTAAACTATAGAATTTGTTTTGATTATCAATAGAAAATATAATTAATTATAAATTTAAATTGAATAGCAGTATGAATAAAAATGTCAAGGAATTAAAAATAATGACTTTAGATAATATTTTTCAGGAGGAAAAGCGTGCATATTATTGGATTAGGTTGCTAAGGATTTTAATAAGAGATTGAAGCCTGCGAGGCACATATCTCGAATAAGCACTTCGCAGGCTTCAGTTTCTACCAGATATCTGGGTTCTTTGTCTGAATAGCTTAAGATTTGAACCAAGTTTACCAGATATCTAGTAGGCATTGCTCCTTACGAGGCATATTTTCTAACTATATGCTTCGTAAGGAACAGTTCCAGCTTCAGATCATTTTCTCTCTTCGTATTTTCTTTCAGATAATAACTTTTGTTTACTCCATCAAAAGTCTCATCAAAACCTCAATTTTAAGTAATTTCATTTATTTATGTCTATTATTTTAAACATATTTAGATGGAAGTCCTGGGATTAGTGGTTCTTATTGGTGGTTTGCTATCGGAGCATATAAATTTCAAAATAATGGCCTTATACCAGTCCTGTATTTCTATGATAAATTTTTGGACGAAGTGAGTTGGGTTGATCTTTGGATTCGTGTTGAAGATGTGGCTGTTTTGATCAATTTGGAACCTTTATTAAAATGTCACACTGTTCGATGCCGGCATTTCGATATCATTATTAATTTATTATTTTGTTTCACTATCATGTAAATATTTTTTGTTTCCTCGATAAATTATAATATGATATATCACAATCAAAGAATATTTTGTTTTAATATATATTAAATGAATCTCATCTCATATTTTACATTAAAGAGAGGAAGTAGTCATGTGATTTTATCCCAAGCATATGGGGATTCTAAATTTTTGTCCCTATCGTTATCCCAATTGAATTTTTTTTTGGAATTTAAAAATTTTTTTTTCTCCATGTAAACTTAAATTTTAATTTTTACCACTAAAATGCAATATTTCAACAAATTAATGAGTAATAATATTTTAATTTATAATAAATATTATAAATCTCCTCAATTTAATGTAATTATTGTATTAATTTTTGTTGAAAATATAAAATCTTCAAGTAAATGATGTGAATTTAATATTTTTAGAATGTTGTTTAATTGTACTATATTATGCATGTAAAATTTTGTTACAATACATTTTATATGGGATCCCCATTGCCCAATTGAGAGAAAATTGAGAGGTGGGATTGGGCTAGCCCAATTCAAAATATCCCAGGTGGAAATAAAAAAATTAACAATTCAACATAAAAAAGCATCTTAAATAATAATGATAAAAAGAAATTTTGTATGAATTTCAATCAAATTTGTTTTTATTCAACTTAAGAAATCACTTCATTAATGAAAGAAGTCGGGTTCACAACATATCCCGATCTTGAAACGAAACAACATGTTTTTTTGATGCCCTAAACGGGGGGGTCGCCAGCAAAAAAAAAGATGTCAAAATTTATCCCAAAAATTTAAAAAAAACGAAGAAAGTGCATCCCAGGGATTATAAAATTTAAGTTTTCACATCTCTAAGAGGAAGGACTGAAATTGTTGTTTCTTTCTAACATATAAGGATGTAGGGATTTCCCCAATCCACTAGGGCTGCTTGCTGTTTGGGATTCCCACTATCCCACATTGAAAATTTTCAATGAGTTTCAAGAAAAAAATAAAAAAAATGGGCGAAGCCGAAAAGAATTTAAAAAAGCTTATCTATAGAAGTATAATATTATGTACAAATAGAGTAATTTTAGATAGAGATGCGAGTTTCCGAATTTTTTTAGCCCTGGGATGTCATAACCGCTGCGGTTTTGTAAAATTTGGGATAAATTTTGACAATCCATTTTTTGTGGGATGTACGTTTATATCAATTTGCTCGGCGTTTGCCGAGCTATTGTACAATCCTACTCGAATTCATTACGCAGCCCTGGTCACTCAAAGGCCAGGGCATACAATTACAAAATAGTAGAGTGAGACTCTTCTAATTTCTTCCAATCACAAGGAAGATCTTAGAAGAGCCTCACTCTACTCGAACACATTACGCAGCCCTGGTCACTCAAAGGCCAGGGCATACAATTACAAAATAGTAGAGTGAGACTCTTCTAATTTCTTCCAATCACAAGGAAGATCTTAGAAGAGCCTCACTCTACTCGAACACATTACGCAGCCCTGGTCACTCAAAGGCCAGGGCATACAATTACAAAATAGTAGAGTGAGACTCTTCTAATTTCTTCCAATCACAAGGAAGATCTTAGAAGAGCCTCACTCTACTCGAACACATTACGCAGCTCCTGCTCAACAATGAGCAGGTCTTACCACTTTGAGAGGCTTTCGTTCGAGTTCTGATGCAGATCCCAACGCGAGCGAGAGTCTCTCAAGCAAGCTTCTAATTCGTAGCTAGAGTTTCACTCTTATGAACTGGCAGCCAATTTGAGAGACTTTCGCTCGAGATCTAATGAAAAATCAGAACTCGGCCAAAAATTGCCCAAACAGGCTTGTAATTCGTAGCTATAGTATTGATCGTATGGATGTGTTGCCAATATGAGAGACTTTCGCTCGATGTCTGATATTGCATCAGACATCGAGCGAAAGTCACTCAAAACAGCTTAGACATGTCTATTTTGACGGCATTAAATGATTTCATAGGAAATGTCTCAGTTGTTAATTAAGTTCACGTGAGCTTTTATGAATGAAAATAAGTAAAAAAAAGAATTTTCTCAAAAAAAATTGTGTACGCATTGAAATTTTTATCTATAAATTTAGATATGTCATCAATAATATAATATAATTTTAAATTCGTGGAGTACACTTGGGATAATTGAATATGGGCTACCCCATCCCAACCTCTCAAACTTCCTCTGAATTTGGACAAGGTATCCCAATCCCAAAGACCTATCTGAATAAAATGAAATAAGTATATTATATATATTATTTATTTGCTAATAATGAGCATAAATCGCTAAAATTATGAAGAAATTAAAAATTAAAAATTAAAATTAGAAAAAAAATGTTGATTTAATGAGAGAATATTGTATAAAAATAGAATTATTAGCTAAAATACGTATTAATTTTATGATATTTCAATCACATTAACGAAAATCGCCCATTTTTAATTCAAATGGGCGGGAAAAAAATAAAATTCCAAAAAAAAATTGAATTGGGGAAACGATAGGGGACGGGATATGAGAAACCCCATATGTTTGGGAATTTTTCGCATCACTAATTTTAGATATGATATCGCTTATATTAATAAAATGTGAATTTCAATAAATTTGAAATTTGAAATTTTGCCTAAAAAGGTTAAATTCTATACCTGCAGTATGAATGGGTTGTAATGGTAGTAAGAATGAGCTAGCTCAAAGCAACTGCTCAAAACTTTCCCGCCAAAAACGCAAAAGTGTCATTTCTATATGGAAGACCATAGCTGGAGTCACGCTCAACCATCCCCTTGCTGGTATGGTAATTTTCTTTTATTTTGTTTCCAAATAGTCACTCAATTAGATTAAAATATACTGGTATTGAAATATATTTATAATATTCATCAACATTTCATTCGACGATTATTGGGGATTGGAATTGATCCCAGACCCACTCTCAATTCCATTCAAAATTTGAATATGGGCTGGGCTGGGATTATCCCAAATAATCGTTATCGTTGACCTTCAAATGACAATAATAGCCAAAGGATATAAATAGATATACTAAGTGTTAAAATGAATATATCTCTCCCAAGCAAAAAAAAACTTGGGCTAAAAATGTCACTTTTGGGCCGCCCAGGGCTAATTTTTTTTCGTTTTACATCCTTACTAACATACATATCTTTTGATCAAGGAATAGTCTAATAAAAAGAAATTCAGAATTTCTGACAACGATTATTTCTCCACTGTTTCTTTCCAAGCTCTCTGAATTTGAATTGTCCCAATTCTCACATAGCAATCATTATCAAGATTTTATTGCTCCTGTGACATTTTTCAGCATTAATCCAACATCAGAACCGAATATAAGCTAAGAACTCAAGGTTGCACTTACGCCCGTATTACTTTAAAGCAGGCTGTCAGAAATTTTTAAAGTATATATCAAACAAATTATTATGAATTCATTACATAATGTCTTACGAACGTTTGTAAAAAAGTTAGGCATAATATATTTATGTTTCAGTATATATTTATATTCATATTACATGGAATAAAATATATTATTTCATAATACTGCTTTAAAATTGAATTTGAAGGCAATATCCTTCTCCAAAACTTCACCATTTCATCATTTCCATAGATAAATATAAATAGTTTGTCTTCTACACGTATTCAAAATTGAATACATTCTCATTGAGAGTTTTGACAATTTAAACTTTACAAATCTAGTGGTTTGAAAAGTTGAAATCTGACATTTTGATAAGAAACAGGGAGGTAATATTTGTAAATAACATGGTATAGTTTAACATTAAAATTTACAAATTTGGTAAAGCTTATATTCTGGAATTTGGAGATCTCAACCATAATTCTTGTAGGATTGAAAAGTGACATAAAAGTATTCCTTACTGCAGGTTAAAAGTTAGGATGATTACCCAAACATTAATAAAAGTCAGTTAAAGGTTGTTGATGGATATACAACAAAATATTTCGATGATATTCATTGGCTCAAAATTTTTCACCAAGATTTGTTTGATAATCTCTTTTTTAATAATATTGAAGATGCGAAATATTGTATTTCCGATCATAGGTTCAGTATTCTCTCTCTTATTGATGATAGTTATAAAGTTAATAATTTATATGAGATGCTGATTGAATATCCCCAAATTCCTTTCTATTCTCGATTCACGCAGACTACTAATCCTAATATTAATACTAATAATACCGGTTTCAACCACGTTTCAGGCCAAAATGCTTTCGATTTTCACGGACTTGCTCGATCAGCTGATGTTACTGAGACATATTTAGATGGAAGTCCTTCTATTAGCATACATGACTTGTGGTTTGCTATAGGAACATATAAACCTTATCTTATGAATTATATACCAGGTCCATTTAGCTATAATAACACCATAAATCAAGTTAAATGGGTTGATCTTTGGATTCGAATTGAAAATATTTCATTATTGATTAACATGAAATCATTGATCAAATGTCACACAGTTCGATGCAAACCAGTTAGCTTTAGCTATCATTTATTATATTGTTTTATTCTTATCTAAAAATTTAATATAAGCATTGTCTTAATTAAGGCTGCACTTTACGCCCATCTGACTTTAATTCAAATTTTTGACAACTGGCGTGAAGCGTCATTCAAAATTAACCTTAAACATCTGAATTGAAGCCCGTGTCATAGGGGTGTAAGTGCACCCTTAAGAGGGAATTTAATGATTCTTTATTTGATATACATTGGGTGAGAGTGCACCCTTATGGGCATGCAATTTTGAAGCATGTAATACTGGTCATAACTTTATTTCCGGCCAAAAAAGCTGATGTAATAGATGGAAGTCCTAGTGGTGGCAATCATGCTTGGTTTTTAAATTGAAAATTATCTTGCATAAATCGGCCTTCATACCAGAAATGACTCGATTACACACCAAAACACAGTGTTCAAAAAATATTAATCATTTTTTGAGAAGAGGATCGATCATTAATAAGACAATATATATATTTGATAAGCCCAAAAATGTGTAACAACAATTTGTGAATATGGCAAAAAGGGCTCAATTCTCCTATTATATGAGTATGTTTTGGTCATATATATAATAAATTTTGTATACAAGTTTGGTCCGAATCTGGCGTTGGAACCTTTCTATCAATTCATAAATTACAAAATCTTGCACACAAAACAAATGCAATTCTGTTACTTGATGATACATGTCAATGATATTTCATACAATTATTTTTCAAAAATGATAATTCATGTCAAAAATAATTTTTTACATACAAACAAATTATATAATATAATATAATTTAAGCAAATGCTTTCAAGTTGAATCCGAATCTGGCGTTGGCACCTTTCTATCAATTCATAAATTACAAAATCTTGCACACAAAACAAATGCAATTCTGTTACTTGATGATACATGTCAATGATATTTCATACAATTATTTTTCAAAAATGATAATTCATGTCAAAAATAATTTTTTACATACAAACAAATTATATAATATAATATAATTTAAGCAAATGCTTTCAAGTTGAATCCGAATCTGGCGTTGGAACCTTTCTATCAATTCATAAATTACAAAATCTTGCACACAAAACAAATGCAATTCTGTTACTTGATGATACATGTCAATGATATTTCATACAATTATTTTTCAAAAATGATAATTCATGTCAAAAATAATTTTTTACATACAAACAAATTATATAATATAATATAATTTAAGCAAATGCTTTTAAGTTGAATCCGAATCTGGCGTTGGAACCTTTCTATCAATTCATAAATTACAAAATCTTGCACACAAAACAAATGCAATTCTGTTACTTGATGATACATGTCAATGATATTTCATACAATTATTTTTCAAAAATGATAATTCATGTCAAAAATAATTTTTTACATACAAACAAATTATATAATATAATATAATTTAAGCAAATGCTTTCAAGTTGAATCCGAATCTGGCGTTGGAACCTTTCTATCAATTCATAAATTACAAAATCTTGCACACAAAACAAATGCAATTCTGTTACTTGATGATACATGTCAATGATATTTCATACAATTATTTTTCAAAAATGATAATTCATGTCAAAAATAATTTTTTACATACAAACAAATTATATAATATAATATAATTTAAGCAAATGCTTTCAAGTTGAATCCGAATCTGGCGTTGGAACCTTTCTATCAATTCATAAATTACAAAATCTTGCACACAAAACAAATGCAATTCTGTTACTTGATGATACATGTCAATGATATTTCATACAATTATTTTTCAAAAATGATAATTCATGTCAAAAATAATTTTTTACATACAAACAAATTATATAATATAATATAATTTAAGCAAATGCTTTCAAGTTGAATCCGAATCTGGCGTTGGAACCTTTCTATCAATTCATAAATTACAAAATCTTGCACACAAAACAAATGCAATTCTGTTACTTGATGATACATGTCAATGATATTTCATACAATTATTTTTCAAAAATGATAATTCATGTCAAAAATAATTTTTTACATACAGACAAATTATATAATATAATATAATTTAAGCAAATGCTTTTAAGTTGAATCCGAATCTGGCGTTGGAACCTTTCTATCAATTCATAAATTACAAAATCTTGCACACAAAACAAATGCAATTCTGTTACTTGATGATACATGTCAATGATATTTCATACAATTATTTTTCAAAAATGATAATTCATGTCAAAAATAATTTTTTACATACAAACAAATTATATAATATAATATAATTTAAGCAAATGCTTTCAAGTTGAATCCGAATCTGGCGTTGGAACCTTTCTATCAATTCATAAATTACAAAATCTTGCACACAAAACAAATGCAATTCTGTTACTTGATGATACATGTCAATGATATTTCATACAATTATTTTTCAAAAATGATAATTCATGTCAAAAATAATTTTTTACATACAAACAAATTATATAATATAATATAATTTAAGCAAATGCTTTCAAGTTGAATCCGAATCTGGCGTTGGAACCTTTCTATCAATTCATAAATTACAAAATCTTGCACACAAAACAAATGCAATTCTGTTACTTGATGATACATGTCAATGATATTTCATACAATTATTTTTCAAAAATGATAATTCATGTCAAAAATAATTTTTTACATACAAACAAATTATATAATATAATATAATTTAAGCAAATGCTTTCAAGTTGAATCCGAATCTGGCGTTGGCACCTTTCTATCAATTCATAAATTACAAAATCTTGCACACAAAACAATGCAATTCTATTCTGTTACTTGATGATACATGTCAATGATATTTCATACAATTATTTTTCAAAAATGATAATTCATGTCAAAAATAATTTTTTACATACAAACAAATTATATAATATAATATAATTTAAGCAAATGCTTTCAAGTTGAATCCGAATCTGGCGTTGGAACCTTTCTATCAATTCATAAATTACAAAATCTTGCACACAAAACAAATGCAATTCTGTTACTTGATGATACATGTCAATGATATTTCATACAATTATTTTTCAAAAATGATAATTCATGTCAAAAATAATTTTTTACATACAAACAAATTATATAATATAATATAATTTAAGCAAATGCTTTCAAGTTGAATCCGAATCTGGCGTTGGAACCTTTCTATCAATTCATAAATTACAAAATCTTGCACACAAAACAAATGCAATTCTGTTACTTGATGATACATGTCAATGATATTTCATACAATTATTTTTCAAAATGATAATTCATGTCAAAAATAATTTTTTACATACAAACAAATTATATAATATAATATAATTTAAGCAAATGCTTTTAAGTTGAATCCGAATCTGGCGTTGGAACCTTTCTATCAATTCATAAATTACAAAATCTTGCACACAAAACAAATGCAATTCTGTTACTTGATGATACATGTCAATGATATTTCATACAATTATTTTTCAAAAATGATAATTCATGTCAAAATAATTTTTTACATACAAACAAATTATATAATATAATATAATTTAAGCAAATGCTTTCAAGTTGAATCCGAATCTGGCGTTGGAACCTTTCTATCAATTCATAAATTACAAAATCTTGCACACAAAACAATGCAATTCTGTTACTTGATGATACATGTCAATGATATTTCATACAATTATTTTTCAAAAATGATAATTCATGTCAAAAATAATTTTTTACATACAAACAAATTATATAATATAATATAATTTAAGCAAATGCTTTTAAGTTGAATCCGAATCTGGCGTTGGAACCTTTCTATCAATTCATAAATTACAAAATCTTGCACACAAAACAAATGCAATTCTGTTACTTGATGATACATGTCAATGATATTTCATACAATTATTTTCAAAATGATAATTCATGTCAAAAATAATTTTTTACATACAAACAAATTATATAATATAATATAATTTAAGCAAATGCTTTCAAGTTGAATCCGAATCTGGCGTTGGAACCTTTCTATCAATTCATAAATTACAAAATCTTGCACACAAAACAAATGCAATTCTGTTACTTGATGATACATGTCAATGATATTTCATACAATTATTTTCAAAAATGATAATTCATGTCAAAAATAATTTTTTACATACAAACAAATTATATAATATAATATAATTTAAGCAAATGCTTTCAAGTTGAATCCGAATCTGGCGTTGGAACCTTTCTATCAATTCATAAATTACAAAATCTTGCACACAAAACAAATGCAATTCTGTTACTTGAATACATGTCAATGATATTTCATACAATTATTTTTCAAAAATGATAATTCATGTCAAAAATAATTTTTTACATACAAACAAATTATATATATATAATATAATTTAAGCAAATGCTTTCAAGTTGAATCCGAATCTGGCGTTGGAACCTTTCTATCAATTCATAAATTACAAATCTTGCACACAAAAAAATGCAATTCTGTTACTTGATGATACATGTCAATGATATTTCATACAATTATTTTTCAAAAATGATAATTCATGTCAAAAATAATTTTTTACATACAAACAAATTATATAAATAAATATAATTTAAGCAAATGCTTTCAAGTTGAATCCGAATCTGGCGTTGGAACCTTTCTATCAATTCATAAATTACAAAATCTTGCACACAAAACAAATGCAATTCTGTTACTTGATGATACATGTCAATGATATTTCATACAATTATTTTTCAAAAATGATAATTCATGTCAAAATAATTTTTTACATACAAACAAATTATATAATATATATAATTTAAGCAAATGCTTTCAAGTTGAATCCGAATCTGGCGTTGGAACCTTTCTATCAATTCATAAATTACAAAATCTTGCACACAAAACAAATGCAATTCTGTTACTTGATGATACATGTCAATGATATTTCATACAATTATTTTTCAAAAATGATAATTTCATGTCAAAAATAATTTTTTTTACATACAAAACAAATTATATATATAATATAATATAATTTAAGCAAATGCTTTCAAGTTGAATCCGAATCTGGCGTTGGAACCTTTCTATCAATTCATAAATTACAAAATCTTGCACACAAAACAAATGCAATTCTGTTACTTGATGATACATGTCAATGATATTTCATACAATTATTTTTCAAAAATGATAATTCATGTCAAAAATAATTTTTTACATACAAACAAATTATATAATATAATATAATTTAAGCAAATGCTTTCAAGTTGAATCCGAATCTGGCGTTGGCACCTTTCTATCAATTCATAAATTACAAAATCTTGCACACAAAACAAATGCAATTCTGTTACTTGATGATACATGTCAATGATTTTCATACAATTATTTTTCAAAAATGATAATTCATGTCAAAAATAATTTTTTACATACAAACAAATTATATAATATAATATAATTTAAGCAAATGCTTCAAGTTGAATCCGAATCTGGCGTTGGCACCTTTCTATCAATTCATAAATTACAAATCTTGCACACAAAACAAATGCAATTCTGTTACTTGATGATACATGTCAATGATATTTCATACAATTATTTTTCAAAAATGATAATTCATGTCAAAAATAATTTTTTACATACAAACAAATTATATAATATAATAATTTAAGCAATGCTTTCAAGTTGAATCCGAATCTGGCGTTGGAACTTTCTATCAATTCATAAATTACAAAATCTTGCACACAAAACAAAAGCAATTCTGTTACTTGATGATACATGTCAATGATATTTCATACAATTATTTTTCAAAATGATAATTCATGTCAAAAATTTTTTACATACAAACAAATTATATAATATAATATAATTTAAGCAAATGCTTTCAAGTTGAATCCGAATCTGGCGTTGGAACCTTTCTATCAATTCATAAATTACAAAATCTTGCACACAAAACAAATGCAATTCTGTTACTTGATGATACATGTCAATGATATTTCATACAATTATTTTTCAAAAATGATAATTCATGTCAAAAATAATTTTTTACATACAAACAAATTATATAATATAATATAATTTAAGCAAATGCTTTCAAGTTGAATCCGAATCTGGCGTTGGAACCTTTCTATCAATTCATAAATTACAAAATCTTGCACACAAAACAAATGCAATTCTGTTACTTGATGATACATGTCAATGATATTTCATACAATTATTTTTCAAAAATGATAATTCATGTCAAAAATAATTTTTTACATACAAACAAATTATATAATATAATATAATTTAAGCAAATGCTTTCAAGTTGAATCCGAATCTGGCGTTGGCACCTTTCTATCAATTCATAAATTACAAAATCTTGCACACAAAACAAATGCAATTCTGTTACTTGATGATACATGTCAATGATATTTCATACAATTATTTTTCAAAAATGATAATTCATGTCAAAAATAATTTTTTACATACAAACAAATTATATAATATAATATAATTTAAGCAAATGCTTTTAAGTTGAATCCGAATCTGGCGTTGGAACCTTTCTATCAATTCATAAATTACAAAATCTTGCACACAAAACAAATGCAATTCTGTTACTTGATGATACATGTCAATGATATTTCATACAATTATTTTTCAAAAATGATAATTCATGTCAAAAATAATTTTTTACATACAAACAAATTATATAATATAATATAATTTAAGCAAATGCTTTCAAGTTGAATCCGAATCTAGCGTTGAAATCCTTCTCTTGTTTCTCAATCATTGATTTGTATTGACTGAATTCTTTAGACATAATTCGTAAAACTGAAACTTTGCTCTTTAAATCTTCCTGCAAATACTTGATTCTTTCCAAGTCACATGGTCTTGGCCGAGACAAATCAAACGTAGATGACAATTGATTCAAATCTTTTTCCAATGATTCAATTTTTTCATCAAATTTTTCAATTTTTTCTTTGTTTTTCATTTGAATTTTGATTAATTCTTTTGATAACCTGTTCATAAGACTTCTCATGAATGTTTCGTTCTCTATCTCTTTTCTTTTCATCATTTCCATGCTTTCAGAAAGAATTCTCTGTTTCTTTTTCTCAATTTCTTGATATTTTTCAAATAATTTTTTAGTTTCTAATGTTGCAGAATCAAAAACAACATCAATGTTTCGTTTTAATGATTGTTTTATCTGTTCATAAGCTCTTTCATTCGCAGATCTAATAGTCATCAGTTTTTCAGTGAATTTTGAAAAATCTAAATTTGGATTTTTCAAATTTTCGGTCAAATTCAGTATTTTTGATTCAATTTCTTTTATCTGTTCTTCATTTTGATGTTTATAATCAGAAATTTCTTGTTTTGACCGTTTTTCGGCCAAATTTGCCAAATTTTCTGAATTTTCAAGTTGTTTTTGATAAATTAGTTGGTTTTCATTATAATCCATGCTATTTACAATACTATTTATTGTGTTTTGACCATTTTCAAGTTGATTTTTGAAATTATTTTCTAAAATTTTTAGAAATTCTTCCAATTTTTGTGTTTCTTCAATAGTTTTAGCTTTTGTTTCCTCTATTTTGCTTTGAAGAGACTTCCTGACTTGTTCTCGTGCTCTTCCTGATGATTTCGGACGATTTGAATTTTGATGTCTTTCTATTTCGTTTTTGAAAGCATTTTCATAGAAATTTGAGAGTAATCCACGTTCAGAAACAATAATTTTCTTGTATTCTTCAATCATTGACTGGAATTTTTCAATTTCTTCATTTGATTTTTTGAAAATTTGTTCTTTTTCAGGATTTGTCGCTTGCAAACTCTTCAACTGCTTCTGTAAGTCATTATATATTGATTTATATTCATCATTTTCACTTTTTATCTCATTTTCAAAATTATTTTTTGATTTAATTTCAAAAATTTTTGAATTATATGATTCATTGCATTGTTTTATTGCTTCTACTTCTTTTACTTTGAGTTCTTCCTCTAATTTTAAAAGTTTTTGCTGATTTTCAGCAAATTTTGTTTTAAATTCTTGATTTTGATTGAAAACAAGGTCATTTTCTTCTTTCTTTATCTGTAGATTAAGATTGGATATCACTCTTTCTGTTTCATCTTGAATTGTTTTTAATTTAAACTCATAATTTTCCAAATTTGCCTTTTTCTCTTCATTTAGAGCATCTAACGTCTGCAGTTGTACTTTATTGTCTGCTTTGCTTTGATTCCTCAACTTATTTATGTCATTTCTCAAATTTTGTTCAGAATTATTTATAATTTTTGTTTTTTCAGAGATTTCGAACGCGAAATCCTTTTCTTTTGTTTCTTTTTCAGTATTATTCGACTTCTTTGTTTCCAAAAGCACCTTTTTATTCAATTTCCTTTCTTTTTTAGAAGATTTCGAAAAATCCAAAATTTTTGAGTTGATTTTTTCATTTTTAGATGTTAATTCCTTTTCATTTGAACTTATTTCATCTATTAGTTGTGTTTTCTCTTGTTCAAGACTGTTTTTTAATTCGATATAACTTGAATCAAAATTTTTTGCAGAATTTGAATAATTTACGATTAAATTATTATAATTGGTCAGTTGATCACTCAATTGTTTATGTAAATCTTCCAAAATTGATTGAAAAAGTTCATTTTTCTTTTTTAATTCATTTTTCAAGTTTTCTTCTATGAGAATATATGATTGTTTGTTGTTGTTCAGTTCATTCTTCATGTATTCTATCTCTTTGGAATGGTCTACAGCGTGAAAAACCCTTTGAATCATCTCATTAAAAAGAATTTTTTTCTGATTCATGAAAAGAGAGAAACTTGACTGCAAAAGGATGATGTTTTGTGCTGCTTTGTCGTTTAAATCCCTCGTTTGACTGCAAATCTCTTTATAATTCTCAAGTTTTTTTAGAAAATTTGGAGAAATTTTGACATTTTTTTGTTGATTTTTAAGTTCTTCAATGAGTTTGTTGTGGTCTACACGTAATTGTTCGATTCTTACACGTGAATTTGCTTTGAATAGTTGTAATTTCTTATCTGATTCGATTTCAACTTCTTTTAGCTCTTTTTGTTGAGTTTCGTTAAGTATATTAACATTATTTTCTATGTTTTTCTTGGATTTATATATCATTTTTGTAATAATTTCGTTTGTTTCTTGTTTTGATTTTAAATTTTTTGGAATTGATTCAGATAGTTTTGCAATTGATAGTTGAAGGGTTTTCATATACGAATTTAAGTTATTTTGTATTGATTCTGTGTTATTTTTATATGTTGATACTAAATTTTCGAATTTTTTCTGAAGTTGAATTTGATTTGCATTATTTGCGTTATCATGTGTTGATTTAGCATCATTGTATATTTTATCCATGTTGTTTTTATATTCATCTGATGCTTTATTTAGTATTTTATCAACATCATTAAACAAAACTTGCTTTTCGAAGTTGATTTTTTGTATCCTATACTGAAAATCAGATATAGCTTGAGCAAGTTTTGCTGTTTTCTTGCAGACATTGAATTGACGGGCATAATCTATGTCCATCAATTCAATCTTCTGAAGAAAAATAGGAATTGTCAAAGAACAAATTGAAAGAATATGTTTCATATAAGTTTGGAAAAGGTTTTTATGTTGTAATGTAATAACAGTGTACGTTTGAAATTTGCAGATTTACGACTTTCAAAATGCATATAAATGCGTGTTTTGTTAATTACATGCTATAAGTTGTATAAATTTTTATAGTTCTGATTCATAGAAGCATTTCAATAAAATTTCATAAAAATTTCCAAGCTAATTTGGCTTCAAAATCGGAAATTTGTCTGTTTTACATATATTCAAATTCATAGAAAGAAAATGAAGGTAAAATTTTTGAATCTAAAAATTTTTCATTCAAATTTTTAAAATTATAAGATTTATTGCCTCTTATTTATGAAATTTCTTATGGAAAAAAACCGAAGTAAAGTTCAGAAATTAGAGTTCAAAAAAATTTTGGACGATATGTTCTGACATTGCGTAAAATGACTGCGCATACCACGAGGGAACATTCACAGGCTCGTGTCAGGGCTCCTTTTACAAAAGAGGAGGACCAACAGCTCCTGAAGTTAGTTGGTTGCTTTGGCGATAACGCTTGGAGAATTGTCGCAGCCGGAATGGGCGACAGGACGGCCAAGCAGTGCAAAGACAGGTACTTCAATAGCCTTGCCCCGAACCTGATGAATGGTGAATGGACCAAAGAAGAGGAAAGACTCTTATACGAAAAAGTTAACGAATTTGGAAAGAAATGGTCGGTTATTGCAAAGTACTTTATGAACAGAGGACCAAATAACCTCAAAAACCACTGGAATCGCGTGATGTTGCGGAAGCAAGCGTCATTTGCACCTTCCGTGGAACCATCCGTGGTTCAAGACGAAGTCGTGCCGTTCCATAGCGACTTCGATGAATTCGACAACTCAATTTGTTTCTTCGAAGAAGTTTTTGAAGGAACCTTTTAATATCTCATTTTTAAGTTGTCATATGGGAATTTTCTCTGGCTTCCCTTATAAAACATTACTTGCTTGAGAAATACGAAATTTATTCAATTACATTTAAGCGATTACAATGACTTTCTTTAAAAAAGAAGGTCATCAAAATCAAATTTCTTTTGATTTACTAAGTTTATTAACTCTCAAGCATGAAAATTGTTTGTTTGATTTTTATACTTCAAGAGTGTTGATATTTTTCATTCCAGAATTGATTTTTTTTCAAATTTTTTGAATAATTTTAGTATTGGTATATGTAATACACAATTTGGACAAGCCAAATTTGAAGTTTTGGATATGAGAAGCTGAAAGAATCCAATCAAATTGGATTTTGTTTTGGTTTTATGATTTGATATTAAGAGTATTAAGGTGTTTGAACCTCTGGTAAAGGCACATATCAAAATAAAGAAAGTCCATATGCTGAGTAGCATTGATGACACAAATTGATATAGGTAATCTTATAAATGAATTCAATTTGATAATATCATGTAGAAATGTATATTGTATTTTGTTCACGAATGGAAATACAAAACAAATATGAATATAAAAATAGTTTACACATTTTGAAAATTTGATTTTTTATTAAAATAACTCGAAAAATTAAATAAATTGTATTAAAATTTGAAATTTTCTTTTTTTTGGAGAAAAAAACTAACAAGATGGCACTCATCTTGTATACGAATATGCATAAAAATGATTTTAAAATCAATTGATACAAAAATATATAAGCAAAAACACTTATATCAAGATAAATTTTTCCAAATTATCATTTTCAACTGAAATATATATTGTCACATACATGACTCCTAAATTTAAATAAAATATACGCATTTATTTTGTCTATTTATTCGAAATTATTGTAAATCTATTTGTAATTCTATTTTAATTAGTTTTCCTGTTGTTTTTATTTAAAAGTAAGAATTTAATTTGTTAAGAGAGAGACGAAAAATCGTTTATTTGGCTAGAGAAAAATTTATGAGATGATTTTAGAACTTTTCGCCCTTGGCAGCCTTAACAGCCTTCTCACCTGCATCTGTAAGGTTATCGGCTGAGATGATTGGGAGACCAGATTCGCGGATGAGCTTCTTGCCTGCCTCGACGTTTGTACCCTCGAGACGGACAACGAGTGGGACCTTGAGACCGACCTTCTTGAAAGCAGCGATGACACCAGCAGCGACCATATCGCAACGAACGATACCACCGAAGATGTTGACAAGGATAGCCTTGACGTGGGACTGTTGTGAGATGATTGTGAAGCCCTCTGTAACAGCAGCCTCAGAAGCAGCACCACCGAGATCGAGGAAGTTAGCTGGATCGCCACCAGCAAGTTTGATGACATCCATTGTAGCCATAGCAAGGCCAGCACCGTTAACGAGGCAAGCAACGTTACCATCGAGTGGGACGTAGTTAAGACCATACTTCTCAGCGCGGATTTCGAATGGGCTGACTTGCTTGAGATCGCGGTAACCGAAGATCTGCTTCTGGCGGTAGTGAGCGGAATCATCGAAGTTGAACTTGGAATCGACTGTGATGATGCGGCCGTCTGTTGTTTCGGCGAGTGGGTTAACTTCGACCTGTGTAGCATCGGAGCCAACGAAGAGCTTCCAGAGCTTCTGCATTTCGACAACACCGTTGTCATAAGCCTTGCCTGTAAGGCCAAGCTTTGTAGAGATGTTCTTAGCAACTTCCTCTGTGATGCCTTCAACACCATCGAGGACGAACTTATGGATCTTTTCTGGATGATGAGCAGCGACCTCTTCGATCTCAACACCACCCTCTGTGGAAGCGATGACAACTGGGGACTGTGTCTGGCGGTCGAGGAGAATTGCGAAGTAAAGTTCGCGCTTGACTTCGACTGGGTCTGAAAGCATAACAGCCTGGCAGAGAAGGCCGTCCTTGCCTGTCTGCTTTGTGACAAGGTGGTGACCAAGCATCTCCTTAGCGATCTTGGCGGCCTCATCAGCGGACTTTACGAAGTGAACACCAGACTTGAAGCCTGTTTCCAACCAGTGACCCTTGCCACGGCCACCGCAGTAAACCTGAGCCTTGATAACAGCAGCTGGGAGATTCATCTTTCTGAATGCTTCAGCAGCCTCTTCTGGGGAACGAGCGACAAGATTTATACCGGCGGCAACGTTGTACTTGGCGCAGATTTCCTTGGACTGCCATTCGAGAATGTTGAAATTACGTGCGAAGCTTGAGCTAAGCATTGTAATGTGAAGTGATCAACAAAAACCGGTTGAGATAGAAAATTGAGGGTTAATCGTTTAAAACCTCCCGCAACAGCACTTTTTTTGTGACTTTTTTCCTTCGTCTTTTTCTCCCATTTGAAAATAATTTTAGTATTTAGAATCAATAACAAAATCATCTCTATTGATATAAAAAATGGTCGACAGAAAAAATTGAGCAGCAAAAAATTTTTTCACAATTTTTTTCAAAGAATTTTTTTGATGAATTCAGCACGATAAACATATTGCACAATAATATTAACCAATGTCAAATTAGTTATCCTGTAAACATCTCAAAAACATGTAACGTTTTATTTTTTGTGATTACTAACAATAAGATATATATTCAGAATATCAAATTTTAAAAGAATTGATATGACTACTTTTTACTGAATAAATTCTTTATTCTTCTCAAAAAATTGTTCTTAATTTTTATCTTCTATATATTTGACCTATATCTATGATATATGATTTATCCATTTATTTGAATACTTTTGTTAGAAAATTTTGAAAGGAATTTTGGAGATTTAATAGAATACCATTATCTGTATTAAATATGCATAATTTAATTTTTTTATTCTCGGTTCCAACTGATCGTTATAATCGTCATTTTAATGGAAATATTTTCAATGGCCCTTCCTCAAAATGTCCTTCAGCGCTAAAGATATACAATTATCATAACATTGTGTCTTCAAATTTCTATTTTTTAGCTAAATATCACAATGAATATTGCGAAACCGATATTTTCAAAACATGAAATATCATAATTAGACTTTAATATTAAAGGGGAATAATAAACATGAGTACTATATTTTAACCGACGTATAAATGGCCACTATTATCAGTTTTTATTTCAGAACTGAATAAATTCAAATTATTGTCTGAGTAACTCAAAAGATAGAATAAATGCATAATATAACTAATGAGTCATGTTCGTTTCTTAAAATGGAAGCCAATTTCTTGATTTTTTTTGTATAATCTAATATATTTTATTTTAAGCTAAATGGATCATTTTCAAATTAGCAAAAAATCAATATGTGAGATATTTATTCTTGTATAAAGAATTATGAAGTTTATTGATTCTCATCCAGCGAAATATAAGCTGGAATATGACTGTAAATGAATTCGAAAGAATCTTCAAAAGGAGATGAACTATATTGAAATAATTAAACTAAGACTAAAGTTTTTATTTCGGAAAAAAATCTAAGAAATATGAAGTTATTCTCAAATAAATTTGAGATAATTTTGTATTTAGCATAATCCATTTGGTTGATCGCTTCCTTCATCATATAACTTGATATCAAGAATCGGAGTTCCATCAACTAGATCTAAGCCTTTGACATATATCTTCAAACCATCTATCTTTTGTATTTCCATGAATGATTTTCCAATTGGATTTGGTCTTACTGGAGAACAAGTTGCGAAAACTCCACGTGGATGTAAATGACGGCGATGAACAGGCTGAACTTGCTGTATTGATCTATCTGCTAAGTGTAAAAAAGAGAAAACCCAAATGTATTTGACTTTTTCCAAACCAAGAATGCATTCTGAAAATTGAGGCAGAATTTCGATTACTCCGCCTAGAATATCATCTTTTCCATTCAATGGAACTTCACACATCTGTTTGCAATCCGAGTGGACATAACCAACAGGTGAAGCAGTAAATTCCATTTTTTTTGAATTTTCGAAATTTAAGGGGGTATCACCAATAATTTTTTTTAATGGAATTGAACAAATTTCTTCACAAAAGCATATTTATTCACATTTTTAATATAATACCCTCTTAAACAAACCAAATTCGACCTGATCATGATGACTAAAATCGAAATAAGTCTTCATTTTGATAAAATATCTTTTCATAACCTTTTATTCTTTCATTTATTCGATCATTATATAGCAATTATTACTCACCTATAAAGCATTCGCTTAGAATTTGTTTATATTAATCATTAACGAACTATTTAAAAAATGTTTAGAAAATAACAAATATCTTTATGAAATACAGTCAATAAACAAAATTAAATATGAATATTTCAGATGTTGCTTAATATAATTTTGGTTAGAATGAATATTTGAAATAATATGAAGAAGAAAATGATAAAAATCTTCGTTTATTTCATAATAATCTTTTATTTCTGATTTAATTTGTATTTCATCTCCAAAATACATAGCTTTGCAGTTTTCTGTACTCAGATGAACTATTTTGTTTTCAAAAGAATTAGTTGATATTTGATCTGTATAAACTTGTCCATATGCTGAATATGAATCAATATTACAATGAATTACTTCAATAGATGAACCATAGTTTCTAAATAAAACACCACCCGAATTCCCTTTGATTACACAATCTTCGACAGTAAGTTTTGCTGAAGTATATGAAGTGATTGTTTCTGGTCCTTTATTGCTAAGAATGTTACTTTTCTGTAGAAAAGATGCTACTCTTGCACTATTAAAATTCACTCCATTATTATAATGTGAATTATTCGAAAATGTTGAATATGTAACAAATGAAGATGTAGCTCCATACAATATATCGAATGATGAATAATAAATACATAAACATTTAGAAATATTTGTTTTACTAATCTGAATATTTCCATATTGATGATAAACTGGTGCTTCTCCAATTCCTTCTTTTCCACATTCTGAAATAGTAGAAAAATTGAAAAAATTCTTAGCTCTATCAGAATCTGTTGCATAAACTCGAGAGTGGTGACCTTCAACATTTTCTCCATTGACACTGTTGTTTATAGAACAAATTTTATTTTGACAACATTCACCTGAATTATAAAAATAAAGACATGTTCCACCATCATTATCACCAGATATTAGTTTATTATATGAAAATGATGATGTTTCAACTAATAATTTATTCGAACTTGAACTTGTAGAAAAAAAGATCGTGTTGTCTGAAAAACCAGTGAAAATATCATCTTCAACATGATATTGACCATTTGATGGAATTTTCCCTCCGCTTGAATCTATGGGGCTTCCATCGAAAAAGTCGCCCCATTCTCGATGGAGAATTTGAAATGTTTACAAATAAAAAAATTTTTTTACTTCTATTTCTGGAAAGTTATTAAGTTGAAATTAGTCAATATACAAAAATATGGAAACACATCCAACCAATGGGATTGTAATATGTTTTGATCACCAGATATATTGAATATCGAAGAAGTTAAAATGAAGATTTTATTCAAACACATATTGAACTCTAAACCATTAAACATTAAAACAACATAGGAAGCAATGAATGATTATCTAGATGGGAACTTATCATTCACATTTCATCTGTGAACATAACAAATTTAATACCCAGTTTTCAAAAGATATTCATATTTTTTATTATCATTTGCTTTTATTTATTTTTTTCCTCATGAGACTTAATGGCAAATGTAGATTCTGTCAAATGCCACATTTTAGAAGATATCATAGGGTTTTAAAGTATATTACCATAAAAATTTGAAGTAATCAATTTACTTCTTTATTTAATTTAAAGACTTTTCGCTGGTCATACTTAGTCATCGACCATTATTTTATTTTTTGATCTTTGGGATTATTTTGTATGATCTTTAAAATTTGGTTTGAATAATTTCAGTAATTCATATTTATATATGAAGTTGTGATTGAGAGTAACAACATGTTATATATCAATGTTGTGAGATAATTCGACTTGATCTTGTTTTTCAGATTCATTTTCTGTTTGAGCTTGAAAAGATAAAGTATTCATTATTAATAAAGGGACCAAATTCAAGATTCCAGACCATAAACATTGGTAAAACCAGATCAAGTAAAAATGATAATTCTTATATGTAGGAAATATGTTGTAATAATTTGAAATATATAGAGTCATATTAAAAAATGAAATCCAATATAAAGATCTACGCAGTTTATACAATATTATTTCTATTATAAGACATATAGGAATCAGAAACAAGCTGATTTTAATTCGAATTCTTTGCGAATAATCAATGAGATCTTTCAATTTTGAAAAAAGAAAGTAATCTCAAGCAAAATGAAACTAAAACAAAATATAATGATAAATGAATACTGAAAATTTTAAGGTATGGAATATAAATATATAAACATAAATGCTTATATATTGTACCAAAAACGAAACTACCAGAATGATTATTAATATAACGGATATCCATCGCAAAACATTTGCTCCATACACATTTAAGATCTTCAAGACTTTTATAATTTGGTTAAAATATAAAGCAATAGATAAAATTTGTAAACATTTAAAGATGTTCCCAGTTATTAGAGTTGATAAAACCTGACCCTTATTATAGATGTCCGATTCAACAAAGATGTGAATATTTGAGAGATAAAAAAGAGAGTACACAATATTTGAAATAATCGTCACTAAATAAAAAATAATACTCATGTCATTCTTTTTAGTTTTCATAAGTTTGGATTGACGCAATAATACAACAAAATTATATGAATATATAAGAGATATAAAAACAGAGATTAAGAAAAATAGATACTTTAGAGGAGATTTGCACTCTGGTAAATAAGACATGTCACTTTTTAACATTTAACTAAATTAAAAAAAGTTCATACCATTTCACAAAGTCTATTCTATTGTCACTTTTGAATATAAGATGGGAATGCTTGAGAGAAAAGTTGGGGATTTAACATGGAATCTTTTCACAAGCAATGACCTATGATAGTGTAATAAACGTAATATAGCATACAATCATTTATTCAAGGAGTAAATAACGTACGTTTTTTTTTGAAAATATATTGAAATTTTGAAATACAATACAAACAATAAATTTATTAGTTTTCAAGAATGTATAGTTCAACATCAAGGATGTTTTCAGATGGTTCGAGAGTGAGTTGAGGTGAGTCAAATGTATCACATTTGCAAGATCGGACTTTATCAAGTCTGTCTCCGATGATGATTGCTGGATTTGGACCGCCAATCATTATTGTGTCATCATCGACAGATAAGTAATCTTTGTTTGGAGGACGAGGATGTTTGTAGCACTTCATAGTTGAATCCTTGATGTGGAAAACAAAATTAGAAGTGTTTCTTGAGTAAACACTTCCTGTCTTTTCGAGCTGATCTGAAAGAAAAGCTCCGATGATTGACTTGTCTGTCTTAATAATCAATATATGTGCACCTTTCTTCTTCATCTCGTTCAAAAGAGTCTGAAGAATTGTTCCATCTTTAGAAAGTGAATAAGACAGAGAAGGATTCTGTCTCAAGTATATGAAAGGAATGTATTCTTTAATAACGAAATAGTTCTTCGTGTCGAGAAGTCGACCTTCGTGAATTATCTCGATTTCGTTGAATTTCCTCTGTACATTCTTTTGGTATTTAACAATCTCTTCTGATGGAATGATGTTCGCAAGATCTGATAGTACATTCAAATTAAGTTTCCGAGGGAAGTCGAGAGGATTGAAATCGCCTCGAATTTGGTCATTAAATATCGATGCAATCATTTTAGTGTTTTTGATAGTTTCTGAAATTTTGTTGTTGTCCGTTTCGATGCGTTCAAGACCAAATAGATGTTTCTTGCGACTCATGTATATACTGAAACTCTCTTTCAAGAATGTTCGCAAGTTTTGTGGTTTTGAAAAACCACTAAATGTATCTAAGATGATTGTTACGAATTCTTTTGGTGAATTTGACTTCAAAAGAATATCTGAGTTGATCTTGAATATAGTTGTTATGAATCGGAGCAATACTTTCCTTCCTTCAACAATAAAACTGTCGAAAAATGTTAATGCAATTGGTAATTGACTTATCGGAATGAAAAATGAAGGAAGTAATGCGAGTATAAGGAAATCTATGCCAACACCAAGAGATTTTGCTTTCGAAACAACATCTGGAGTCTTAATATTTAATAACTTTTCGATTGCAACACCATTTTTGTAGTAATTCTTTCGATTGAGTGTAAAATACCAACTGTCTTCTTGAGATCGACGTATCATTGCTTGTAATGAAGCGTATGCTGCTGGAGGTTCCATGAATAAAAGTAATATTACGGCAATTACTGGAAGAAAAGGGGAATATTCAATGCCTTTGTTTGTTGCCCAGATAGCTCTAAGAAATTCTTTAACTAATGGTTGGATTTTCTCAGGTAAAAACTTGATGATGTAAGCGGAACCGCTAAATAGATCTTCGAGCGAATGTTCGTGAACTTTGTTTGATTTTAATTGGCGATTTACTAGAGATAACGCATTCTCATAGACATTTCCTAACTCATCAATTAATTGTTTGCCATTTGAAGCCATCAACCATACATCTTGCCTCATCGTAGCAGGTATTCCCATTCTAGCGGTAAGTTTCAACTTCTTTTGATTCTTAAAAATATTATCGCCTAACTTTGAAAAAGCAGCTTTTCGCAAGTTTTCTTCTTGAATCCACTCATCAGTCAGTGAGAAATTAAGTTCATCAAGAAAACCATTGATTCTATGGTCAGGATCTTTGCTAACAATTGACATTTATGAAAAGATTTTTGAGAAAAAAAGACAATAGGAATTTTTCAGCGTTGTAAATTTTTTTTATTTCAATCTGCGATCAAATTATTAATAATTTATTCTCCTTGAATATTACTACATATCGATTAACTCTTATTAATAATTTATTCTCCTTTAGAAATTTGATGCTAAAAATGCATCGTTCGATCATTCTAATAAGTTCTTTGGATATTTGAAGTCAATTCATACGAAAATCTTATTTGGAACCTCAATGAGAAACCGAGAACCGATGAAAGAGCAGATTTCTTATCAATTTGATTGGATTATTAACTTTTCAGAAAACTCATAGAAAATTTGAGAGTAATATTGCATTAATAAGAGTTTTGACAAGAAATCATAGATTCTCCTTATCAAATCAATTCCACATAGAAGAAAACTGTTAATTTTTCAAAAATATTTATTTCGTCAATGACATACTTATGAAGCTTTGAGTTTAAATTTTATCATCCGAATTTAATGCATAAATCACATAAATTAAATTGAACAACTATTAATGCATTGATTGTTGCCCAAAATAAAAAAAAAAAAAGGTAGTGGGGCTTCCAGGGGCTGCGCCCCTTCTAGCCCTGAAGATGATTAGTATAATTATATAGTAAAAAATTAAAGTTTTTATTCGATAAGAACGACATCGCTATTGTTTTCTTCTTCCTCCTCCTCTTCTTCATTGTCAGTATCTGATGGCTCTTTGTCAGCCACATGACCAGCAACAAATATTGAGACAAATTGTTTCTTTGGTTTTGTTAGCAGGAACTTTTGATGGTCGTAGAACACGAATTCTACATTTTGAAAATGCTGTGCTGAGTATTCTGTGAAATGGGAAATTGGAATTGGTTCTCCCATGCCAAAACCAGCAATGGACGCGAACAAAACATCGTCTTCGACTCTTGCAGGTTTGTCAATTGCAACAGTAGTTATTATGTGGGGTTTTCCTTCACATCCTGCAAGAGATTGTACATGATAGATTGCTTTTTCTTCTCCCTCAGGAACTGAAAGTGTGAAATGGAATGAGAGTTCTCCATATTCATTTGCTTCTTCGTAATAGTTGTATGTTGTAGGATACACCAATTGAAATTTTCCTATTCTTGTTTCCCTCAGGTGTTGTCTATATTGCTTGGGAAAACATAAAATAAATTGCTCTATAGCTTGTGTTGCTATTAGATTGGTTGTAACTGGTAATTTTGAGGCGAAAAGGTCTACAAGAACACCGGGATTTTTTATGTCGAAACAATAAGAATTACCGAAAAAGTGACAAAACATCAAAAACAGGGAGGGGGTCTCAATTTTTATTACTTATATTATTTTACAATATTTATATAAATACTCTTTATAATATATTTTACTATAAAATTATACCTCAAATTCAAATATTTAAAATATTATTTACATAATTATCTCAAAATTATATTTTTATATATTATTTTTCATATGTATAAATCATATAATCTATATCTATGCAAATCTCATCTAAAATTTTTTGAAACAAACCGCTACCATTTTATAATGGTCCATCTTAAATTCATCATAAATTCTGGTACATGTTAGTACCAGAGTCTTCAAATCTCAAACACTCTGGTACCAACATGTACCAGACGCGAGTTTCCAATGCCCTCGTACGATTTTCTATTAAGATCTTCTTGAATGAGAAGGTCTTCGTAGAAACTCGTACGAGGGCTTCTCTTTTAAATACTCTGGTACCTGCTGGTATCGGAGTCGACTTTACAGCCCTTTCCCCAATTTTGAAGCTGGGGAAAGTTTTCAAGCAATGAAAGGGAAGCTCTCGCTATGAGGTGAAAATCTAGAATTTTTACCTCATAGCGAGTAATCCTTTGTTAATTGCTTGAAAACTTTCTTCAAATTATCAAAATTTCGAGGAAAGTTTCCTTGCTTCAAAGTAGAGATGGAGCCCTTTGAGCCACTGCATATAGGTCAGTGACTCAAAATACTCCATCTCTACTAGAAATCGCCAAAATTTGGGTCGCAATCTTTGAAATGCGACGCAAGTTTTGGCAATTTCGCGAGGGGCTTGCTCCATTTGGTGCATAGATTCACACTCTATGCACCAGATGGAACAATTCTTTCGCTGACAGCGGTAAACTTTGTCTGAATAGTTTAACATTCAGACAAAGTTTTCCGCTGTCAGAGAGGGAATGGAAGGGTAAGAGGTATATATTCATAATGTATACCTCTTACTCTTCCATTCCCTCAAGAAAGTTCAAAAACTTGGGTGCAATCAGTTCTGATTGCACCCAAGTTTTTGAACTTTATATAAGGAATTGTTGGCTATGATGTACTGATTCATGATCAGTACATCATAGCCAACAATTCCTTCGCAAACAGTGGGAAACTTTGTCTGAATAGTTTAACATTCAGACAAAGTTTCCCGCTGTCAGGGAGGGAATTAGAGGGTGGGAGATATATAGATAGACTATAAATCTCTCACCCTTTAATTCCCTCAAGAAAGTTCAAAAACTTGGGTGCAATCAGAACTGATTGCACCCAAGTTTTGAATTTTGTATAAGGAATTGTTGGCTATGATGTGGATAGCCGCTGCCAGACCAAATGAATTAACCGTTGTGAATAACGTTTCTGAATCTTTATTTAAAAAGATAAAATATCACGATTTTGGCTGCGTTAAAAATCAAAGAATTGATGTTTTTGTCAAAAATCTTTTAGAAGAAGTTGCACCCAATTACTTTTATCGTATTAAAAACGATTTACTTCAAACAGGTTTTATTCCTTCAATTAGAATTCGCGAGCCTCGATTGACAGATTATAAAACAAAATTGAAAAGAGAAGTTCAATCACGTTTATACCAAGTATTAAATTTTGTTCAGAATCAAGAAGCCAATTTGAATCCATTAAGATTTTTATTGGAAAATGCTGAAGAAAAACTTTCTCAAATAAATGAGAAGATACAAAATTCAATTACATATTTAAGATCGTTTGAAATTCCAAATGAATTGTTAGATACGTATATGTTAGAAATTAATGAATTTTGTTATAATTCTCCAGATTATATTTTAGAACATTTCGAAGAATTTTTAGAGGATTTCAAAGAAAAGAATAATTTAATAGACTAAAAAATTTATTATTTTTATTTATTGTGAATTTTAAATTGTCACTTTTTAAGTGTTACTCCCTATTGAAAGTGTCACTTTTTGGGTGTCACTTTTTCGGAAATTCTTATATACTCGCTTGTGTTGCTATTAGATTGGTTGTAACTGGTAATTTTGAGGCGAAAAGGTCTACAAGAACACCGGGATTTTTTATGTCGTTTTCAATTGGTTTAACAGATTCTATGACTTTGTTAAACATTTCACTATAATCTGAGTTGTCTTCGACCCCCCAATTGTTAAGAAGTTTATACAACAATTTCAGTCTTTTCATGGCGTATTTTCTTTGAATGGATTCGGGTAGCGAGAGGTTACAGTCGTCGGTTTGTGTTTCGTTACTCGAATATTGTTCAAGAGAAATTAAATCTTGAAATTGTGCTCTTGTTAACATACTTGTAGAACTATGTGAAACTTGTTCTGGTGCTGGTTGTAAATCTGTTTCAGATGTTTCTGTTGTGTTTTGAGAAGAAGAAGAACTCAAATTGTTGGACAATTTGTCTTGAATTGTAGAACTATGTGAAACTTGTTCTGGTGCTGTTTGGACAACTGTATCTGTTGTTTCTGTTGTGTTTTGAGTAGATTGTCTTGAATTGTCCAACAATTTGTCTTGAATTGTATGAGGAAGTTGCTTTGGTATTATAGGAGGTCGTAAGGGTTTTGAGAATGGTGAGACATAAGTTGTAGGAACTTTAACTGCAGAGGTAGTCGACGAATTGTTTGCGACACTTTTTCTTCCTTCCATTATGAAAAATAAACTGTTTTTTTCGGACTACTCATAGAAAAGTTTAAAATAAACCGTTTTCGTCAACGGTAACCCCATCTATAATTTTATTTTATTGAAAAGTCTCCGTTGGCAAACCGTTCCATCTCAAATATTTGAGAAGATAACTTCACATTTTGACTTTTAAATACATATTTTTCACCATCGGACAAACTTTTGACAGAAAGGAGCTTACACATACTTTACACTTGTCAAAATATTTTTAACATACGATAGTATATATTTGCTCGAACAAATAATGGTCTATCGTCAACGCTCATAGAGATAGACCCACTTTTCTAAAGTATATATTTGAGTACTTTAAAAAAATATTATAGAACGATATAACAAATATTTTACAAAACTGACAACACTTTGACCGAGTAGTTTTTTGTGCTGAACAAAAAGTGTCATATAAACATCTGTCAAAAACCGCTTTTTAACTTCACTTAAAATGCCACCTAAGCTACGTAAGAATATACGTAAGAGGAAGGGAGCATTGAAACATCCAATAGTAAAACTGACACCACAACAACAGTTGCAACAACAAATGATGAATGACCCCACTATGTTGCAACAAATGTCAAGCAACCCTATGCTTTTAAACCGAGTTATTGGTGCACAGAGTGGAGGTTTAAGAGCGGCACTTTTAGCGAAAATGGCAGGCTATGGTGGAGCTGCAGACGGAACAGCTTATAACCCTCAAAGTCAAATGAATTTGAGTTCACTCAAAAATCAAATAACAGATGTCAAAAAGTCAAACATAGACATACAGAAACAAATAAGTGAAAACGAAAAGAAACTAGAATATGACAGACACACAAAGAAACTCAATGAGTTAAACGTAGAGAAAAAAGAAGAAAGAAGAACAACTGAAAGAACTAAGTACAGAGGAATATGCGAAAAAAAGTGTCAGAAAAAGCAGCAGAAGTAGCAAAAATGGAACAAGATGTTATAAATTTGAAAAAACCATACTACTCAATATAAAGTACTGAAAGATGAAGAAATAAAACAAAAAGCCCTGAAGACATATATGGATAGCGATGAGTATAAAAAAGAAGTTGAAGCAAATGTAAAGGCAGAAAAACTTTTACAGTTGCAAACCAAACCGTACAGTATGAAAACTTAGCACAAGAAAGTAAAAATAACGACGCAGCCATGCAAAAAGGCAATGAAAAGTGCAGAATATATAAAAGCTAATAATGACTGGTTAGATGCCCAAGCCAACGCTAAAGCAGCCCAACTTATAGGGTCAATAAGGACAAAAATACAAGCGGATGAAGACAGTTCAAATGAAGCTTTAATGAATGCTGACTTTAAGAATGCCTTCGAAGCTCTTCATAGTAAGGTGAAACTAGTGAACGACTTCTCATCTGAAAAAACTGAAGTCTGAGGTTTCGACAAAGAGTTAAGAGAAGTAGCACAAAATATGACGAAAATAACAGATGCAGCAACGAGACAGGCAGTTCAAAAGTGCCTATGACGCCGTTAGAGCAACTGTTGTGGAAAGTCAAGAAAAAGAGTTACAACAGACCAAAACAGACCTAGTAAATGCTTTCTTAAAAACGAAAAGTCAGGTAGGACATTATGCTGCAGATGGAACATATGTGCCAGCTGGTGGAACTTATATACCAGCTGGTGGAACTTATATACTAGCTAGTGGAACTTATATACCAGCTGGTGGAACTTATATACCACCAAACCCTTCAAGAGAAGCACCCGCACCAGGACTACCTAAAACATTTACATCGTCACATGGACACAGACACAGGCATGCACCACAACAACAACAACCAACAATTCAAAATCCAGCACCACAACAACAACCAACAATTCAAAATCCAGCACAACAACCACCTCCACAACCAGCACAACAACCACCTCCACAACCAGCACAACAACCAGCACAAACAGAGCAAGGACATAAAAGAAGTAGAGAACAAGGAAACCAAGAATTCTTAAAAATGCTTAAGGAAGGTTATGGTTACCCAGATACTCTTGACTTTAGTGACAGATATAAAGAAGCTATTAGAAAGTTCAAGGAAGGAAATACTGACCCGAACCTATTTAGCTTTATGGTTCAGCACCAAATAGATATAATTTCAAACCTGGAAAATACAAGCTCGCTAAGGGATATGATTTAATAGCATATCATCCAAATGACATGGATGAATTTACTCCGAGATATTTGTTGTCAGAGATAAATGATAATTCAACTATCTTCATGAAACGCGTAAAAAATAGAGACGGAACGAAAGAAGAAAGGGTTATGAATGCGGATGACTTAAATAGGGAACTTGTTAAAAAACGGTCTCGGAATATATGAAATGCCACCAGATGAGGTACAAGAAACTCAACAGGAAGAAGTTCAGATACAACCAGACATGGAAGAAATAGTTCAGCAACAACAGCTAGAAGAGCCAGAAGGAAACGAACAAGTCCCTTCCTTTGGAAACTAACTTCACAGAACTAGATGAAGATTTGGAACAGCCGAAAAATCTTGACCCTCAACAAGAGTATGCGGAGAATATGGAATCTTTCCAAGGTCTAAGAAAAATTCGGCTTGACATAGTAGAAGAATATCGAAAAATGTTCGCCGACATACAAAAGACTCCAACATCAGATGAAAATATTCAGCATAGAATGGAAAGTACTGAAAGAAAATGTACGCAAATACAATAATCCTTTTTACTTACGACCATATAACGTTCAATCTTTGGCTGAACTCGGTGAAAATAAAAGGTTAAATTTCAACAAAACATATAGAAATGAAACATTGTTTAAAGTTCATTCAAACCTAACCAATATGGAAACAAACCTACTTTTGTTTCTGCAGACTATGGAACTACAATGAGATGGGGTCATAAAGCTAATCCGGATAGGTGGTTCATAAACTTACAACCACAATTCCAAGAAGTTGTAGACGCAATGGAAGTGAATGGTGAACCAGATATAGCTGGTATTTTCAGCGCGGCTTTAATGCCATTGAAAGATATGAAACATGCAGATATTTTGGACCAGTATGAAATGAACATGGCTGATGGAAATAAACATCTGACGTTCTAGAACATTTATCTCAAAGAACTACACAGAAACCATAGAGATGGTATATTGGTGAAGAGTTTAGAAAGAAAGTTAGGGAGAAAGAAGGAAGAGAACCTATTGTACATGACCTTGCAAACGAAAGTTTGCAAAATGTCATAAAAACTTACTTTGCAGACAATGAATCGAGAAGGGATGAATATTTAAGAAAACTCAAATGGACAGTACCAAATGAAATGTTAGTATTGAAAAACATGTTCCTTGACAAAATAAAACCAACTACAGAAATAAATGACGCAAGACTGAAACAGTGGGTAAAAGCTTTCCCATTCACAAAAGATATTATTGTAACATGGAAAGAAAACCAGAATGGCTACAAAAACATATATTTGGAAACGAGCTTATTCCATATGGACAAGCTCTGTTTGAAGAGCTTGAACCGGAAACTCAGGAAAGAGTCATGCAAACAATACGCGAAGACTCAAATACAAACTATGACAAAATCTTTCTAGGATAAGGTTACCTGAGATGGGCGACCAGAGCCCAAAGGCAAAAAGGACATGGGAAATTTACAACATACTAGGTGAACATGAGGCAAAGATGCAACAAAACTCAGTCAGGAAGAAAGTAAAGCTTGGTCCGAAACAATTATGACACATAAATCCAACTATTCTATATTTTTACCCATATGAAATGTACGCCGCTCAGAATATAACGCCAACAGTTTTGGATGCCATGAACGGAAATGTTTCCGAATGGTATAACGAATGCGACAATGCCATTAGAAGGTCAGAAATAGTTCCTGGAACTTACGAATATACAACTGCTGTTTCTTATGGAAACGTAGGTGAGTTTGGAGAAGGTTCTTCAACAACAGTAGATATTGCTTGCGACAGGTTTCATATTATTTCTATTGACAACTCATTCTTATACGTGGAACAAGACATTGAAATAAAACCTTCTGCCAAGTTGTCTGACAAGAAAGGTTGCAATGGAATTTTCTATGTCGGATACCAATATGCTCCAGAAGTTTTCATGGGATATAAGATATATTCTAACTCTGACTTAGTTCAAACAGTAACATGGGCAAACTATGAATGGTTCGCTTTGAGAAACTCAGTACAACCACAAGCTAGAGAACAAACAGACCAGTATGCAACTATTGAGAAAATAAGAAGACTTGACCCTAACGTTCCAGGAGTTTATGTTAACCTTTCTGGTTCAGATGGAAATGCTGTCACTAAAGTAAAACTGAAACTTAGAGTTCCTTTGTCATCTTTCCTCATCTTCAGGTTTTTAAGATACTTGCCAAACTGGGCAGGAAAAATTTCTATTGAACTTACTCCAAGCAAAAATAACTTAGTCATTGCACCAACACAAGACCCATTCACTCTTACAGACGTAAAGGGAACAAATCAAACGTCATTCGCCGATTTTGCAAAGACAAAGTTGACTTAGACTTTGGTTTCTCAAACTCAACACTGAAGTAAACTATTATTTCAATGCTGCTGGAACTGCTTGGGACCCAGTTAAGTTCACATGCGAAAAATTTGAATGCAAGAGAATAGAAAGCAGACTTGCAGTCTATATGTTGGACCCAGATATTTCAAATGCTTTAGCTGCCAAATATATTGCAGTTCCACTTATGTTCCCTATACACCAAATATCTGTCAAAGACTTTGCAGGTGAAGTTGGAAACCAAAGTGCTGACCCAGGTGCAAGAACAGATATTGCTTTAACAACTGCAATGAAACATGCAGATACTATGTTTGTACTGTTCAGACGAACTATAAATGACTATTCTTGTTTCTACAACCCCTGGTATTAAATATCATATAAACATAGATGGCAAATATTATCCAAGAGAAGAATATTCTACAGTTGAGGATATGAGGTCATACAACTTGACATTAGATGCTATGAACTTTAACAACAACTTCACAACAACCATTAACCCTGAAATGCAAAGTTCTATTATGCCATATGTGAAAGTATGGACTCATACAGGAGGTCAAAAAACTCAATATACAAATGGAGACCGTTCAAACTTTTGGCTTGGCATTCCATTTGCTGACTCAGAAGACTTTATGGGTGGTATTTCAACTGTTGGTACTGTACAAATACAATATACTGGTGACAGAGACGGTCCAGATGAATTGAGAGCAAAGAAGTTTACAAAACCAATAGCACTTTTCACGGAAGATGCTCTTTTGAAGATTCGTTCGATGAAACCTGCTGGGGCTCCTCAGATTGGCATAACGACAGCTTCTATCGAGCAGATTTTGGCAGCAGGTCAGTAAGTTGTTCTTGAACTGACTTCTCTCCGTCAAATATTAACAGTACGCCAGTTTTGACATAATATTGTAAGATAAACTTACCTTTAGAAATATCTGTAAGTTTTGAAGTTATATTTTTGTCTGCTTCAAGAACTTTCACCATTTCAGTTATACCAACTTTCTTTGCTTTATGAAAATATTTAGGTTCAGCAAATATTGCTATTCTATAACATTTTCCATTGTTTGTGTAAAGAACTATTCTGTCAATGTATTTGTATTGTTTGTGAGTATAAACTTTGTTCTGCTTCAATTCAATAAGATATCCGAATACGTCCATCTTTTTATTCTAAGTAAAATGTCATTTCCGAAAAATAGAAGCGTAAGTGTTTCAAAAGGTTTAATGGCGGTGGCAGATGTGAAGTTAAATTCACCAACTCAAACAAACAGTCAAAGTGTTGTTGTCAATGTCAAAGACAGAGATGTTGAAGTGGGGAAACCATACGAAGACGAAGATGGTATAACAATTGTTCCTGTAAAAGAACCAACATATCCTGAAGTTAGCAGAGACTTAAGTTCTGTTGCAGATATTCGAAACGACTACCAACAACTGAAAGACAAACTTCAAACTCAGGAGAAGATTTGTCAAGCTTTAAGTATAATGTTAAACTTGGTCGAACACAACCCTGTAAAAGTGAACTCATATGTCATTGCACCTCATGAAGTTTTGAAAGAACTATTGAAACTTTTGACAGAGGCAGACGATATAAACATCAAAGAAATAGAACCCGACATTAGTTGCTGTGGTGTTTCATATAATGCCATTGACAAGATATACGTTATGAAAGGAGGTGAAACGTTGAACTTAAAATATAGTTTCCCAGACGTTATAAAAATATTTGACGACCACAACATTTCATTAAAATTTATTTGCTAAGTAAAAATGTCAAAACTTCTTGAAAGATGTTTGAAGAAAAATAATATAGACTTTATTTCATGTAAAGGACTTTACACACTTTTAAACGATATGAAAGACCCTGTTTTGTTTGTTCGTGTAGACAAAGGAAAGTTCTATGTCTTTACAAAATATTTGAACTTCTTAGACAGAGAACTTCAAGAAACGCCATGTGAAAGTTTAGATGAAGTTCTTCTCCACTTTCAGAAAAACTTTTAAATATATATAAATGGCAGAAGACATTAATGGTTTATACTATTACGACTAAAAACCTGAGTCATATAATTCTATACAACAAACTTACAAAGTCCTCAAGGACGATATTGTAAACTAACCTTAAACACAATGACGACTAAAGCCTGTTTTGCTCTTTGACACCAGAAGACTTTATTGTTGTGAATGGTAAAAAATACTCCTTTGAAGATACTTACTCAGATATACCACAACAGGTTTGTGTTGACTTATTTAATACTTTACGTACGAGTGTAACATGTGCTGCAACTAGAGCAGGTTTCATTATGTTTGGATGTCCGACTGAGTTTACTATAAACGATATGAGCTATAATACAAAACTTATTTCTGGTTTTTACTACCAACAGTTTCCTATAACAGGAAAAGGTGTCATACAAGGAATGTCTATTCCATTGACATTAAGCACACCAATCTTATATATTGTTTCAAACTTAGGTTCA